TTCTTTGGCGGTGGGTCAGAGGGTTTGGGAAGATCCTTCGTTCCGTCAGGTTTCTTCGCGGGGTCAGTTGGTTTGGGGGGGTCTTTCGTTGGTGGTGGGGGCTGTGGAATGGGAGATGGCTTCTTGTCCTTGTCAGGATGTGTGACGATTGGGGTACCCGTACCCGTACCAGTGCCAGTGCCAGTGCCAGTACCCGTGGGCTCCTTCGTTCCTGGCGGGCATTCAGGATCTGGCTTCTTGTCGGGAAGTGGGACGACAGGAGGCTTTGGTGGACCCGTACCCGTACCCGTACCGGTGCCGGTGCCGGTGCCGGTGCCACTACTTGTGGGCACTGGTGGACAATCTGTCTTCTTCGGCGCTGTCGTAGCAGTGCCAGTTCCAGTTCCAGTGCCTGTACCAGTCCCTTGATCTCTCTTCGCAGCCGTATTCTTGAATTGCCACAGCTGGGGACGCCCACTATGGGTCTTCAAACGGATCTGAGAGAATCACGAATCAACTCGTCGTATGATTAAGACACGAGAAAAACGACGTACTCTGGTACCAGGCGTGTTCTTATCAAGGTCATAACCAAACTTGGAGTTGGGCCATCGTATTCTGTACAGCTTATTGAGGAACGGCGTGTACAGAAGGATGAGAACAGGTCAACCCACTGGAAGATGAGATTTTCCTCGTCTTGAGCATGCAGGTCCCAAGCAACAGGGAAAGGACTAGTCACAATAGCAACATTGTCAGCGATGGCTGAGTCGACGGTAAGGTATGCGCCATCGAATTTACTTCGAATTACGTATCCTGCGCCAAACGCCGTGACTTCCCACTTCCCACGAGTCAGTACTAATTCATGTATTGAAGGCTGGAGCATATACCTGTTGATTCTTATGGTCGTTAATTGCAGTATAACCTAGCACCGAACTCATATTCAGACAATAGATTTAGCGGCACATAGTATACGCTCACCTTGGACGAACTTCAGGTCTCCCAAATCTTGGTCAATAACCGTCTTGTGCTCGACGTTAACAATGACATATGTTCCATCCGATAGTCTGCCAGACTTGTTCTTGGGGGGTGGAGGTATGGCAGGAGCCGCCATTGCGGGAAGAGAAAGATGTGATGGAGTCGTTTAAAAGATAACGCTGAGAAATGCGATGCTGCGACAAGCAGTCATACAGTTCCAGTAAGCAAGGAGGTGATCATTCTACCTGTCGGTTAGTTTCCAAAATCAAAATTCTAATCGATAGCGTACCTTACTCTTTCCTTTTCATCATAGAAGTTAGTGCGCAGTGTATGAATCATTAGGGCGCTGGTTTTGTCAATTTGTCCAAAGTCAGTCAGGCGACCCTGCCACGACGCCCATTTTTCAGTTCTGCGATCCAGCCGGGAGCGACTAGTCATTCAATATTCATCAATAATAGATACCAGTTCATCAACGGAATAGAACCGCACTCACCTTGAGGCTGAACGTGACTGAACGCGCTAGATCTGACAGCGGAAATGCACGTAGATCATCTAAAAAAATGTGAATGATTAAGATGTGTGACAATCAGAAATTATTTGCGAAACATACCCGCCGACAGGAATAAAAAAACAGAGAAGATGACATTGGGACAAAGCCCGATTTCCCACCTACGATACAAGTCGGAACGCATTTCTCATCCAATCAAACATGTCTCAGAAAGCCGTAGGTCTCCTCACTATTCACGTCCTCGTCGAAATGTCTGAAGCCAAACGATAGCACCTTATCGATTCTGACGGCAAGAACATCGAGAACCAACACTACTATAAGATCCGCCTCGCCGACGGCAGTGAACTCGGATACGCGCCGACCGGAATGTCCATCACCAGCGCCAAAGCCGTCTGCGCGCCCATGCCCTCCAATGCTGGGGCCCTCTTCCGGTTCGTACCAAAAGACGATAGCAAAAACGGTGTACCATGGACCGTTGGAGACGTTGGATACCTGAAAGGGCTGCAGAGCAGGGAGGACGGCACAGTACTCAAGATGAACTTGACCTTGTCGACGGGCAGTCTCCCGGCTTTGGGGTGGTACGATTCGCCTCCGTGGGGATTCACAGGGAAGCAGCTTGCCGGGAACAGAATTGCACTTTATGCGCGTAATAAAGACGCGAAGGATGTTGGACTGGTGGTGGTTGATCTTGGGAGGAACGAGTCGACGCTTGTGGAGGACCGGTCCGGAGAGCATATTCCGTTGGACTGTCAGTTTGTGAGGATGGCTCCGATTACGACAAAATTCTAGGTGCTCTGTATCTATTTACTCGTATTCCAACTCGTTCGAAAGCATGAAAAGGGACATTCTTCCCCTTCCTCAGTCGCCAGTTTTGATATTGATTTTTGCGTGTACATGTGTCATGTTGCTGTGGTAAAAGCTAGGAACGGTGTCTAGCCAGGCTATTGCTCCCATGTCACTGATCCTTCATGACTTGCCAGCGACTTTCTCAATTTTGAAACGGACCTGTCTTATTCACGGTTCCGACAGCTGTCAGTTCTCCGCAAGGTATAGAACCCTTTACTTGCGATGTTTAAGAACATCAACCCCGATGAAAAAACGCCACATCGATGCCATGTAAGTACCTAGATCTTAGCGCTTACTCAAAATACCACATCGAATTCTGTTCCGATATGTCAAGAATAAGATCCACGGTGTGTCATTTTATTGATCAACTTTGGCATCAACTAAGCGTCTCTTAATGGTGTAGTTGCCCAATTTCATTGGGAGAAGAATTTAGCCGCCATCATCTTATTTTGAGCACTTAGATTTCTTGATAACGTCCAGGTTCACATGCACGAGGTTTTGGTTTCCATTTCAGCTGTAAGATGTTCGTCAGGGTTCCTATGACTAGCTTTGCGCGCGCCTTTTTGTGAGGATGACTTCCAGTGATTTCAGGGTTGTCAAGATCGCAGTGTGAGGGAGCGAGCGCCCAGAAACATAGGAGGATTCCGTCAGTCAAGGAAATCGTGCAGTGGCTAGACAGTGCGAGTATGCGGCAGAAATTTTGCGCGAAAACGTTCTTTGACAAGGTATATTGTTCCTTCTATGTCGGATATATTCTAACAGCGCTGGACAGATGGAATACACGCCCCTAACCTACTGAAAAACACCGAACTAGAAAGATGCGACTTTATATGTGACTGTAGAAACCAAAATTGTCATCATCTCCTGCGATGTTTGGACCTCCACCATTTGGACCTGGTTGCCCGCCACCGCCACTATGCCCCCCCCCCTTCCCTCGACCGCCTTTCCCGCCACCTTGCCCCCCACCACCTTTGTGCCCGCCACCTCCTATCTGTCGACCGCCACCTCCACCTCCACCTCCACCTCCACCAGTAGTGGTACCACCAAAGCCGCCTCCACCGCCGACTAAGCCGCCTCCACCTCCACCTCCACCTCCACCAGTAGTGGTACCGCCAAAGCCGCCACCACCGCCAACTAAGCCGCCTCCTACTAATCCGCCGCCAACTAAACCACCGCCGACTAAACCGCCTCCTACTAATCCGCCGCCGACTAAACCGCCTCCTACTAATCCGCCGCCAACTAATCCGCCTCCTACCAAGCCTCCACCGACTAAGCCTCCTCCCGTTTGTCCACCACCAACAAAGCCACCACCAACTAACCCTCCTCCCGTTTGTCCACCACCAACAATCCCACCACCAACTAACCCTCCTCCCGTTTGCCCACCACCGACTAACCCACCACCAACTATTCCTCCACCAACTATCCCTCCTCCCGTTTGTCCACCACCAACAATCCCTCCTCCCGAATGCCCGCCACCGACTATCCCTCCACCAACTATCCCTCCTCCCGTTTGTCCACCACCAACAATCCCTCCTCCCGTTTGTCCACCACCGACTAACCCTCCACCGACTAATCCGCCGCCAACTAATCCGCCTCCTACCAAGCCTCCACCGACTAAGCCTCCTCCCGTTTGTCCACCACCAACAAAGCCACCACCAACTAACCCTCCTCCCGTTTGTCCACCACCAACTATCCCACCACCAACTATCCCTCCTCCCGTTTGTCCACCACCGACCAACCCTCCTCCCGTCTGTCCGCCACCGACCAAGCCTCCTCCCGAGTGCCCGCCAACAACCAAGCCTCCTCCCGTTTGTCCGCCACCGACCAAGCCTCCTCCCGAGTGCCTGCCACCAACTAACCCTCCTCCCGTTTGTCCGCCACCAACTAACCCTCCTCCCGTTTGTCCACCACCAACAGCATGCCCACCTCCAACTAATCCTCCTCCTCTCGAATGTCTGCCTCTAGACAAGCCTATCCCCAGCAAGGAGTGTCCAGTTTCGGAAAAACCCTACCCAACATTACCGGGCTCGCCTCTCCCTGGAACAGATACCAAGCCCACTGATGGAATGCCAACAACCAAACCGACCTCTGGTTCTATTAGTACTACCGTTCCCGATACAAAGACGAATGGAACGATAGCTGTCGGTCTCGGCGTTGGTACTACCGCTGCAGGAAGCAAAAATACTTCGGAAACTGCGACAGACACTAGTGGGGTACGTCTCTTTCCATCATCGTATAGGTTAAATGTATACATACGTTTCTTAGGACCTCGTCGATTCTCTCGGCGATAAACTCTCCACCAAATGCTTGTACAAAATCCGTTTCGCTGACGGCTCAGAGCTTGGTTTTAGTCATCTCGGGTTAGGCAGTGACATTGGCCACGTCCTACTCGCCACTCCCCGTAAGAGCAATAGTGGAGCCGTCTTCTCCATCGGAGGTACATGGAAATCAGGAAGTGTGGGATATCTAAAAGGGAAGTGTTCTGGATTGGATGGGAAGAGCATGAGCATGACGATGTCTCTGTCATCCACTGGCGTGCTTACGTGGTGGAATTACACCGATCCTAAGAACGAAACCGGGGCTTCATACGGGTTTACAGCTAGGCAAATGCCTAATCGGAGGATCGCATTGTACGGGTATGATGAGAAACACAAAGAATGCGGGCTGGTAGTGGTGGGAGACCATATCAGTAAGGATCCCAGTAATCTCGGTGTTGCACTAGATTGTTACTTTGTTAGGGTTACGGCTATCTAGCTGCATATCTAAACTGATAATTGTTAGAAGATCCGAGACAGTGTATACCTCACTACTATTTATTCATTGTTTTCACCGTAACCAGTACTTGTGCCCCGTTGTACCTCCAACACATTCTCACCCTCAGACTGACGACGCTCCGCCACCGAAACTGGATCTTCACCAAACTCGTCTATCACGGACAGCACACGGAATTCTATCGATGGTATCTGATTCGAAGATGTCCGTTGATTGCTGCTGGTCATCAATGTGGACTGTTTGTGCTCCCAAGCGCGGAGTCGGAGCAAGAATCTAGCAGTAAGTAAGCCCGAGAGTCTACGTGGCATCGACATGAAATCGTGAATCTTATTGGGTAGAAGAACTCACGGAAGCGTCAAGGCGTTAAGTGGTCGCTGGAAAAATCCCGCCTGAAGACAACGGATGAATAAATAGAATTGATACTCAATATAGAACACGGTTACCGGGGCAACCTGTAAATCTTGGTAAACGTAAAGCACTGTGGAACGTGAACTCACGAAATTCAGCACAACAGCTGCCTTTGTGAATAATGTGACAACACTGTCCCCCTCTGCCTGAGTCTCGAATGCGTAGGATGGTTAACTAAGCCGGGGCTCACCAAAAGTAGAACATGCCTGCAAAGAGTCGCTCGTAAGAAAGAATCTAACCACCATTTAGAGTGTAGGATTAAACCTTGCTCAAATATCACGTATATAAGCCTCCGGCGTTGAATGCTCCAAGGTCCACCAATCCTTAACGCTTGGATACTTCGGATTGTCATGAGTATTGCAGACGAGTACTCAAACACGACCAAAAATATCGAGAGGAGTAGACTCTGTAGTAAAGCATTTAGTACTGCTCTCTGCATCCGCCGGTAAGAACGAATACCACTAAAACGGACATAAGCGGTAACTAAAAAGAAATACATAAAGGACGTACAAAGGATCGCTTGTTGATTCAATGCATCTCACACCCGGGACATGCATCTATCGTTCCTGTTTAGCATATACGCCGATGCGACGGTATTGAAAGCCAAACAATATCGAGTATGATGCACGCCAATCCGATGGCAGTGAGGTAAATCAGAACGATTGTACTCCGAGAGAAGATGGCATATGTACGCGCAGTAAACGTCACTAGATGAACTGAGAGTTCATCGTCACCATCGAACACGTAAATTCACAGCATGTACCAATACGGCAGCACGCACAATAACGCTCAGTGCCGCGATGATTTTGTACCATGTATCACAACTGGAAGAAAATTGGTTTGATGACTTTCAAATGAAAAGAGCGTACTGAAAAGAGGGAATTCAGAAGAACAAATCAGCACAAGGAGAGCTGTAAATATTACCCTGGCACCTAGTTTTTCGGCTATAGCGAGAAGATAGAGGACGTTCGCTATCAGAGCATAGCGACAACAAATGTACAGAATAGTTGACAATCTGAACTTTGAGCCCCACATGTACTTGACTTCCATCGGAAAGGTCGGGATATAGTCATAGTAGAGCAGAGCTAAGAAAATCGGCGTCAAAGAATTACCAGTATGAGGACAAACGTTACCAATGCTGGAGTACTGAATCCGGAACTGGAGAAAACTGAATGAATGTCAAGCCTGAGAATAAAAGAAAAAAAATCCAAAGTGACTTACTGGGTAGCAGCATCTGCCGTATACGTGGGGGACATGAAGAGGCGAGAAGGAACGTAGAAAACGACTCCTTTTATGCCATTTTCTCTACCGAAGTGTAGCCGGTTCAGGGAACGCTGAACGAGGAACCAAGCTGTGCTGAGTTACGATGCGCCAAGGTAGCTGTAATGTTATTTGAAGGCCCGTTACCATTCATACCGTGGAAGAAGATACGCCAATAACAAGATCAAGCGAATGTAGCAGTACAAGACACGGAAGAATGCATACATCCGATGAGTAATTGTCTTGACAGTGTACCCCAAATCTGTACCCCCCGGAAAATTTGGCGGGGTATTACAGCGAATATGAGGATGCCTGGATTGTCGCTGTTTGTCGGTGTGTTGCCATCATGCAGTGGATTTACGCTGATCCTAGGAACGCTCATACAACTTTTTATAGGACCACCTAGACTAGGCTCGAATCAGTCTGGGGCAGTGCCTTTGAAACTCGATAACAGTCGATCCGGATGGTTCGAGTCTATACCTAGACATTAGCATAGCGAGTGTCGTATCTATTGTAATATCCAATTACAATGAAAGATAAATTTTAGCATAGCGATTTTCCTACTAGCTGAGAACTATCCACTGCTCTCAGTATGAGCAGTAGTCATCTTCGACGTCTTATGATACCCAGGAACCATGCTCGAGGTAGATGGCATATTCTCCTGGGATACCTTCCTACTCTCCTCTAACATGTACTCATCCTGGCGTGCTGCCACTGACACCGGATCTTCACCAAACTCATCAACCAGTGACGGAGCACGGAATTCCATGGTCTGTGTATGCCGCGAGTTATTTCCACCGATCAATGCGACGGACTGTTTGTGTTCCCACACGCGGAGGCGGAGGAGGAAGCGGGCGGTTAGTAGACCCGAAAGTCTAGGAGAGTTCTGTGATTTTAGTAGCCTTGAAGATCGTAGACGAACTTACGGAAGTGTCAATGCATTAAGTAGTCGCTGGAAAAATCCCGCCTAGAAAGCGAAGAATTAATTAATGTTAGCATGAGGAGAGTACCTGACCTACCGGTGCGACCTACATATGTACTCCGTGAGTATGATAAAGACGTTAATATGAAGACGCCACGTAAGGGCAAGCTCACCGAGTTCAAAATGACAGCCGCAGTCGTGAACAACGAGACGAAACTGTCGGTGAATTGCCGTCTCAGCCCTAGCCCAGTTCATGGCTAACAAATAGATATTCACCCAAAATAGAGGATGCCTTCAACGAACAACGCGTGTAAGAATCACATAGCCAGGTAGTAACGATGGAAATGACCTTGCTCGAAAACAAGATATGCGAAACCCCGTCGTTGAGCCTTCCAGGGACCCCCAACTTTAAACGCTTGAATGCTTCGGATCGTCATCAATATCGCAGATGAATACTCAAAAACGACCATCAGTATCGAGAGGAGTAAATTTGCTGCGGCGGAGACTTCAGTGGCTTTCATTGAGAGCAAGAAGATGTCATTACCACTAAATTCAGCACGTTGTCAGCTAACAGAAGTTGAGACCGAGGGCAGAGGGGACGCACAGAGGATTGCTAGATGATCCGACGCACTTGAGTCCTGGAACATGCATCTAACATTCCAAACAATGAGAATCACGGTATATGGTGCAAATAGTAGAACAGACTAACGATGTCGAGTATGACACATGTCAAGCCAATGGCGACAAGGTAAAACAGAATAATTCTGCTCCTAGCAAAGATGGCATATGTGCGGCCAGTGAAAGCCACTAAAGCATATTTGAACCGGGTCGGTTCAGTCGCAAAGATTGCATTACGCACCAATGATAGCGGCTCGCCCCAAAACGCTAAGTGCCCCGATGATTTTATACCATGTATCGCAACTAGTTTGACCTCCTGAATCAACACACTGTTGTTATCCTTGCGCAAAGTATAGAAACTCGCTAAAAAGTCCAAGGTGAGAACAACGAATAGAATATATGGCAAAAAGATACAATACCCTGGCGCCTAATTTCTTGGCTATAGCTAGGAGATAGAGGACGTTCGCAACAAGAGCGTAACGACAAAAGATATATAGAACAGTTGACAACCTGAACTTTGAGCCCCACACGTACTTGACCTCTGTGGGGAAAGTCAAAGCGTAGTCATAGTAGATGAGCGCTGCAGCACTGATCAATGTGAGGTAAGTAAAACATGGAAGCCATCGCACCAATGCTGGAGTACTGGATCCGGAACTGAAGGAAACTGGGCCAATGTTAATCCAATAGGAGAAATCGGAAGTCAGCGACGTACTGTGTAGCAGCAGCTTTTGTCGCCATGATGAGGAGAAAGGAAGACGGGGAGCGACTTATATACAGTTGACTAGGATGGAACTGGTGTCATTTAAGCGTGAGTAAAGATGTATGCGCGGCTGTGGAAGAGATGATCAAAGCACAAGGCTCAAGAACTTGTTGCAATGATGAACTCCCCTCCCCCTTCTTGGATAAGGTTCTACAAGCCGGAGTTAGATCTGGCGATATGTAGCGATGAATGAGCTAATGAAAGTAGTAGGAAAGAAGCAAAGTATACCGTAGGCAAGGTGAGAGTATTGCTTTAGGGTGTGGGCGTAGAATCGTGGAAATTGAAGAACTTGTCATCGCGAAGCATGGCTGAAAATAAACGGTCCAGGGGAAACCACGGCGCTTTGGCGGAGGTAAGATCATCAAAATAAATATAGAACTCATACACTTTGAATCCATCGGATCAATCGTACGTAGTTCTCCGTCCTCATCGGGCAAAACCAAAAACATTCTCATTCTGGCGGTGAAACATCAGACGTAGATAGTATCGACGGGCATGGATTTTACGGAGAAAGATGCATGTCAATTGATCGTGCGCGTAAATCAGCATGGATACAAAGAATTATTTGAAGTTGATCAATCTCAGTCATCGCGTAGGTATTTATATCACACGTTCGATGTAGCACCCACGGGATACCATCTCGTGAATGATCCTGGAACATGGCTATACCCAGCATCTGATAAGGGGCTGTCCATGCAACGAAACAGTTGGAACGAACACACTGAGCTTTCCTTCATTCCCTTCTTTCGTGAAGGCGGAGTCTGCTGTCGCAAACGTATTGCATCGTGCTCGCAAGCAAGTCATGGTGCGTTTGCTCCTGTCGGTATCCGAACCGGTCACAGCTTACCCAGGTTAATCAAGGGACAGGAGAAATTCATAGCTGTTTCTCACCTTTCCCATCATCAAACTGTTGGAATCTGCGAGAGAATTCGAGCAATCCGGCATTCCGGCATGATGAGTAAAGGAAATAATCCGAGAGAAATTGAAGGAGTTAGATAGAAACTACTAGGAAAGGAGTAGTCTAGTGTAAATATGAGAAGTCAATGGGAAACTCCTCAGGAGTTTGTAACCCAAAGACTAAAGGTCTTACAAGCATGTACTCTGGATACAGTCCAAATCTCAACACAAACAAGGTCAGAGATTCATCCATTACGCCCATCATCGCAATGAGCGGGAGTAGGTGACATCAAATCGACGGCGCTTCCCTGTTTAGAAAGATATCTCGATAGTTCTCACGCCCACTGACAGCACAAACACTACCTTACGAAAACCGCCGCTATCTTAAGGGGTCATGACCTGACCTGCGTGCTGAACGAGAATTTTGCATTCCAACCCCCTTGGGACTTGGACATTGGTGAAGCCAATTTATCTATGGCAGTCTTGCCCTCCAAGCGGATTCTCCGAAAAGTCTTACTACATACTGTACATCGGTGTTATTTTAAATAAGCATGTAATTCCTGGTTGCTAACGTCAAGATCTCATAGGGAGACCAAGTAAGCAGCATAATATACAGCAATACCCTCCACGAGTCCCATTTTTCGTGGCTGCCATCCAACAAGTGCTCGAGCAAGGTACGGTCTTAGCAGAGCTGTCGTTCCCACAGCACTCTCGAAAGCTAAGGGAAAATGTCAAGAGAGTTTCAAAGAGAGTGATAAAGCTTACGGTTTGCTGGTTCCCTGTACGCAAAACCGTCCTCCACGCCTGCAACTTTTGCAACGACTGCCAAAATCTCATCAACCGACTCAGTGAAATCATTCGCAGCATCAAATGCCTTTCCCCCGCAGATTGCAGCTTTCTCTGCTACTCTTACATACAAATCCGCCAAATCGTCTGCGTGAACCAGTGCGAACCTCCCTCCCGGCCTGCCCGCAAAGGTCAACTTCCTTCCCTCTTTCTTTGCTTTCTCCGCTTCTCCAAACAAGGTCGCAAAAATAGACCCGGAACGCCCATAAAGCATCGAGGGACGGATAACGATGCCGTTCAAGGTTGGCTCTTTCATGACCCGCTGTTCATGGGCAGGACGCCATTTAACTAACTCGACAGGATTGGTCAGTGGGCTGGTGTCGGTGACAATATCGGTGCGGTTGTCGCCATGAACCCAAGTCCCAGAAGTGTATATGTACGTGAGCTTTGGCGCGCTGGGGTCGCGGGAAGACTTGACGGTGTCTATGACAGCTTGCAGAATCTCGGCTGAGAGGAAGGCTATTTTGGCGCTCCCACCGATAGCTTCAATGATCACGTCGAGCGTAGGGACAATGTTGAGCCATTTGGGTGAGACCGGCTCAGCGACGATGGGTATGATTTCTTCAGCGGAGAGCTGCTTGGCTTTTTGGGCAGAGCGGGTTTGACCGTAGACAATGTGGCCTGCGCGTGCAAGTGCTTGGGCAGCAGGGAAGCCGATGAATCCAGAAGCGCTGGAGTCTCTGTCAGATGTGAAACACAGCAATGGTAGGGGGTAGACTTACCCTAGGACGAGTACCTTCATTGTATGGGAAGATGGACAAAAAGAGTTGACTTGGCCATAGTTTTATACAGGAACTCAAAGATAGAGTGGGTACCATGAGTGGAGTGGGTCATCTCTGTCAGCAGCTGTCATCCGAGGCTTACGAAGAAGAGCGGCAGCTGCGCACGACCAATGTGTTGACAAGAGATCCAGCGGAAATAGAATTGTATTCCCTACATCGTGCGAGAGCAGGAGCAGATGACCTAAATGGTCATCGTTTTGTTCCCAGTCTGGCCATCACCTCTTGCTCACTTACTGCGATCACGCTTTCCCGCGAACGGGCAATGGACAACTCTGTTTTCCAGCTTCCTCTTCCACTGTTGCTATTAGTTCATCTGCATATCCTCGAGTATCCACACGTCAATGACCCAGAGTACGATATCAACGTCTTCAATTCCCGAACGCGTGGTCTGCGAGATCGTGCAAGATCCACGCAGGATATCTTCTATTTTCTGGTCGGAAAGATTGAGAGAACAAAAGCACGCGTCCAGAAGGTACCTGCCAATTATAAGATTCCTCTAGTGTCTCACCGAAATTTGGTAGATCTTGCCCTCGTATCCTTGTCTCAAGCCAGCAGACACCACGACGTTTCGAAACTCACTAGCAAAGTACATTGAGAACTTGAGACATCAAGCTATTGCCTCATCTGCTGACGCAGAATCTCCAACCGCGAATGTGGCTTGGTGGTGGAGAGACGTCGTTGTTAGGAAGTCACTCCTGGAACAGTGCGAGGGTGAAAAGTAGCTATTCAGGCGTTATTACGCGTCTTTCGTTCTGATTTGGATCAAATCTCATTAGGTTTATGCGTATGGTTGTCTGCCTTTCAACTCACGCGTTGTTCATCGCGGTATCGGCTACTAATGCCACTTTGGTATGTTCTCTATCTGGCCTCGTTAACTGGTCTTTACACGTTCGTTTAGAGTAATATATCCCAACTATCTGGGAACTATGCTTCTCGACTTGAATCTATGAAATATGCGAAGAACGGCTGGGTTCGCACTGCGTCCCTCATCCTACAGCGCAGTCGAGATCTTAGCACGTTACGGGTAGAGTCTTGGCTCCTTCGTTTCCACAAGTCGCTAACCATACACACAAGACTAATCTAGTGAAGCAGATGATCGCCCCGTCCAAGTACGGTTCTCTTTCCACATCAAAACTCATAGCCCTCCTCGACTCCAAGGGACGAGATCTCAAGCATAATTGGACAAATCGAGCACTGGAGTTTATTCTTGAACTGTCTGGCCTGAAGATGTCTCCCACCTTATCGTTATCCTCCCCGGATACCATCATTAGTACCACCATCCTTCGTCAACGAGCATCTAATAGTCTCCCACAGGTCCTGCCTGTAGCCGCAGCTCATCATTTATCCAATTTGCGAAAACTGAAGAAGCCGGTACTAGCCATCAAAGCACCCGAGTCTATCACTATCAATGTTAAAACAGAGACGCTAGCTCCCTATCTCAGCGCGACTTTATCAGATTACCACGATGCCCAAGTACGAATGCATCAGAACTTGCAAAATGCACTGACAATCATCAACCGTGGTCATGATCGTTATAACTCTCGAATAAAGAAAATGAAGAACCGTGGAGCCCTCTCTCTCAATTTGAGGCAGCCTCCTGATTGGCGACTGTATGTGGACTTTGAAGCGCGTAATCATTTCCCTCCTTCAGCCCCATAAATGTAATGAACCGAAAATACAGACACCTCCCGATCCGTCTTTATTCTCACTCTCTACACCCGATAACCTTGAATCCTTAGAAGAGCGTATAAACCGTATCAGGCACAAGCTCCCTGTAACCCCCGCGATTGGCGCCTGCAGCCGATACTCAACGAAAAAACCGACAATATCCGGCTGCAAAGCGTCTTGAATCCTGCGTAAGTCGTTGCCTTCTCTGCCTGCTAATCCCAGCTGAAAGCTCTTCAGGATACTACGTTGCATGAAGACGACAGTTTTTCAACCACCGATTCCGAAATCTGAATGTGTGTGGAGGGGATCGAGATTACTTTCAGGCTTTCCGTCTTTGGTAAACTCGTCCATGGCATTGAAAGATCTCGAATCTGATGATGGAGAGTGGTAATATATGCTGATATTGACATGGTAGTGTAGTACATGCCAAGTCGGTAATATTAATAAATTTACAAAGCTAGCGCAGGAGACAGCTCCATCTCATGCCTCAGCTGGCCGCAAATTTCGGCGGGGGCATCCTTGAACGTGTAGACCCGAAGGCCAAGGAAAATCGAGTCTTCTTCAGACCCCTGTGTAATAGCCCTGGCGATCTTTGTCTTGTCATCGTCGGAGGGTTGGGAGACAGCTTCAATCTTGTCAATGTCGGCCTTTTGTTCGTTATCTGTGGGGATGGCATCGACAACACCGTCCTCGCCTGCTTTCTCCTTTTCGATCTCCCCTTTCTCCCGGTCCTTGTCTTCGTCTGTTGTCTGTCCCTTCTCGGCAACAGCGCTATCTTTTGTCTCTTCTTTGGTGCTTTCCTTTACTGGGTTTTCGCTCTTTCCGGTCTCTTCCTCGATTGTCACTTTCTCTTCGGCGACCTTTTTCGCGGCAGCTTTCTCCTCCTCTGCTTTCCTGACTGCTAAAGCTTTCTGCTCTAATTCAGCTAAGTCTTGTCCAGCCAGGATATCCAAAGGAATGGGCAAATTCTGGGCCTGCGAGCTATTACAAATGTTGATAACCCGTCAAAATAATAACATGGAGAGGTGAGAAGAATACCTTGCGTTGAAGTCTACGAGAGAAAAACGATCAGTTAAATAAGATGTCATGGCTGGTGACCTACTCATAGCAATGGACTGGCTCTTGGCACGCTCGGCGAGCACCCTCGAAAGAAAGCGAGGATTCCAAGTCTCAACGTTTTCTTGAAGGTATGTCTACTCATTCTTCTATAAGTAGACGTCGCAGAAAGATAGTGTAGTGTGCCAGCCTTACCGACGGGCGATATACGAAACGGTCCAGACGAACCTGAGTCAAAAATTCAGAATAAACCCCCGCCGAGAACAAGAAGTACGCACGTGTACAACATACGACCCCGCCTCCAAATTCACTTCGACATTTACGCTTCGCGTGAGGAGCCTAGATGCCGAAGATTGCGCAATAAGATTCTTATCTCCTTTTTTAAACACCACGAAATCAAAGGTCCAGTGCGAGCGCCCTGATATAGCTTCGAAGTAACGATCGTCCAACTGCGACAGAACAATCATCGCCTTGGTAGCAGCAGGCAACGTGATAGTGACTATAGCAGAGACTCAGTGTAGCACATTATAATAAAAAAGGAAAATAAGACGTACATGATACATCCCCGTACGTCCAGGCCGAGGGAAGTGGGCGCGCTGGTACATGAAGCCACTGAGAGGACATGACCCAGTTTTCATCAAACAAAATGGTTTTGTCAATCTGCTCCCAACACTCCAAGAAGTCCCTGTCTGCATAAAGGTCGCAAAGATGAGCGAAATCTGAGAAATCGGATATAAAGAAGGAACGCACACTCCATGACAAATTGGCCATCGTCTCCAAAGGAATGTTCAAGTTGGGGAAGCATCTCAAGCCATTCGGGTGTCCATTGTTTCGAGCCGTCTGACCATGGACCAGTCCACTCAGAGTTGCCCCACGGATTTCGGATGACAACGAAACGTTTGTCTTTGCATTCAACTGCTCTGAGAACAGAGTAGGCATGGCCTCCAATCAAACCGCTGACTTTGATGTAATCTTCCCCGCTACGACTAGAGTCAAGGTCATTGAATGCGACCCCAAAGAGACGATCATGATTGGCCTTGAGCAGCTCTTCTGTCCAAAAAAGATCGGGATCAAGGATGTCCTGGAGATAGCGTTAGCTACAGTCGTACAGAAGAAAAGTATCAGATGCACATTTGCAGGGATGAAACATGTTACGCCACTGCGCTCAAATTAGCGTACGTTTAGTTAGGGTGATTGAGTCATGGAACGTACCCCGTGAGGTCTTCAACGGCTTCGCAGGCCCAGCCACCGCTCAAAGCACTGTAACTCCCATGGAGTTTCGCATACGCCTTTTCGATCAGCGGCACCCATGTCTCCCCATCGGTACCAGATCTGGCAAAGTAGAGGGTAGCGCTCCCTTTGCGTGAGGATCTGTTGTAGAGCGCCTTGTCGTTGTGATATAGCTGCTTTTCGGCTCCACCCAGCTCTTCGAATTTGGGGATAGACGTATAGAGCAGACTACGCAGAATTGAAACCACTGGCAGAATGAAAAGGGAGAAAAGCCACTTACTCATCGATGACCACATTTACCCATTTATTGTCGCGGAAGAAGATGAATCCATATACCCCAATCTTTTCATCTCTCTGAATACGCAAATGAGATGCTTATTACCTTTATCAAGAAGTATACTTACGGCAACACAGAATTTTTCCACCAACCCTGGGGACGTGCACATTGTTGCCAATGCGGAGACAAACCAGCAGTCACCAATAGCACCCTGAACTATATCATTCGAAGATGCGCCATCGATGAAAAACTGAGGATTGTCAAAGATCTGGGCCACGCGGAGTACATCAGAGGGATTGTATGTTTGGTCGCTCGCAAGTCCATGAAGGCACCGAAATTTGTCATGCTGTAGATCAAACTCGTGATCTCTATGTAAAATTTGGAGCTGGAACCAGGCTGCGAAGAATAGTCGATAACGAACCTGAACTTTCGATTCTTCGCCTTGCATTCCTTTGCAATACGTTCAACCTTTGTCTTGCAATCGACTAGTGCCTTTTCTAGTTCAGCAGTGACTAGTAAGCCGGCATGGTGTCCTTCTTGGAGGAATGATTTCTTGATCTCCTCAACATCCGGTTTCCCTTTGAAGAGATTGAAGATAGGCATTGGTATGGGGAAGAGAGCCGAGTCATCGAGATCTTGTTATATGAAGGATTCGGCGAACCTCCGAATGCCGTCAAGGGTAGAGATTTGCATTCGATTTTGGCGCTTATATGGGCGCTGCACAAAGGGCTTGTTGGAAGTTTTGATATAGATCATCGGCAAACTCGGAAGACGGTAGACAGCGAAACCTCCAGTAAAGCATCGGTATGTTTAAATATTTCCAAGGCTACGAAACGTGATACACCGTGAATGCATTGTGCAAGTTGCAGCAAAGTCATAACATTGGACGCGTATGAGACGGAGCTTTGACGCACCGGCAGATCCGGCGCTTAGCATCTGTTACTAATTATAGCCTCGTGCTGACCCACCTAGTCTATACTTATTCGAAATCCATCAGCATTCTGTTGAACGAGACACGTACACCCGATTCTTTCCCGCCTACTTACTCATATTTCATTTCCCGACCTCCTATACTTCATACCGCCCATATATACCTCATAGTCACTACCGCATCCTCAGTCGTTTCACCTACTTACTTATCCCGACAGTTCTCATAACGTTGTTCTTATTACTTTAGGTACAGTATCATATCAACACAGTCGTTTTCACCTTTTACTGTGCCGACTGAGTTCTCATAATGTTGTTCTTATTACTTTACATTCGTCAGCGTCCTGGACCAGAACCTCCGAGAGGATGTGTTTGATATCATGATCGCAAACGGCAATGACCACGGTATTGCATCTTCTGTATATATGTCCTCTAGACTCCGAACGAACTCTTCACCTACAACAATATCCGCGTGAAGAGAGGGGTCTCGCCGACTTCTTTGGGGCTGATAAGCTGCCAACAGCATGAGCGCCTTTAGTGAAAGGAGGGTTGCCACGAGGCGCCAGACGTCGAGATGTACGAGCTGCTTCATCACCTCGATCTTGCTCATGACCACAAGGCTGGTCAAGAAACTGTTGTTGGTGTTTTTGAATAGGAATTTTTGGAGAAGGTGGGATACGAGTGCAGCGCGTCAAACTGTCCTGGTCCGGCAGGAGCTGCCCTTCCGGTAGAAAATGCGATCAGATTGATGTCTGCATCCTTGACAAAGATGAAACAGTACAGAAAGATAGGAACCTCGATGGTCCTGAACCGCAGTTGGTGACTGAAGCTATCGTCGCCTTCCGGCGGAACAACGTACTAGGGTAGAGCACCTGCATCTTCCAAAGCTTGATGAAACGACCTTCCCAGCAATGACGCTCAGCGGCGCATTTCCTTTGTTATTACAAGAGAAAGGTCACTTCCACTCTTAACAATGTCATCGTTACTAGCACTTACCCTGCCGATATTGCTCCCATGCCGCAACGAGGGAATAAAGCCTTTAGAAGTTCTTTCACAATATTTGCTACTATTCAAGCGCTTCGTCTGAGGTGAACAGTGCTTCTGCACACAGTCCAAGCTTACAGAAGTACAGATTTAACAGATGATGATGGATATCCAGTGCGGATTCTCGTGATCACGAATGTAGGGGTGTAATACAGGAAGCAGACTCATCGTCCAGACTACACTGCTTATGGTAGGGCCAAAGCGGGAGCGTAAGTCATTCATTCTCCTCTGGGTAGCCAGTAAGGTGCCAATGTGTACGAAGAGAAGGAACGAAGTGACTTTATCCAAATAATGCATGTCAGGAAGAGAGGAAAGGGGAAGCAGCGGGTCGGGCGTCCTTATGTATTATGATGGCTTAGAAAAAACAGTTTGAGTTAGGTGACATTAACGAATTGAAGATACGATGCAGACAGATAAGAGATGAAATCCATTCCAGAGATGATCATGTCAGGACAACAGGTTATGGGCGCATAACGAGCTTGGTGGACTCCATGGATTGTCTCGTCCACGTTTCTAATTCCTCAGATGGCAATGTTTTCCATTCTTTCAAAATCTTTCGAAGATCGTGAGATTCTGACTTTCGAAACCGTATCAACTTCGTCCAATGTCTTGAGCAGCCTGAGCGTTTGCTCATCAACTTCGTCAGTTCGTTTTGCTCGGTCCTGCAACTGAGCATTTAAAGCACTATTCTCTTGTTCAATCTGGTTCCAGAAGAATCAGAAAAATGATAGCACAAAAAGATAGTCGATACTCTCATCTGAGATAGGATTTCTCGTAGTCGGGCATTCTCCTCCTCCAATTTAGGAATCGTTCTCGCAGCGATAGCTACTCGAGGCTCTAGGTCCTCTCTCCATTCATCATTGCGCTCCATGCCCGCTTCTTTTCGCTCCTTAGCCTTATTGATGATGTAATGTAGAATGTCGATATTCTCCTGGACGTTGACAGTACGAAATAGTCTGTCTAGATCTCGCTTCTCATCATCAGGGCATATCACGGATTTAGTGCATTACTCACGAAGGACTGAGACTCGATGTAGTCTGATATTTGATTGAAAATCGCGGTAAAGCCTTCCTTATCTTCCTCAGTATAGGTTGGGAAACATTCTGCAAAGTCCTCGTATCTAAATCCTCGGTGAGGCCGACAATACTAACCAGATGAGAGAGACGCACGTCCATTTTCTTGCTGAGCGCCGAACGGCAAGTTGAAGGGCAGAGTGGAAGTAAGACCACCGTATGCCACCACCCTGTGAGTCCATATTGTGGGAGTTGAACTGAGAGACGCGTCGCGTGATGCTGCCTCGCCGCGTGGCGTCACGTTGTGACAATCTGTAACACTGACTGTGGGCGGAGTCGGTCGAACCAATGCGTCCCATCTAACATAATTGGGCTCGAAGACGTTGAATCGTGTTGGAATGCACACGTTATTACTATTAGTACAAACTCAAAAGTAATGTTTCTGTGGATTTGAAAAGCCGTGCGCAATAGTCAAGATGACTAAGCACTCTTGGCCGGCTACTGCTTGTAGCTAACGTCGATGGACGACCCCCTTCGCGATGAGGAGGCCGGCGTCCCTCCACAGCAACCGCGACGGCGCTCGTTCTCATCCGCTATCATTCTCATGGTCATGCTCTTCTTGCTCACCAGCCACAACGGCGACGAATTTCTGGCAAGACACCAGTACCAGAACGCGCTGCAGTCACTGACGTATCAGCTCTCCAACTTTACCGCCTGGATGAACGGGACTGAAACAAACTTCACTGTGGTGTGCACTGTGTTTGATCATGCCGTATGATTTTCTCATCTCCATCGGCAGCCAGATCGAGAGCCTTCTCTCACTTCTTTACTGCATGAATTCATTCCCGTACGTCTGCCTTTGGACCCTCTATACTCCTCGTACTACTCCAATGTCACTGGATTCATTCGAGGAAGCTCGGCCTTTTTCAATATCACACCCTCTTTCTTGTCCACAGTTTCGTACTCTTGGAAGGAAGCTGCAGAGTCTTTCATTGCCCAGGTAAATGAAACAGAGGTTGTCGAGAGGGCTGGAATCTGGAACTGGACCGCTTCCAGCAGAGTATCCTTCAGCGTTTCGGAGAAGAAGCAGCCCCACACATTAGCGGTGGATCTTGTTTTGATTAATGTATGCCTTTTCTGCCAGTGACCGGAAATATTTCACCGACACTTACACAGGGCCGAATAGAATTGACCGACGAAAATACGAAGGAGGATTTGAAGTTTGATTTCGAAGGTGTCCACTTCATGCCCAACGGCTCAATATATGGGTTTGCAGAGCCATCGGGGTACGTCCACTGACAGCCTTTTTTCCAATCTAATTTTGACCATTTCTTTTCTAGAAGAAACATAGACATCAGATTGTTACCTTCCCTTGTGCCAGAAAATCAGAAAAACGAGACTGCACGCTTCGTGGAGCCCGAGCTTGCATCGAAACTGAAAAAACTTAAGAACTTGATTGACGCAGGTGTCATCGAGCATGAACCAACGCCTCAACGTATTTGCGATCTCTTTTTCCCTTATTATATGCCTGAATTGCTCGAGCAGATGAAACTTCGACGTGCCCATTCGCTCTGTATGCGCAGATGGATCCAGTCAGTATCTCGGAGCGTGAAATGCAGCAACTGGAGGAAGAAATGCAGCACCCGAAGGGTCTTCCCACTGTGTCTCCCCCCAAGCTTTCTGTATCAGGCATCCTTATCAGCAAGGAATGCGGTATCATGTTTGAAATCCGAGAAACCGAGGGACTGAGGTTTGTATCTCAGCAAGTCCACTAGACGATCTAGTAACGATGTCTTCTCAGGTCTCGCACGTTTTTCCGCAAAGTCACAACGTGTGCGTGTCCCCATCACCCTTCTTTGTTTTTCTCATCTCTCCGTGTAGATGCAGGAAGTGCAACAGTGATATATTTCATACTTCTCTTTGTCCTAGCGCGGCAAATGGAGCGGAGCCGGACGCCCTCGGGGATATCGCGAGTGTCCCGGTGGACTTTCTTCACACAGTCGACCATTGATTCAGTTTCTTTCGCTGGTCACATCACTTTTGCTATAATTGCAGAAGGTCGGCCTTCTCTCTCTCTTACCGCGCCAGCTTTTTTGGCCTGTACTATGTTTGTGTACGAGGCGGTGAGTTATACAGTTCATCATCATCTTCACTTATAACATTTATTTCTAGCAATTTTCCGTTCTCATACACCAGATTCAGATGCCCGAAGACATCGTTGATCCCGTACCTGCCCCAACTACCGCTATCACGCAAGAACGTACTGGTAATGTCCCACCCCCTGTGGTTCCCCCAAATCCAGCGACAACGGCGGCAGCTCCCAGTCTGTCCTTTTGGGCATTTGCTATCCAGCATCTAAGATCCGATCCTGGTGCCAGACTTTGTAAGGTTCTTTATCACTCTTTGGTGCATACATCGAAACGATTTCCGTAGGGATCACTATGTTCTTCTTTTTAACGTTCATCGTTCGGGTTATCCTGTCGCCCACGCTATCCCTCATGTTCGTTGCTCTCACATACTCGTTTATCTGGTTACCTCAGATCATTCGTTCCGTCCGCCGGGGTCGCTCAAGTGGGTTTTCGAAAGAATACGTAATAGCCACGACAGGTTGTAGGCTTTCCCTTGGAATGTGTGAGTAGTGTCCGGGCATATACGACCTCACTCACTGTCTGTCAGATTTCCTTGCTTGTCCAAAGAATGTTCTAGATGTCGATCCTCGATGTAAGTTTCCACACATCCTCCTTTCTATGGTCGGTCTCACGCCCAGGAGCCTGGGCATGTTATTTGGCTGCTTTTGTATGCCTCCAGGCCTTGATAGTCATCCTTCAAGATGAACTCGGACCAGCCTTCTTCCTCCCCGCAAAGGTATCTCATGATTTTGAATGGACGAAGGGGCCAAGGTGTATTCACTTGTATGTTACAGTACGCCGCTGTGAAGGCCTACGACTATCACCCGGTATTGCCCCTCCCCGATCCTGAGGCGCCGGAACAGTCTCTCGGAGATTGCGTAATCTGTCTGGACGCTATCTTAATAGAATCTCCTCTATTGCGGAAGAGGAAGTCGATTGATGAAAAGCATGATGACTGGGATACCCGGAGCACAGCGAACAAACGGAAAATAGCGAAAGGCATTGATGCAAGTGGGATTTTAAATGCCGTCCAGGCTGGTGTTGGAAACGCTGTTGCAAGGAAGAATTATAGCCTTGCGCCATGCCATCATCTTTTCGTGAGCAGCCTGTTTCTTTTTTGTTGCGAGACGCTGATCATCGTAAAATCTCACAGCATACTGAATGTCTTGAGAAAGTTAGTCGTTTATCTCTGTTTCTTTTCAATGGATATTGAACTTCCTCCGCTCAGTGGCTTGCTATTAAGGTCAGTGTTATCTACAGGATTTTGAATATTATTGATATATATGCTGGTCTAGAACATCTGTCCGCAATGTCGTCGACCTCTCCCACCTCTATAATGATTTATTTAATGCACTGTATATCCACCGCATGTAACTAATGTGTATTTTAAATTTATTCCTGTCTCCTGTATGAGTTTGCTCCCATATATGGAAGACGGCTACAGGTCTTAATCTGCGACTTGCACAACGTCGATATGGATTCTTCATCTAGCTCGCGCATTGCCTCCAATTCCATACCATGTCATGGACCTTCACGCCGCACACCAGCATCGTCCGTCTTGTGGGCTCACCTGCTGAGAAAAGACACATTGGCCGCACCGCCGAGCTCAGACATACCTCTACCACCTATTGCGCCAACCGACAGGACAGGGACGTCACTACGAATTCTCCTTCATGATACCCAAGCGCATTTTGAAAAGTTTTCTGAACGAGTGGAGAAGCTTACGAAGGGTGTAGACGAAGCGAAGCAGGAACTGGGTCTGACGAGGGCGCTCTTCCAACGAGAGCACGAAGAGCTGACAAATGAAATGTATAACTTGGGTGGGTATCTCTACACCAACATATACCTACTTCTTATCTACGTTTTTCGCCAGTCAACCGATGCCAGACCGAGATTCAGAAAACGGCTGGGCGCCCCGCACAGGCCGAAAGAATGGAGGAGTTTTGTAAAGGTGTGCAACTGAGGCTGGATGGTCTGGATAAGCGCATAGATACTATACAGTTGGTGAGTCGACGAACCGTTGCGCTGTTAATGTTTTTCTAAAGAACAAGCAAAGCTTTATCAAAACAATTCACAGACATTACAGAGTCAGTCGCAGGCCCTCCAGACGATTCAGGACCAACAGAGCACTATTCTCTCGGCGCTTCTGCCCCTTCTGCCCCTTCTTCAGGCGGTTCCCTTGCACATCGACGCAGCTCGCAACTCTATCAAGGAAGCGATAGGACAGCCCCGACAGTTAGAACGGACGTCAGAGAAGAGCTCAGACACTCGGTCTAGCTCACCCACCAGATTGGTGGTCCCTTGCGAACAACGATCCTCACCGTCCGGAAGGAAACGGCGTCGTGTGGACGAGAACACATTCTGCATTCCCGGGGATCAACAACCTCGTAGCCTTGTAGGTGCGACACGCAAGTCTTTGACGACGCACAGCTCTTCCCTCTCGAAACGGAGCTCGACATTACTCGTACCTGTACAGCAACAATCTCTTTCAGCTATGGGCTCCTCGACTGCTTTGTCTTCACCGGTCGGAATGGGCGTGCGGACTCCCCATGTAAATACAACTTTAGATCCAAAGACGCCTCGCCGTCCTCTGGCTGAACTCGTGCAGCACACTAATCAAAATGCTTTGAAATCATCTCTCCCAAAGCAGGTCCCTTCCGTGGATACTCGCGATCGTACTTCTTCCTTGCGAGGGAGACGGCCTTCGGTATTCGCTCCTACACCCCGTCGCTCTCGTCTACCTCAGCTTCCCATCTCCGTGATGACTCCAGGATCAAAGTCCAGAGTATCTGACACTGCTATGACTACAAGCACCGTTCACCGACCTTCTCATCTCTCAGAATCGCACATCCTTCCCTGTACACAACCGACTCCGCAAAATAGCACCATCTGTTCACCTGCACACGTTCCGCCCGCGACAAGTACAAACCTGACTTGTCGGACGACAACATCACTACAGCAAGACATTCAGACAACCCCACATACTAATACATTCTCTGCACCCCCGCTTACTTTACGGCAGAGAAGATCTCCTTTTGTGAGTACTATGCAATCCTTGGACAATATTTGCGTCTAATGATTGTGTCTTTGTAGCGAGAAGGTCGGCGGTATATTCCTTTAGACGATTCTGATGATTCTGACATTGATACGGCCAATGGATAAGGAACTTGCTTGTTTCTTTGGTATTCTACGCTTCATTTACATTGGCTCGTCGGACAAATGAACCTAGGTTACTATATGCTATCTTGAATTGCAGTGGTGCCCGTCCCTACTGAATCTTGAGATGATTCTTTTAAATGTCCTTCAATGAAATTTAACTTCGTTGTAACGAGGACTCTGGAAATTCCTAATGTCAAGCTTATGTCAAGTGAGGAGTGTATATTATATATGAGAAGAACTTGTCATGGATAACCGACCGATGGGTCATTAATCTGGCGATCACTATTAATATCCGACTCAACGCTTGTTGCCAACTTTGGCTTGGAACCCCTGGCTGGGAAATACGGAGGATAGGACGAAGCATGGGTCTTCCAAGGCCGTACGTGATTTGGGTAGGACGCAAGGTCCCGACTGTCAAGGATAAGTAGGGCGGGATCGTAGGCACCGGAATTTTCAACACGAATGTTATCCGAATTGGTCAATCTCGCCAGAAGAATTGTCGATCTGGGGTGCGTCCTCAGGGAATAAAAGCGCGCGACGATTCGACAACCTATATCTCCCAACTTTTCCCTCTACGGCCATCCTCTCTACTGCTCTTCAGCAACACCACGCTCGCTACCGTCGAACTACATACCATCACTATGCAGCTCTTCAAAGCTGCCGTCGATGCGCTCGCCCTCATGATGTCCGTCCGCGTCTCAGCCACGTGTTATATCTTGGAGCACAAGAAGCCAATGGAATCAGTCGAAAGTAATTACGCGTAGATGGGATGTAGATGTGATTTTGAGGTCTAGCACTCTGAGCGCTGCTTGCCTTGATGGACTCCAGGTGTTGGTACCGCCGGGTCCATAACCCTAACCTGGCCCATGCGCCGTGGCCATATGACTCTTACAGTTACATTGCAAGGTTTGCGTAATGTCTTGTGGAGTCGAAGCACTTTAGTGGCATGTTGACATTGCGAAGCGAAATATAAGCAAGCGTGTCGGGCCGATCTGCCGAGTAGCATGGCAATTTCAATTTTGTGAGATTTTATTTCGCCCACACGATGTTCTACTACATCTCATTCCTACGACCTCCCCCGTCGAATGCGAGTTTGTCTGGAAAGCTTTCTATCACCCCACAGATAGCCAATGACCTTCGTACTGAATTTTACCTCGGCACACAGGACATCTTTTATATCTGGTCGTCATCACTGGGAACCCAGACTAGACCAAACAAGTTGACCACCTGGCGGCGGGAACAGGCATACAAGGAGATTCTTGTTCCCTTGCCACCTTTAGTTCGAGAGGGACAAGAGTGGACTCTCATCTTGACAGCCTCTGCTAAGGCTTCAGACGCTATTGTTGATCTTCAAGACAGTACCGTCGTAGGAAGAGCACCCTTTGGGGTCTCATCTATGCCAGTGCGATTTGGACGGTCCTCCGCAATAGAGAAAAAGCAGGAAATGATTGAAAGAGTTTATGCTTTGCATCGCGGCACTATGAAGATAACAGAACAGACCTCATTCGACTTGGATAAGGTGTTTCCAAATATTTTCCATTGAAAACTTGACTTATCTCAGTTAGGTATAGAAAACATGGGACAGTGGCATCGGACTCAGTTCTTGGCTGGTCACTAAATCAAGACTGGGACAACTACCTGAAGAGCTGCGCTTCGCGTTATTCTCTAAAGAGAGTAGAAATATCATTGAACTGGGTGGGTATACTTATTCTTGATCTTCGTCTCTGTTCTATGTTGTTTTAGGAGCGGGAACAGGTGTTTTATCCTTGACCCTCGCAGCCTTGCGCTCGTCTGCCAACGAACAAGATGACAGCAAGTCTCGTATCGTAACCACTGATCTAGGTTCGTACATATCTATATCTATGACATCTCATTTTCAAACTATCAGAACACCAGAGTCAGCGATCCCTCTTTTAGAGCACAATATCGCAGCAAACAGACACTTGTTCACCAGCGGGTCGGCTCATCCGAAAGCCAGTGTGTTAGACTGGGATGAAGATCTACCTGATTATATACAATCCATCACTGCTGGGTTTGATGCTATAATGTATGTAAACTTCGTCAATTTCCGCCGACGGGTAGATTCTTACACTAATCCAGCATGGCCGACGTCACATACAACACATCTTCCTTTTCGGCTCTGGTTCGCACACTCTCCAGTCTTATCGCGATGAGCGCAAAGCGTCCCTTGGTTCTCTTGGGATACAAAGAGCGGGATGAGGCCGAACGCACTATCTGGGTCATGGCTGAGGAGATTGGTATTCACTTCAGAAAGGTTGACGAGATCGTGGGGTCGGGTGGTGATCCGATAGAAGTTTGGATTGGAGAAGTCAACCGCCGTCAGGAGACAAAGACGACGGTAACAGGCCGAACGAAGAAACCCACTAATTAACCCACAGAGGAACTGGGGCGCCGGCAGGGCCTGCGAGCTAGTGGTTGTGACGGTTAGTAAATCACTTCGCCAAAAAAAGACGTGATTGAAATGGTAGCTCAGAGAGGAAGTAGCCAGTCAATCTAGCTTTTCTGTTTCCGCATTCGTTATAGACATTATAAATGTCGCCCATCAGTACATCGTATGATTATGCGTAGTATCTGGATATCAACTCCCGTTATTGAAGAGGCGACGAGCTAGAACAAGCAATTATCGACTTCCAAAAATTCACCTACATTCCATGTACATTATAATGCGGCCGGACTATTTTGCTATACCAGATAGACGGATTGTAAATGTATACGCGGACAAACGTTTCAAAAAAGTGTAAAGATTTTCAGCCCCGGAACGAGGGACAACAACACTGTCTACAGTTCCAGCGATTTATATCGACTTGGGTGATTTTTCAGTAAATTAAAATTTGACCCGTTGGCGACGACCTAAATACTGGACATCAGAGTGGAACAGCCCAAAACAAAGTAGCGTACTTTTCCGAGAGACGATGGCGCCGCGTGGGCGGACATCATGAGGGCGAGCGCATCGACGGCAGCTTTGAAGAGCTGCATAGTGATGGTGTGTAGTTCGACGGTAGCGAGCGTGGTGTTGCTGAAGAGCAATAGAGATGATGGCCGTAGAGGGAAAAGTTGGGAGATATGGGTTGTCGAATCGTCGCGCCCTTTTATTCCCTGAGGACGCACCCCAGATCGACAATTCTTCTGGCGAGATTGACCAATTCGGATAACATTCGTGTTGAAAATTCCGGTGCCTACGATCCCGCCCTACTTATCCTTGACAGTCGGGACCTTGCGTCCTACCCAAATCACGTACGGCCTTGGAAGACCTATGCTTCGTCCTATCCTCCGTATTTCCCAGCCAGGGGTTCCAAGCCAAAGTTGTAGCAAAAGGCGTACTGCATCTTCGTCTCGCAGCTCAACAACCACCGTCACGGTCGTTCGTCCAGGCGTTGAGACGCAATCAATAGTATCCACCAGCGCTGGCACCAAAGACGGGTGATATACACAATCCACCACTAAAACAAGGTCAAAAGCTGGAAAATCAAAGACTCGCGAACGCCGTTTTGATGGAGTTGCATGCAGTGAAAGCCAGTCCAGTTCGGCGATTGATATATTAGTCGTACCAGGAGAGCCAGAGCAATTTAGTAAGATGTTCTTTTCGAGTAGTGGTAACATTTCACTGGTATCAGTGACGGTGTAGCTCTTGACCCAAGAACAGAGTGCTACGCTCAGCAGACCGGTGCCCGCCCTGTCATCTGAGATCAACGAAAGAATACGACATAATCTGAAAACACTAACCCGAGTTCCAGCACCGCCGTATCTCCCAAATAATTCTTGTCAAACAGAGAAGCCGTCGGTGCAACAAAGTGAAGCTGCTCAAGGACAAGACGAGCAAAATCAATACTATACAGAAAGAATGACTCTGACGGTAGTGCGAAACAAGATTTACTAGCGATACCTAGCTTTCCATACCACGCTTCCCGTATCCCCACGCCGACTTCGCAAGGCGGTAGTGTCCTGGGCAATGCTGATTTCAATTGTTTTACCAACAGGCCTCGACACTTTGGTTCCACGTTTTGAAGAATGCCGCGAAGATCTTGCTCGAGACGAAGATACCGGAGGCGCACCTGTCGGTGGGCAGAGGTCCAGCTGAACTGTGAGAACATCATGATGCGAATCTTGCTGTCCCAGTCCACGGAATCCATTCGAGTTTGGAGAAATACCGCTCTGGAGATCTGAATATATCAAAAAGACCTGTGACAAGAGCAAAAAAGTCAATCCGGCATGTAAGAAATCAGTAGAAGGATGGTACCTCTTCGTCTGCATCAACGACCTCCTGTGAATCTTCTGATAACCGAACAACACCATAAACACGATTGCCGCCGTCATTCATTGAGATAGGAACTGAGTAAGCTCTCCCAAACAGAAGCCGTTCTGAGTCGTAATGGTCGGCACTAGACAAAACTTTGTTGTCGACTATTTTCTATGGCCTGTCGATGCTCTCTTCGTCGGTCCACCATCATTTAGCACGGTCGCTGCCTCCTTTGCACGCTGCTCGTCGATTATTCACCAATGGAAGATGCCTGAGATACACTGAAGCTACTCAGAAGGTCCATGAGCCAACTCTTGAACGGCCTAAATTTGCGGAAAGGCTAGGTCGACCTCAAATAAAGAACCAAATCCTGGTACGCTATATAATATTGAGCCTTTTGGATGTTAGATGGCTAACCGAATGAAAGTTTTTTGTATTTGGGTCGTCGCTCGCGTTTTCCTATGCCGCATGGAGAACGAATTTAGAGACTGAGGCCTGGGCGACCAGGCTGGCTGCAAGCACAAAATGGACCGAGATTACTAGCGCAGACCTACGTAGGCTCCAACAGATCGATCTGGTCAAGGTGTGTCTTCCGTGTGCTTGATCATCTCCAATCCCGACCCGTGCATGACAGAATCTTCGGGGGTCCTATACTCTTATCCAAGACCAAGCCTCGCAGATCCCCCAGTTGCTCCGACCGTGGATCAGCGGATTATACCTTGCCTTCGCACAACCCTACGCAGATGCCTCAGATGGGCGTCGGCTCTGCTGGAAACTATGTCTGCTCAATGCCGGCGTATGGGTGGCTTGGAATGTATCTCGTTTGCAACCTATGATGATTCGTAGTTTCATGCATCACCCGCTCTCCGGCTTGTCGTACACCATGCTCACAAGCACGTTTAGGTGCCTCTGTTCAGCAATTTCATTTCGCAACATGTTGACTGACTTGTAAATACAGCCATAGGTCGATCATCCACCTCTTGGCCAATTGTCTAGCGTTGGAAAGCTTCGGTAGCTGTCATAGAAATGTTATTTAGACTCCAGACTCATCTTTCGTTCGCAGGATCGTCAGCGGCGGTGTATCTATCTCAGTCCCAGTCGTCGGCATCCCCAGATCAACTTGAATCAACATCGGCATACCATTTCCTAGCTTTTTACCTCTCGGGTGCGCCATTTCAAGCGTCATTGGTCAAATTACAACTATAATCCTTTCCTAATCTACTATAGCTGGCATCTTTGCATCTCTCGTTTCGCATACCGTGACCGTAAAATTCAAGTACCCCCGTCTCATATCTCGTCTATCTTCTCCTGCCAATGCTGCCAAACCCGTCGACACATGGCAGGCCGCGGTCTCTGCAGTATCCAACTCGGCAGCGAGTGCAACAAGGAAAGCTGCAGCTTCGTCGATAATGCCTTCGTTAGGCGCATCTGGTGCCATATATGCCTGCGTAACGATGACAGCTTTAGCATTTCCGAACGGGCAGATTGCTTTAACCATTCCTCCTTCATATCCCATTGATATACAGTTAGGCGTGGGTGCCTTACTTGCACTAGATGTTCTGGGCGTAATTCGGGGATGGCGGTTCTTTGACCATTTTGCCCACCTCGGAGGTGCTGCTTTCGGTGTCGCATACTACACCTTTGGCCCGACGTTTTGGACCTACATAAGAGGAGCTGGTGGCACCAAAAAGTCCGATCAGAAAGAAGAGTAAAGGAAGCATCGATTTCCTAGACGTCTTGGATCTGGATTCGTATAAAATTCAAGACAGTATTTGTATTCTCAACTCATCCACACTCTGTAGAATCTATAGAATCGAGTTATGCAGTGTCGTGAAGCCACAACGGGTCTGACAATGTCGCCTTCCAAGGCTGAGAATATTTTATTCACGCAGATCTGGCCAAGATACCGCTTCATTACTCTTTACGTGTGGTTTTTGGACTTTTTTCGTAATGAACGGACTTACTAGGCTTCTAGGAACATTCATCCATAGATCTGGTTATGTCCTTTATCGATTGACATAAATACCCGTATTTCGGGTATACTACTTCTTCATAACGGTACAAGAGCCTCAATCAGCATGGCATGCACTAAAAACTGTGCAATCAAGAGTACGGGTGGAAAGAGTGCCTCTTGCACACCATTAACTTATTCTTTTCTAACCAGCTTCCGTAGCTACTAAAAAGCCTGTCTTGACTAGCATCAACAATTCTCTTCCCCCCAAGCAATTTGCTATTAAGACCTCGTAAATGCCAGCTCACAAAAGGTTGCGATGCCATCGCTTCCGGTCTGAAACTGTGGCCCTTCGTGACATCAGGAAGTACCAAAATTCGACCCACCTGCTTATCCGAAAGCTGTCCTTCCAAAGTCTTGTTCGTGAAATAGCTCAAAACGTCCAGGCAAGTCGTCTTTATGTCCTCAAGGCGTCGTGGCACTTACGTGCTTCATAGCTTTTCCTTCCGCTTCGCTTCCAGACCACTGCCCTTCTGGCCCTGCAAGAGGCTGCAGAAGACTTTTGGTTTCCATCTTTAAGGACGCAAATGCTGCGTGCCTCCACGCGAAACGAGTCATTCTGATGGCTCGGGATGTCGCTTTAGTTCGAAAGATCAGAGGAGGTCGTGAAGCATATTAAAGTATCAGAGTTCAGTCTAAGGGGGTCATAGAAACTACGAACGTAAAAATGCTCTGCCTGCCAGTGGGTAATGTATCCAACTTTGATTTCACTTATATTTCAGTGAACAGACAGGTAATATAGCATGGTGATCACCTTAATAGCCTCATGTGGGTAAGAGTACTACAAGCACAGTCGGACGTTTGATATTTAGCCATTCGGCTACTGCGGAACAGCCTCAGGACCCCCACGCAGCAAGACGCACAGCACGGGGTAGAGTTCAATTATAGCTCTAAATACGCTTAACGGTCAAACAAAATGAGTTACAACACTCCAAGAGGCCCCGAGTTTCTTGTCTACCAATCTCAATACTTGCGTTTCTTCAACTGTTCAACAAAGTGTTACCGTTGACCGGGATGTCCGATCACCAGGAAGTAATAATATCATGCGATCACGTGGCGGAATTTTCCTTGATACGACATAATAAGGACCGCAGCTACCCTTGGCCCCCGTTCGTTTTGCCTAGTTCCCCCCTACTCGCTGGGCGAGCACAGCAATCTTCTATCCGATTTATACCTCTACCACGACGTTCATTCACACATTTTTTCCTATCCCTTTCTCTCTCTCCAATGCTGTCGGCGTTATTTCTTTGTTTTACCCTCCTGTTATACGCCTCAGATGTTTTCGCTGCTCCTCAACCATCGCCCGCCGGTAACGGGATTTCGATGAATCTACATAGACGACGTCCCTCGTACCGTACGAGGGAAGAGTGGGGCCAATGGGCGAGGAACAAGAGGGAGATGTTGATGACGAAGTACGGTGCTTCAGTACCCCAAAAGCGCAGTTCGGGCAGCAATTTGTAAGTTGTTGGTTGTTGTAGATGGGTCGGTTTATCCAATGCTGCGTGTAGATTGGTCAACCAGAATACCGACTCGAGGTACGCTTAGCTTGACCACGGGTGCAAACACTCCCTGACCACGTTTAAACTTGTCAGTTTTTACGGATCTTTGGCCATTGGCACTCCTGCCGTTTCATACGATGTTATACTGGACACGGGTTCTGCGTACGTCGGTCCTTTGGCCTCGTAATTACGTTTGCTCTAACTCTGGCTTTAGTGACCTGTGGGTCGCTGACAGCGACTGCGTATCAGGATGCAGCAGCATACCCACATTTAACACCGCCGACTCGAGTACATTCGTAAATAAAAGCACAGATTTCTCTATATCGTATGGTAGCGGCAGTGCCTCTGGCTTCTTGGGCTCTGATACTGTCCAAATGGCCGGTTTCTCCGTGTCAGATCAGGTCTTCGCGGTGTGCGACACAGTAACATCTGGGTTGCTGACCGATCCTGTCTCTGGTCTTTTGGGCCTGGCCTGGGAGTCAATATCGACGTCGGGAACTACTCCCTTCTGGCAAGCGTTAGTCGCGGGAGGTGCTTGGGATGAGCCTGTAATGTCGTTCCAGCTGACACGGTACGCATTTCTTTGACGTTGATGATTTCGTTGTCTGATGAAAGTCGCAGCTATCTCGGAGTCACCGGTGCTAGTAGCCTCGAACCTGGAGGAACCTTCACCATGGGTATGTCGACGTCGAACTGCCTTGTTTGCTGGACGCTAATCACCGATTTACTATCAGGCTTCGTCAACTCGACATTGTATACTGGAGATATCGAATATACGGATTTGGTCGACTCCGGAAGTTATTGGCTGTTGTCTCTGACCTGTAAGATCTCCACCTATTCCAGTGTGACTTAACGATCAATATGCGCAGCTCTGACCGCTCAGGGGACCTCCGTGACCATAGGCTCCGGCTCAGAAGCCTATGCGGCAATCGACACTGGCACAACCTTAGTTGGGGGTCCTTCCGAGTATATTGCTAATCTTTATGCGGAAATACCTGATGCGACTGCGGGTACCGGTGACTACGATGGATATTATATATATCGTGAGTAATTTAGTCGTGCTACTATTTCCAAACGTGTTCTCAATCGCATGCTTAGCTTGTGATACCGATGTCAATGTGACGATGTCCTTTGGTGGAAAAAGCTGGTCCATCAGCAACCAGGATTTCCAGCTTACCAAGATATCGTCATCGGAGTGCCTGGGCGCCTTCTTCGAATTGACTACCGGAAATAGCGCACCTGCTTGGATTGTTGGCGATACTTTTTTGGTACGGTTCACAGTTTCAAGTTGACTACTGCAGTGCTGACCTACAAATAACGCAATAGAAAAATGTTTACTCGGTATTCCGATACAGCACCGCAGCAGTAGGGTTTGCTGAGCTGAGCAGTTACGCATTGTCTATGAATGGCGATACGAGTGCTACAGTGCCCACTGCGACCATCGGTTCAGTTGCAGCAGCTGTATCAGCAACAAGCAAATCTGGGGTACAAAGCAATTATGCAAGCCGGACGTCTCTGGGTGCCGGAACGTGGCTAGCAGCATTGGTCATGATCGCTGTGGTTTGCCTATCATGACAAGATAGTACTTATTTAAATGGACATAAGACAGCCTATCAACACAACATTCTATTCTCAACCAAGTTATGTATACTGTATCGATATTCGCTCATTTTAGAATTAGTTTGACAACAAAGATAATGTTTCCGGTGATGCGGAGGTCGGCCACGATCATCATTGCAACATCCTGACGGACGTAATTGAAGCGCAGCGAGAATACAAATTTACACAATTGCACGTTCACGACCCGTAAGGCCGCAGTAAATGCCCATCAGACGGGCCTAAGAGGGACCCCATATTAATCAGAATTTAGAATTTCATTCCATACCCACATCGGGACCGACCTTCCGTTGGCTTTTTCCCGCGCCTCCACATTACGCGTCACGCGCATTCCTGTGGGCTTGTACGCACCGGAACCCTGTAGTTAATGTTGTATAATTAACCTTGGTAATATACCATTCCTTTTCTGCTGTATCCTATGAAGTAGTCTGTGTTTTTGGGAATCTTCCAACCTTCCTCAACCTTCCTCTGCTCTCGTGTGTCGCTTCCTGGCTGAAACTATTCGAGATTTAACTACGGACTAGCAATAAAAGCGATAGAAGGTTGTCTGTCCATACTTGTTCTTCGGAGCTTCTTTGGGAGCTTCCATGAACTTCTAGCTTTGAACAGCCACTACTTATGTCATTTCTCCTTGTACTTCATTTCTACATTTCCAGTGTCGTACAAGTCTTAATTTGAATCCTATACATGTCTGTGTAAGCTGTATCAAATAATTCGAACGTGAACTTAGAGACTATGATGTTCCATCTGTTTCATTTCTATACCCAAGAGACCGAACACCGTGTATCTGCCTTGGATCTCAAAGTTTCCGGAGAATAAACCAGAGTAATATCCTTCACATCTTTCCCATAATGAATAATCCACTATGAGTCAGAACCACCTTCTCTATTGACATTTCCTGTATGATCTTGAGCTTCATGTAAAATAGCAAAATGTGAAGGATTCAAGTTGTCACCTGTTAAGTAGCTACATTAGCCCTCGCCAAGATTGTGGGGTCGTTTACTATGGGCATATTTTCCTGGATGTATCTATACATTCTCACAAGGTGAAGATATAGAATAATTGTACATGAGGTACAGGAATCGTCAATTCCTGAACATCTCTGGAATTGCCCATTCACTATCCATGTGAACATGGGAGGCCCAGATTTATATTACAGTAAGGTACAAAGGTAGTCTAAGTTAGTTTGCGTAGGAGATAAACGAATACCGGATGCCCCAAGTGCAAGATTAAGCGGGAGATGATACAGACCGGCCACGGGAGCCTGGAGCATTTTCAGATGACCTCCTATCACTGGTGTTGTTAGATTCTAATTAAATCGCAAAGACTTTCAGCCACGAAGCGGCGCGCGAGAGCGGGGAAGGTCAAAGAACGTTGAAAGATTCTAACAAACACAGGCCACTCAATAGGATATGTTGGCGAAGCAACAGTATATTGTCAAGATTAATTGTACATTTTCATTACCCAGATTCCGATGTTATAAGTGCACGGGAGAGCAGGCGATGCTAGACGCGTAATGTGGAAGTCGATCCCGAGGGTACGGAATGAAATTCTAAATTTGGATTAATATGGAGGAATGACGCGAGGTCCCCCTTAGGCCCGTCTGATGGGTATTAACTGGGACCTCACGGGGCCTACTACCATCTCAAACAGCTACCAGTGTTCGCGACAAGCAAAACCGGATCCATTGATAACCACGGCAGCCCCGACGCTCGCAAGGTTCATAGAAAACTGCAGATTCCGAAGCCGATTGTAGATCCCGAACAAGGGAATACACTTACAGATGCATGACAGAGTAACCAATAACAAAAGAAATCCCAAGATACAAAATGAAAAACATAAATATGGGATAATACAACTAGGCGTACAATAAAGATAGGCAAACAAACACGAATGTCTCTACGAGCGCTCGCCCCTCAACCTACGGGCCAAAGCCAAATCTTTAGGCTGAATAGTAACACGCTTAGCATGAATCGCAGCAAGATTAGTATCCTCAAACAACGACACAAGATACGCCTCAGCAGCTTCTTGAAGCGCCATCACAGCAGACGATTGGAATCGCAAATCAGTCTACACACCCGTCAACTCACCGCCTACACATCACACAATACCAATACCAACACACCTTGAAATCCTGAGCAATCTCACGAACCAACCGTTGGAATGGCAGCTTCCGAATAAGCAACTCCGTCGACTTTTGATACCGACGAATCTCACGAAGAGCAACCGTTCCAGGCCGGAATCGATGAGGTTTCTTCACTCCACCAGCAGCTGCCTAAACCACGACTTCAGTCCCATACTCAAACCTCAAATACAGCAAACAACGCTACTCACTGCAGTCTTCCGCGCAGACGACTTGGCTGCCAATTGTTTACGAGGCGCCTTTCCTGTTCAGATCTCAGTACACCGAACAGCACTCGCACCAACAACGGAAACCCACCTCCAGTAGACTTGCGTGCAGTCTGTTTCGTGCGAGCCATGGCAAATAATAAAGGTGAATCGAAGAAGTGGTGGTGGTGGTGGTGGATTGAAGTAACATTACCCTTCGTTTGCCCCCGCGTTATATACAAACACGACGCGTCTGTCCACGTGATGGCCCGCGATGCCCTGAATCAACAAAACAAGGAATAAGCACAGCCACCTGTCGGAGCTACATAAGGCCTGCCTCGTTTGGAAGGAGGTCCCATTGAGTTGTTCTCGTTGCTACTGCCACCACCGCCGTAATTTGTTTACCTTACCTACTACACAACTCGTATCGACATGTCTGGACGTGGCAAAGGTGGAAAGGTGAGCGTTGGCATTGATGGGATGGATTGTTTCTGTGCTGACTGGGGGGGTGGTTAGGGTCTCGGAAAGGGAGGAGCTAAGCGTCACCGCAAGATTCTGCGTGACAACATTCAGGGTGAGTGGAATGGGTTGCTGTCGTTGTTTTTCGTCCGGTGCTGAGTTGGTGGGTAGGTATTACGAAGCCTGCTATTCGTCGTCTTGCCCGTCGTGGGGGAGTGAAGCGTATTTCTGGTTTGATCTATGAGGAGACCCGTGGTGTGTTGAAAATCTTTCTGGAGAATGTGGGTTGGATGTCTTTTCTTTTGTCGCGTTTCTGTTTTTGATGTGTGTTGGTGCAGGTTATCCGGGATTCTGTTACGTATACTGAGCATGCGAAGCGGAAGACGGTGACAGCGCTCGATGTTGTCTATGCCTTGAAGCGGTCAGGCCGCACTCTTTACGGTTTCGGCGCTTAGTTCTTTGTCTGCAGTCTTGTATTCCTTTCCCTGTTATTGTATCTGTATATTATTTTTCGTTGTCACGTCTATCTATTAGTCTGTGTATGCCTTTTTCAAGCAGGCAACCTGTCAATGGGGAATGTACGACCTTGTCGGACTGGTCCCAGTCTGGGCAAAGACATCTGGTGCGTTTACGTACTGAAGCTAGCGACGTAGACTCTTAAGTTGCCCCGTTCTGGTGGTCGAAGCTAATTGCTTATTAATCGTTTAAGGTGTCAGGTAGGTACTTGAGCTCTCAGCAGGACAGCTAGGCAGGTATGTGGTGTACAAGAAAGGACCCTCCCTGATTACACAAGTACCATAAGAATCATTGTATGCTACACCCCCCCAACCTGGGGGGTGAGGGGGGGGGGAGACCTAAGTTCTACGACCTAAAACTTTCCGATGAATACCATCAAGCTCATCCACTCGTAGATTGATCGCTGTGTACGGCTTCACGTTTCCCAGTCAGCTTCTCGCAATTTCTCAGAAGTTCTGGAATATGGCGTTGCCTGAACAACCGCTGATGACTTGCCATTTGAAGGAATGGGTTCAAAACGAGTGAGCTGCTTAAGCTTTCCATATCACACGGAGATCAATATATCGATATATTACAACATGCGATGGGGGGAGAACTGCTTATGCACTTCCCCTTGCAATCGGGTCTCGAATGGGGAGGGTGGGGAGGGTCGAAAATCGGTAGTGATGGCAGACATGCCATGATCGACGATGAAGTGATATTCTGAATTCAACGTACAACTTCACCGGCTGGAGCGGCGCGGCGGAAGATTATCTCAGTCACACGATCACAAATGAATGTCGTACAGCGGAATTGTTGATCTGCTCCCTTCCCGTGAGAACGATCTTGATGATCGCGCCTACTCGCGGGTATTGATTCTGCATGCGAGGCGAATACAGGCTGCTGACCGCTATATATACCATTATTGGTGGTAGTGTTTAATGTGTGCTGGATTCAAGCATATGCCAGAGGATGCCCGTCATGATCCTAGGATATATCAGGTACTGTAAATAGAATATTCTAGATATGAGTAGCTAGCAATTTAGTATTCCTATACTCGAGTGATCTTGCACTGCGAGTTACCAGAGAGTCCCATAAGGGTGAGCAGCCCTGGACTTCGAGTCGTTTCGCAGTTGACGGACATCGGAACTTTACTACATCCAAGCTTCATCTATTTTATACGGTTTGGACGTTTCGCTCGCGCCGAAAGGCAATGGAGAGGAGCGCCCCCCCCCCCAGTTGGCCAATATCCGGAGACCCAGACAACCACTTGGGCAGTTGGACGGGCACGACAGTTTACAGCCTTGTCTATAAAAATCACTTCCAGAAGCCATTGTAAGATATCGCTCCTTAAGGCTACTATTTACTGCAGTCGTTAATGTCCAATAGCAACATGTCAGCCCTTTTGAGGCATTAGCTCTTGCAGAAAGACCGGGTCGTGTTGGTCCACTGGCATTAACCCGGACTATCTGCCAATCGAAGCTCGTTACTTCCATTAACTTTAAGTCAGGAAAAATGTCGACAAATTACTGAAGAATGAGCACCGTTATTAATATCGGATCATAGACCACTGTTTTCATCCAATTTCCTTCAAAGTATCGCAATTACCTACATCTTTGTTTGTTTCCTAGTGCCGCATTAAACCACATTGGACCGTACGGCAAGTATGTTCTCTGATAGGGTCAATGTGAACGAAGGAAGGTGGGAAAGGGTTTAGAATCACGCAAAGAAGCTTACTTCGTCTTGACTCTTGCTATCTCGCGTCCCGGTGGGACACGCCTTGATCATGATACCTAGCGTGGTACCAGAACGAGCTGCTTGGAAACCTATTCTATTTCAACTGCCTCGTGGAGGCTGAGCGCTGAGGAATTCATCGGTAGACTCATGAAGATAGAAAACAAGGATCGACCTTATTCAAAATCTCCTTGAATGGAAGACAGGCAATACTTTCCTGGATCCGATGCTCCGACCGCGGACATTTCATGTAACGCATGAGACATCGATGTCAATGGCGCCCGATTCCAGACCTGCGACACGAGTGGGGTCTCGTTACAGGGACACTGAAGGCGAGGCAGAGAGCACATGTTCTGAGTCCATCAAGTCAAGGGTGCCATCAACCTGTCCGAATGTCCAAGCGCTCATCGAAGGCCACTCGGATTGACCCATCTTGGCATGCTGGTGAGAAATGGGGGTCAAAACAAAGTTACCTCGAGCCAATCGTTCCAATGGCCGACCGCAATTTCATGGAGCTGCTGACCGATCAAAAGCTGCCGAGACCCCTGCGAGTGGTGGGGAGCAAGACGTGAGAAGCTGGAGGACTGAGGAAGTGCCAGTGTCAGCGCCAGTGACTACTGAACCGGGGAAACCCAAGACCAAGTTCCAACAGAACGGCAATGTGACAGTGAAGCCAGATATTTAGGACTGAGTGCCCTTGAATAAGCCACAATGAATGTCATTTTCAATGTAACGTCCCTCAGATTGGTCCGGAGTGTCAATGAAGGCACTACAAGACTTCTCTGAAGGAAGAATCGTTGCCAGCGAGCTCTATGAAAATGACTTGACTTTCTTTTCCCACAAATAGTGTACCTTTCTTCGGACGGGTATTGATACCCATTCAGCGGTATATCTGAGCGCGTACTACGCCTTGAACCTTGAGCTCTGGCCAGGGCCACGAAGCGTCGTACTCTCATGAAGCTAGCTAACGGAAGCTTTTGGCCTTCGAGAGATGGCCTCAGGGGCTCCTGAGTGCTTCCTATCACACTATCCGCGTGGATGGACTAGGTAGGTATAATCGAGGTGAAATCGGAGAACGTGCGATGTACCGGAGCTAAAATGATATTTCATTCCGCGGCACAGAATAGCCTTTCAACGTTTCAACTTCAACAAGGCGCCAATAGAAGAGGTCCAGAAAGGAGACCCAAGCGATGTAGCTCTCATCATCGTCGGTATTTGCACTACTAAGAGGCTTCTTTGTCACAGCTATTGATGCCGGTTTGTGCTTTGACTTGCCGTGGTCCTTTTTTGCGCGGGACTGTTGATAGAGCTGCTATCACCGGCAGAAGGATTCATCATTGGCTGGATAGAGCGTCGCGGGAGACGTAGCCTCAGAATGGCATGAGACTTGTCCACATAAGGTCTTCTTTACATCGTGTGAGTATCATTACATTAGATCAAAAAATGAGTGTAGTGGACTTGCCAAGGACATCATCGATAACGCTCACAAAGGCTGGAGCCCGGAAGCTCACGTATGGATCTTTGGATCAGTCTGGAGGAAAATACATGTTGGGTCCATACTGCCTCACGAGACCCGAGGCAATGAATTCATCTCGGACACAGTGTTTGACCCCAGTTTCAAAGTGTTGATATTCTCCTAGATCAAATAGATCCGATTGTCGCGTCTGAATCCTCGCGGGAGAGATCATACAGGTGTGGGTATCCCCCTCCGTGGTGAACAACTGGAAACTCTCAGTGATCTATGTTATGGAAAGCAGCGAGAACGCACTAGAAATGGACGTGTGAGGAAATGCATTTGTTAGGTGAGTCACCTCGCCAGGTCCATCAATCAGCCAACGTGGGGGTGCATTTACAAACCACATTGATAAAAGGGCCTACAGTCGGAAATTAAGTATTGCTCCTCATGACCGAGCAAAATACTGGAAAGAAATCTAATTCTGCAGTAACTGTCACGGTGAAGGCTGGCAAGGGCTGCCGGACCACTCGCCGAGATTATGTAAGCTCAGTCTTTTCCTCCAACAACCACACGCCACCACCGAACTAGACGTGACGCTTCCCAGTGTGAAGGTTACATAGAGAAAGCACTGCAAAGGCGGTCATTTGGCACGATACTGCCGCGTGAATACATCCTCAACTTCTGCACTCAGTGTCTTTTATGCATCTCAATCTTGTACCGCCGGTGGTGGAAGCAGGTCATGTTGAAGACTTGGTGAAGGCGGGGGAAACCATTTCGGCGTCATATTCGCCAGTCGGAAATTCATTAGCTGTGTTTCTGACGTCTTCGGTGGGCACTATGGCTTCGTATTTATCTTGTTTCATAATGCACCTCTTCGTAACAGACAGATGACCAAAGACCCCGAAAAGAGAGCACAGATGAAGAAATTCCACTTTATTTCGCCAGCACAGATGCAGCTCCAACGTCAGAGAGACGCCTGGTGTGTGTCTAATTGCTCATTATCGATCGTTCATATTCAAACCACGTGCAGTTCATTACCGACACAATTGTAATTTTTTCGGCCTTCCAGTCCCTGTACCAAAACCGAATTGCTGATAATTCTCAATGGTATTCCACATCAGTGCCGTACTCTCCAATGAAAGGCTCATTGTTTTCTCTAGGTCGCAAGACACTGAGCTACTCTCGATCGTGCGCAAACTCTCAATCGATTATGTCAATTTCATTAGAGAGTACTGGACGCTCTTATCCGTAAATCCCAGGAACATCGTTTTTGCACTGATATTCACGTTTTCTCAGGACCGCACAGCAGTTGCATCACCGTTGCAGTTCTCCATCGATCATTATAGATCCCTGTTTTCATGCTTTTCCTTGTTTGTCATCCTCTTCCTTCCTGAACCCGATTATGAAGATGCTCCAGTGGGAGAAGAGCTCATGGAATGGTTGAACATCCATTTCATTGAACCGTCGACGGAAGAAGGGGATCAATTGAGTAGTCTCGATCGTCCTTGGGAGGATGATAATTTCTGGCCATATCTAACAAGGTAGGCTTTCTGGGTAGCAAATGCACTTTACTCGCTGAAGTTCGCTTAGGGCTACCATACGCGGCCTAACAAAGGCTTCTGTGTTTTTCTTGAAATCACTTTCTGATCATCCCTCCGAATATCTACATGACCTCAGTCAAGTACTCATACCCTTGATCGATGAACAACCCCGGTTACAGAATTACAGTGCTGAGCGTGATTTCGCTTTTGCGTCGCGACGTTGGAGGGAGAGAGTCCACACTCTCAGGGTTGAAATGGACCGTGTTCCTGAAGATGACCGCGAGGATGACTTCGATAATTGGTGGGATCGCCTCAGTGATATCGTGGGTATTCTTGAAGGTCGCGTGGACGTTCTTAAGCGAGTATGTGAAGAACTAGGTAGTGATTGGAAGGAAGTGTGCGCTGCTTGGGGTATTTTTGTTGATACCCGTCTACGACGACAAGACCTTCCGTACGTCCATGTCATCGGTTCACCATACGTGTCTGCTCACCTGGTTACAGTGACGTTGTTGCAGAGGTTCTCGAGTCCATGCCTCCTGACCCCACCGTTTTGGAAGACATGGTTCATTCAGCACTGTTCTCAGCACAAATTAATCAGGCCCTGTCGTATGCCTCGCAGCTTGACCAGTGGCTAGCGGCACACTTAGCGGACCTAATGGCCCCACTTTCACTTATCGAAACAGATATAGAGGAAGAGTGAGTCCATTCGGCGTTTACCGGAGCATAGCTAAGCAGTTCACAAAGATCTGAGTTATCCAAGCGTGACCAGTACGTCTTGGCTTACGCCGAATACCTCCTTTCCGACCCCACTTTATGGCGAATCACACTTGCTTATATGTATTCTTGCGGAAACGTTGGCAAAGAGCGCGGAGACGAGATCTTAATGAGGGTTCCATTGCGCTTACAAGAGCAAAAGTCCGCGGAGAATCAGGGGGAAATGGAGGGCGTTGTGGGCACATTGCGAGATCTGAATCAAGTCTGTTTCGAGTTCCAGAGGGAAACGGCCCGCCGGGCCATTTGCCGGGTAAGCGTCAGCATATGACGCTTCGAAAGATGGTTCTGAACGATGTTAGATCGCTGCTCAATGCTTCGCCAGCAAAAAGGATTATGCTCTCGCGGTTTCCTACTCGATATCCGCAGAAGATTGGTTTGGTCTAGGACGTATCGTTGACCGTGTCCTTGAAGAATATCTTCTCAGCGGTATTGTCGTCCCCCTCTCGAACTATTATACTATTAATAAGCTAACCGAGCCATGTAGGTCCACAGATATTTGCACGATTTACTTCGGAAATCGCCCCTTCTTTGCATGAAATCGGAACATGCACTGGGTTGCAGGGCGTTTTCCTACATCGACTTATGTTCGCCATACGATATTCTCAATTTCATCGGTTACGCCTACAGCATGATTTTCGAGATGCCGCCTCGGATCTTGTCGTACTTCTCCGTGATGATGTTGCACCGAAATCATGGTGGGCGATATTACTTTGTGATTCGGTGGAATTATTACAACAAGGTACCCGGAAATCTTCCTGCTCTGTTCAACTAATACAACGAAATTCCACCCAGGTCCTGCCCTGCTTTTTTCCCCTGCAAGTGCAACTGAGTTGTTGAAAAAGTTGGAAGAGCTTTCCACTCGAACGAGTCAAGGTTACGGTCGGGACTATCTAAGTGTCTTGCTGAGACGAATGAAGAGTGGAGGCGAGAAAGAAGCTCTAGAGCATATGAAGACAGTGCGGCTGGCCCTGGCCAAGTATTTCGCCCGGTGTGCTATAGCTGGATTCGAAGGAGACACGGTACAGAATATGTGAAACGCATTTCGGTGTAGTACTCAGTCGATTCGCCAGCTATAATAACTCATTGGCTGTAGTTTAGAAGATGCCAGTGATAACACTCGATTTATTGTATGCGCATGTATCTTTAATATAACTATTACGCAGATCTGTTTATATTTTCCTGGGTCAACGTGGCTATCTTATTTTATTCTCCGGGCACCAAACTTGCATCACTCATTACCTATGTAGATCACTTTCTCCCGGCATGCGCCTGAATTACTAATGCCAACAGTTTCAAACAGAACACGATCACATGAAGGCACTCGCCCAATGCGTACACCTCTTGATGCGAAGACAGGCTTCCCGCGAAGCCCTTTTCATCACCTTCCGGAAATCCTCAAGGACCGTCCCTGCGTTCCATTTCTTCTCATTTCTTTTTCATCGACTACTTCCAGAAGGCGTTAATGAAAATAGATGTGAACAACAAAATGGCAGGTTAGGAACGGTCTGATATTCTCCTGGCCATGAGGACGGAGACTCGCCCAGTACGTTCTATAAATGCAGTTTGGCTCAGGCCATGGATAGCCATTTTTCATCCCTGCAATACCAGCCATACCGATAACCTGACATTGAAGTCTAAAAACTAATGTGCTTCATTCTCCATGTGGCAGATGTTTATGCCTGCATGCACCAAGTCGTCACCAAACGTCAAAGGGTAGGTGTTCATGCCTTTCCCACTGTAGAACAATTTTGTCTGACGGTACACTCACGTACAGGTGGACTGCAATAAGCGCTTCTGTCGCTATAGTAGCATGCATCTATGGGACCAGCACAATTGTACAGCCACATGCGCCCAAAAGTATGCTCCTCTTGCATTGAAATTTGATACACAACACTGAGTTCAAAACCCGTAGCTTGAACGCCGAGCAGACCGTTGTCATGAATTCGGTTTCCCGACCCTGCGATAATTGTCGTTATCCGCCGGCATGATGTAGAAGGATCGGGAAGATGTCAGGGAAAAACCGCACGCGCTGTGCTCGGGTATACATATACTTTCTAAGGGAGACTTCGAATGACTAAGTTTGTCTTTGATCCTACCTATCATCCTACTCCATTTGAGTCGCCGGTATACTACTTCTTACGATTTATCAGTTCACAACCCCAACGGAAGCTGGTGTACTGTGCGGAAGGTGTGTGGCTTCAATGTGTGGCCAAAGGTATTAGGGTACCTTCAAATATAGAATGTTACGTCGGCTGCGTCCACGCAGCTGCAATGAAACGCATGTTTACTGCAGAGTAGAATCAGGACAACTCGATTCATATGACACGACCTGGCACCTGAGTTCAAGTCCAGGCGTTCTTCAATCTACTTATACAATCTTGATCTTGCACTTGTCTTACTATACAAATGTTTCTTATCGGATGGGCGACGGATTGGATGGGATCTTAAGTGAGCGTTGTTTGAGACGAATGCCATCGGTGGTGAGTACTTAACTTGGTTTCTCCACACCGATGATGTTTGTAGTACCGCAAATTAGGATCAGAACTACTAGAGCAGCAGGAGTGGACTCAGGCTAGACGAGGCGTACTTTATAAGTTAGCAGTAGGAAGATCGATTACGTAAATATCTAAGCCACGTGGATTCTGAATCCGCTGCCGACGCAAGGACCATTGCTTACCTCAAGTTTGGATAGAAATTGCAGGTACCGGTGTGGCAATCGTATTCGAGGACGAGCGCCAGAAGTACAACGGCCACCATCACGACAAGATGCCTGAAGACGGCTATTCCTCTACTTGGGATAGTGCCGACCAATCTGATTTCCCATCCACTGCTCCCACTTCCTATACTCGGCCTCCAATGCGTTCACTCGATGTTCAGGATTCAGCATCTTCTTCACATCCGCTTTCTATATCACCACAGTCTCGGCCAAGCTCGGATTCTCTCGGTCCGTCACCGACATCCAAATGGCGAGACACACCTACAGCCATTAGCGAGTCTCATGAGACGGTGCCAGGAGACACGGCAAGTCTGGTGGAACAGGGATTCGACGAGAACGTGCTAAGGGCATTGTGCGACATGGATGTGCGTTGTTCTTTACTCATCTTGGTCTCATATACCAACAGAGCTTCGATGCGTTCAGTGTGGGGTCCCGTTACTGCTTGATCGCATAAAGCAAAGCATGGTATCGTGCAGGGCGAGTTGCTTACGCCTTTGTGTTATCCCTATTCTCATATTTTATAGGAGGCCGCAGTGTTTCTGAAGAAGCGAGCTGCAATTGAGGAGGAGTATGGGAAAGGCATGCAGAAGCTGTCGCGGTCAACCGCCGAAATGTATTCTTTGAATGACGGGAAAGCCGGGTATGGATTAGCCTTGATTTCACTGTTCATCTTCTGACTATAACATAGGACCTTCGTAACAGCTTGGCAGTCTTCTATGCGTATCCACGAACAAATGTCCGAAAATAGGCTACGATTTGCTCAAAGACTCAACGAGATGAGTGAGGAACTGGTAACGCTGTCAAAAGAAGTGGACAAAAACCGAAAACATGTGAGTGTTAATGGCATGAGACACGAAGAAAACAACCTCATGCTTCCGTAGACCAAAGATCTTGCCAGCCGTTACGAGCGAGCATTGATTGAGTCCCAAGGAATAACAGAGAAGAGCAAGAATCGACTTGACATAACCTCCGAAGAGCTGGAACGCGTACTCTTGCAGAAGGAAGGGGAATCTTTCAAGGATAACTCCGTCCAAGCCAGACCTGGTGGTGCGGGAGGGAAACGGGTAATTGGCAAGGCAGTAGCAAAAGGAGGTCTGCTATTGAAGGGAAAGAACCCTGGCAATGTATGTCAATCTCATCTCTCCTGTAGTCTCCTCTTATTTCTTCCAGATCCAAAGACAAGAAGACGACATCAGGGCTCGAATGTCGACAGCAACTGATGCATTCCGCAAAGCTGTTACCGATACCCAGGCAATGAGACAAGAGTACTACAACTTTCAGCTACCGCGGATCCTCAGGGTGAGCAGATGGTATGGTTTGCGGTCAATCACTTACCTTCTGCTAGTCCTTGAAGGAATGTGCCGACGAAATCGACCTTGGGACACAATACCATCTCACAAGATATGCCTTCCTCTTTGAAAGCATCGTTCTCAGTGACGGATCGACGTTAGTTCCTCCGAAGGAAGAGGGTCAGTCATTTTCTCTCAGCCAGATCTGATCACTCAGGACTCTTGTCAGGAAACACGCTGTCAAAAGGGTTGAAAGCCTCCATTGAAGCCATTGATAACAGAGGGGACTTCAAAACATTTATGCAGAACTATGCGTACGCACGAGGAAATTCCACCTCTAGAGGACCGCGACGCGACGGACCGTCCGACGAAGGATTTTTACCGCCTATACCTGCTTACAACAGAGATCGGCACACACCCGACACGTCTTCAAATGGACATCATACATCAGACAAAGGTCGACCAACTTTTGGTGTCGACCTTGCAGAACAGATGACGAGGGATGACGCTGAAGTTCCACCTATCATGCGCAAGTGCTGTGAAGCGATTGAGAAATACGGCATGGATATAACGGGGATATACCGTCTGAGCGGAACAACTAGTAAAGTGCAAAATCTCAAGCACCAGCTGGATAAAGGTACGTAGGTCCGCTCTTAAATGGTCGCGTCTGACTGGGGCCTTGTGCAGACCTCGATTCTGTGAATCTCGACGCACCGGAATGGTCTGCGGACATTAACAACGTAACGGGCGTACTAAAGATGTGGTTGCGAGAACTTCCGGATCCACTCATGACCGTTAGTTTGCAACATGGTTTCATTGAAGCTGCCAGTCAGTCCAACTATTGCTGTCCTTTGAGTTTGGATCACTGACCATTGTCGAACCTTATGATAGAGATTGATAATGACCGGCTAAGACATATTCGACTGCACGAGAGAGTGAATGATCTTCCTGATGCGAATTATGCAACGCTAAAGTATTTCCTTGGTCACTTGCATCGGTACGTATCTTTGTTGGATAGTCGCGCCTAAATGCTAAGACCACGGGGCAGGATAATTCACGAGCCAGCGAATATGATGAGTGCCCAGAATATGTCAATTATCTTCGGACCGACTTTGTTTGGACAAATTCTTCCCAGCGTGAACGGCGGCGGGATGAACGACGCAGGGGCATCCGTAATAGACCTCTCTAACTTGGTAAGGGTACAATTCTGGATTCAGCCTGTGGTTCTGACATTCACCTAGGCCATCGAAACAATACTCAAACATTACAATGACATATTTGTAGATGACTCGGAATAAAAGTGTATACCCCACGCAGGACGTTGTTACCGTCACTATCTTGCTATCATTCGTATTTTCTCTAATTTACATTGCACTTGTATTCGTCACATCATGTATCGCCTGTCATCACTGATGAATTATTAGTTGGAAGTTCGTTTATGGCTGGGACAATTCCGACTTATGATGTGAGCCGAGAGAGTCATATTGATTGTTTGTATACATATCAATATACGGTGATGATTAAAATTTCCCGAAATTTCGAAGCAGCGTTAGAATGAAAGGGTGCTTGCAAAGCAAGCGCTTAATCGTCGAAGCCTGTCAATGACAATAGAGTACCCGTGAGATTAGTCGACGGGTCCCCAGACCCCATCATGCCCAATGGCCCATTCCATCTGGGAAGGAAAAATGACCCGCCGCAAGGAAGGACACGCACGGCTCCACTCTCTGCACAATGCTGATTCCTCGTCACCATTGGATTGAGGTAGTCCGGCTACTACAGTGGGCGAAAGGTCTAGCAAAGTCAAGCGACTGAACACATGCAAGACGGGCGATAATCCGGTCAATAGCCTCTATCGCTTCCGGAACACGGCATCAGGGGAAGGGCACGAACAGGGCAGATAATCGTGATTACTTACAATGCCAGAAAGCGCGTAGTGGAGCGTGTGACGCAGTGTGAGTCTTATCCGTATAACCTCTACCATGGGGAGGTAGGTAGCTATGTTACGGAGGAGAATAGGTCTCACAGACATTGCCGATAGGTCGAGGAACCGCAATGGTGTGGTAGTGTGCGTGAATCGCGGGAGATTGTCCCGGGTGACATCAGAATCCTGACCTATGAGTGAAAGACTCTGGACGGGCCTCCCCGGGAGGATGTAAGCAGCAGTGTCGGTGGAACCGCGGAAAGATGATAAGTTGGGAAGAGCGTCCGACCGCAATTTTAAGGCCTCGTGGTGATCTGAGAGTTTCAGATGCCGTAGTAACGGTACGGACGATAGAAATGAGTCTAAGATTGTGGAATATGATTGGACGCCTTTGGCCCAATCTGCACCGAAGGAACAGCTCCGGAGGTGTGGGAAGTAGCATCCGCGGATTATCCGCTCGATAGGGTGAAGGTGGGTGCGATGTGCTGCAGCCATATTGGCAGGACCAAGGGCCAACTCGAGAGAATCGAGAAAATGAAGGGTTCGAAGAGTGGCTGCCAATTTGTTTGAAGCCGGTTCGAGGTTCAGGGCAGATAATGATGTCCTTTCTGTGGTATGCCAGCGGATATGAAATGTCCGAATTGATTCGACAAGATGAGGACGCTGAAGGAGAGAATCACAACATCTCGTTGTACGCCAGGGATGAGAGTCCGTGGTGGAGATGGTGTCTCGTACATGAATGGCAGAATACAAGACGCGCTCTGCGACTGCTTTGAAGTGACGGGAAACGCGCGCAATGTCAGCAAGGACGGGAAGGGGGAGAATTTCGAAGATGGCAGAAAGAGTTTCGTTAGGAAGGACATGTTCAATACTCGGTACAGCGGACATTGCATTCCTAGATAAATATGGGGAACATGGGCCGCTAGGAAGTTAGTAGGACAACAGTAACGGAGATGAACAACCCTGGCTGAAAAACCATGTAAGAACGTTTTGATGTCACCGGAAAAATGTCGGAAGATCCATACAAGACAATTTCCCGGGAATCAAGGAAGTAAGCTGGGGTAAAGGTTGCGCTGAACAAAGAGAGAATTACACACCACGGTGAAACAGATATCCGACGCATAATTCACACCATGACAGGAGAAAAATAATCTACTCAAACGAAGAGCCCCACCCATAGATGCGCGAGCAACAGATCACTAATGCAAAATGAGAAAACCGATAATAAATAATGCTATTACATGTAGAAATACAATGGCGAATACAACTGACAACCATCTAAGCACCAAAACCGTAAAGAGTGCGGCCTGACCGCTTCAAGGCATAGACAACATCGAGCGCTGTCACCGTCTTCCGCTTCGCATGCTCAGTATACGTAACAGAATCCCGGATAACCTGCACCAACACACATCAAAAACAGAAACGCGACAAAAGAAAAGACATCCAACCCACATTCTCCAGAAAGATTTTCAACACACCACGGGTCTCCTCATAGATCAAACCAGAAATACGCTTCACTCCCCCACGACGGGCAAGACGACGAATAGCAGGCTTCGTAATACCTACCCACCAACTCAGCACCGGACGAAAAACAACGACAGCAACCCATTCCACTCACCCTGAATGTTGTCACGCAGAATCTTGCGGTGACGCTTAGCTCCTCCCTTTCCGAGACCCTAACCACCCCCCCAGTCAGCACAGAAACAATCCATCCCATCAATGCCAACGCTCACCTTTCCACCTTTGCCACGTCCAGACATGTCGATACGAGTTGTGTAGTAGGTAAGGTAAACAAATTACGGCGGTGGTGGCAGTAGCAACGAGAACAACTCAATGGGACCTCCTTCCAAACGAGGCAGGCCTTATGTAGCTCCGACAGGTGGCTGTGCTTATTCCTTGTTTTGTTGATTCAGGGCATCGCGGGCCATCACGTGGACAGACGCGTCGTGTTTGTATATAACGCGGGGGCAAACGAAGGGTAATGTTACTTCAATCCACCACCACCACCACCACTTCTTCGATTCACCTTTATTATTTGCCATGGCTCGCACGAAACAGACTGCACGCAAGTCTACTGGAGGTGGGTTTCCGTTGTTGGTGCGAGTGCTGTTCGGTGTACTGAGATCTGAACAGGAAAGGCGCCTCGTAAACAATTGGCAGCCAAGTCGTCTGCGCGGAAGACTGCAGTGAGTAGCGTTGTTTGCTGTATTTGAGGTTTGAGTATGGGACTGAAGTCGTGGTTTAGGCAGCTGCTGGTGGAGTGAAGAAACCTCATCGATTCCGGCCTGGAACGGTTGCTCTTCGTGAGATTCGTCGGTATCAAAAGTCGACGGAGTTGCTTATTCGGAAGCTGCCATTCCAACGGTTGGTTCGTGAGATTGCTCAGGATTTCAAGGTGTGTTGGTATTGGTATTGTGTGATGTGTAGGCGGTGAGTTGACGGGTGTGTAGACTGATTTGCGATTCCAATCGTCTGCTGTGATGGCGCTTCAAGAAGCTGCTGAGGCGTATCTTGTGTCGTTGTTTGAGGATACTAATCTTGCTGCGATTCATGCTAAGCGTGTTACTATTCAGCCTAAAGATTTGGCTTTGGCCCGTAGGTTGAGGGGCGAGCGTTCGTAGATATCAGGCGTTGTTCTTCTCGTTTTTTTATTATCACTGTACTTGTACCTGTAGCCTTTCACCATATCTCTCCGCCGTAGGCGCACATGTTGTTTCTAATGAGCCCATCGTAAACGCTGTAGCCTCTGACATATGAAGCTGAAGTTCACGGAGCGGGTGATAGCTGTTATCTCCTATTTACGGTTGGTGTTGTCTTTGCTCCTGTGGCTTGGTGTACCCCCGTCTGTACATGCCTTACATAAATGAACTTCAGCAACCTTAATCGTTGTCTCTAATCAACGGTCTTGTGCCGATGATTTCTATAAGCCCTGTTTCAGTCCTTGGTTGTCTCCGATCTTCTTGATTCGTCAATGGTGAGAGTTTGCTTCCGAGTTGTTGGGTTAGTTCACTCGGTTTTTTGGTCGATTTCAGATACAAGACTTGGTTCAGTAGCATAACGCCGACAAAGAGAGTTCCATGTATGAAGGATATCGGTGGCATCGCCTCCGCTCCGAAGGTAGATAGGTCTTTGCAAGCATCACTCCTGCACCCCTGTCGTAAAAGCATGAACCCACTCAGACTGCCCTGGAGCTGCCGAAGCAGAAAGAGAACCCACGAATACAGCTAGTGCGAAGGCAGTAGCCATGCCAAAGATGACCAACACAGTCCGGACTTTATGGAGTCGTCACGACTCGCCAGAGATAGCCATCAATTACAACCCCGGCAGTGACCAGTAGCTGGAGGGAACTGTGCGTGTGATGAGGAGCAGGCAACTTGAGAAACAGTATATGAATAGTGGGCAAACTGAATATAAACCACCTAACGGTGACTTATTGATACCATGGCAACAAATCAACATGACATCTGCAGTTGCTCTATTTCTAAGCGGCAAAGGTTATCATGGGTGGTGCACATTTGTTGTTGACTATCCCACGGACGTACGTCGAGTCCTAGCGCTTGCTTTCTGGCTGTTTCTTCCCCAGACACCGGAAGTACCATTCGAACGCAAACCATGTTGCGAGCTTCGCAAACATACTCTACCTAACAGTGACCATCACTTGCGCGAAGAGAATGTTGTTCAACTACATACGCCGATGGTACAGGTCTGCCAAGAACCGGGGGTAGTTCCTCCTTCGTTCGTACGGCGTTATTCCCTTGCGTTGTATCCATTCTACTGCGCTGAAGTGGTTATACAAGAAGCGTTCCGTGTTGTTTATCGGCGATAGCGAGCCTTCACCTGATATGAGCCGGGTGCCTCGGATAACCTCTACGGTATTTCCACGATGGATGATGTATCATGTAAGAAGCTGAAGTGCCGTCAGTTGAAACCCACATATCCCAAAACGATATTGGATTGCCGGGATGATGAGTGTCGGATGAAAAAGTTGCCCTTGGGCCGGCCCGCTCATCCAGGGGGGGATCGGTCACGCTAATGTCACGTCACAGCGGTCGAGTTCCAATTTCTCTCCCTCCTTCTGTTCCCCCGTGTACAACACCCAGCAAGCCTGAGATCCGTTGGCTCTGTTCCCCGATATCCCGATTATGAGCCTGGCCTACCAACATCATCCGCACAATGCTATAGCGGGCCCATCCAGAAGCCATGGTGAGCTGTTATACCACTGGACCAGGTCTAATGAATGTTCATCGAGGCGTGGCATTACAGGAACGACCATAGATGAAGTGAAACGAGAAAAGAAGAGGAAGGAAATTTCAGGAAAGCTCAACAGAGAGATGAACGACAGAAGAGACGAGTACGTTTTTCGGTTACCCTCTGTTTATGTCGCTCATTATCTTAGTGGGAGACACTACAGCGAAACAATATCTGCATTGCATCAGACATCCGTGACACTCGCCACAAGGCCGGACACTTTGCCTCTGTACAATATGAGACTCCTGCCATTCACATTCGAACGTTCAGCCAAGCTGGTTCAGCTAGAGTATGAGGAACGATATGCCTTGGAGTGTGCGCAGACTGCCTACGATGAAGAACGTGAAAAAGTCGAGATGGAATGGAAGAAAGGGCATGACAGAGTCAGAGAGAGGTTAATGGAGAGCATAGAAGAACGAAGACGCCGGGCTCGGGAAGACAAGGAAGGAGAGGGTGCTGTCGCAGGTAAGACGGTCAAGAAGCGCGTTTCTAGAGTTGCTGACACCTTCCAGATGGCACCCTTGACTCTCAGTCCCGTCCACATATAACTCGGAAACTACGGAATAAAATGGGCACGTCTCCGCCACCTACTCCCCTGGGAGCCGCTGCTTCCGCGCCTAATGGTGTCGGTACTATTAGTGGATTGCCCATTACAACCGGTCCATTGCTCAACCCACACTCGCTCAATGTTGATGAACTGCCATCGCCGTTCCCTCTTCAACTGACCTCTACCACCATACCTACTGGGCCCAACGGGGCCAATGCCGGACCAGGCACTGGTGCAAGCGGAGGGGGTCGACGCAGGCCCAAAGGCAGCGGAACACATCAGAGCCAAGCTATCGGGGGACTGGGCAAGAGCCTGGCTATGCTCTGTGGGTGCAAAGAACAGGAAATCGAAAGTGATTTGGGCGAAATCCGGAGAGGAAACAAGCGGCGACGCGTAACGACTGGCGCAGGGCTGGGAAAGACCACCCTATAATAGTATGTATCTATAGTAGCAGTAATTATATTGGGTTAGGTGCGTGCCTTCGTTACTTATGTTCTGCGGCGTTGATTCGTCGTGATAGATGTTATGTGTATATAACAGTGTTATTGGGTCATTACTTGGAATTCACACATTGATTTTCTTTCGAAGCGGGGTCGAGGATGGCACTCAGCCGACACACATAAGCCTTTTACTTCGTCGACGTACATGTCGCACAAGATCTTGATCAAACGACGCCGATCGCATTCGCATCTACCAACCGTGCTTCCGTCCATCAGAAACACCTAAACCAGTGTATGCGACGACCGTCGGTCCTTTACATCATTCTGACAACGTGATAACCGCTGGGCATTCTTTCTATCTGGCTATCACATTCAACATTCAATGCGACCAAGGAGTGCCCGATGACCGTCCGTCCTTTGAAGGCGGGGCGCTAAATTTTTGCTTTCTTGCGCTAAATTTAGCATCATGGGTGATATAAAAGGCAGCCACGAGCACGGCTTTCTGCCCCATCAATCTCACTCATGCAGCACTGCGACGATTGCTTTGCCGGTACAGTCCGCTTTACATTTCTCAAAAAAGAAAGAGAACTGATGTGTGTTGTTCAGGTGTCACTCACGAAGGAACACCAGCGGGTACATGGTAAACCATTGAGTCTGAGAGTCAACTGACAATAGTGCTTTCTCAGGCACGTTGGAGCAGATCGGAGGAGTCGAATGCTATGTCGCTACTCCTACAGGAGATTATCCCAAAAACAAGGTCATACTCTTCTTGACCGACGTGTTTGGTATCCCTCTCGTTAACAACAAGGTATCTGATCCCGTACCCGAAGGCCCCAGATTCGCGCAGCTGACGCGATATCAGCTTTTAGCAGATGATTTTGCCCGAACCGGATTGAAGGCATGTGATGTGAAGCGTAACGCGTGCGGAGCGTGCTAATTCCCATCGTTTCAGACGATCATACCTGACCTCTTCCTTGGTGATCCTATGCCAGAAGGCACTATGGCTCCCGCAGTACGCGTGAGCAGATCTTCCCTCCCTTCATTCTCAAGTTAACTCAGTCATGTATGTAGCATCTGTTTGACAGGGAGAAATGGTCTGCTGCGCATGGTCCCGCCCAAACTCGCCCTCCTTTAGACCAGGTCATCGCAGCCTTGAAAGAAACTGGTGTTACTGAGTTTGGTGCAAGTGGATACTGTTTCGGGGGTGCGATTTGTTTGCGGACATCCTTCTTGTTTGTTGACATTAGCGATCACAGCGCGCTATGTTTTCGATCTTGCTTTCGACGGCATCATCTCCGTGTCCGTGATATCCCATCCATCTCGTCTGGCGTTCCCGGGAGATTTCGAGGTCTGTCATCTAACCGATAACATATTGATTGCACGGCCTAACATCTTCCACCCGTAGAAATACGCCAACGAGGTCAAGGCACCACTTCTCATCAACAGCTGCGAGATTGATCAGGGATTACCACTGGAAAACCATGAGAAAGTGGACCAAATCTTCTCCAAGTTCGAGCCGGGATATAAGCGAGAGTACTTTGAGGGATGCAGGCACGGATTCGCAATTCGAGGCGATTTGAGTGACCCGAAAGTTAAAGCTGGGAAAGAAGGGTCATTCAGAGCGGCTGCCAAATGGTTTTTGGAGTACTTGTAAACGCAAAGTGGACATGACTTTGCTGGCGGAAGGCTCTCAGTGTGTCCTTTCCTCTCGGTTATTCCTGGAGGCAGTAGCTTGATGTACTACTATTTAGACTGAGCATCTTCCTCTATTTTGAGTATCCTCCATTCGTTTTCCTCGCCGTGTTCATGTTTTAAACAACAAGAACCCTTATTCAGAGTTTGTAGCGTTGGCACTAAATAATTCAGCCCTTCAGGCAATGATACTTAATTGCAACTGTGTGGTTAAACGATCTCGAGTGGCGTTCGGGTTTCTGTTCAGCCAAACGCATTATTGCCATTGAAGAGTCAGTCTCTTTCTTCGACCTTCTACCTATCTTATCTATTTTAACCCATTCAATAGTATTATCTATGAGTCCCTTCAATCGAAGTATTTTAACTTTTAACTCTGACCAGTGAAGGATAGAAGCATACCGCCGGTAACCTTGGAGCCGGGGGTACTACTCAGTGGAGGAATATCAGCACGCAATAATGATGCACAGAGGCATATCCCCGTTCTCACCGATTCGGATAGGTAAGTTTGCGAGTCCCGGTGCGCTGACCTATCTACAACCAATGAGGACGACGACTCTCATCCATCGTGGGTAACATGCAACCAAAACGCGTAGCCACCCGTCTTTCCGAGGTTCCGTCCGATGTCGAGTGACGTTTTTCGGCCAGGCACTCAAAAAGTAAATTTAGCATGTGATCGAGTCTTATAAAGCGCGCGCTTGTTGTCTCATCTTCCTCATCACGACCTTCCAATCATGAGTTTCTGCAAGGACTGTATCTCAGGTCGGCGCTGCTGCTGTTGCTATGCATTCGATGACGCTGACTTGCAGGCTTTTAGGTGTCACTCACGATGGTATTCCGACAGGTATCACCGTTTGTGCAAAAGCCTAAAGAAAAAGGACATAATTACGAGTTATCTTCTCACAGGAAAGATCGAACAAATTGGAGGTGTGGAATGCTACGTCGCAACTCCCACTGTGGAGTATCCTAAAGACAAGGTCGTTCTCTTCTTGCCGGATGTCTTCGGAATCATTCTTCCGAATGCGCAAGTGCGTCGTCGTGTTTTCCATTGCATACTCACGGACTCACGCAGTGTAAATAAGCTCCTTGCGGACGATTTCGCTAAAAACGGTTTCAAGGTGAATTTTAAATCAACCCACGCGTCGGGCAGCTCACTGTTGTTCAGACTGTTATTCCTGACTATCTGAACGGGGATGCTGTCGCTGCTGATGCTATGGGACCTGGCGTAGGTTTTATTAGCACTCATCTCGTTGACGTCCTTTGTTTTACGCCTGGAGATAGAAATCATTCGATCTTCCGAGTTGGTTTGTTAACCACACCCCCGCCCATACACGCCCTCCCTTGGACAAGGTCATCACTGAGTTGAAGGAATCTGGAGTAACTGACTTTGGTGCGACTGGATACTGTTTTGGAGGTACGTGAATCAGTATAATCGCCACCTTGTCAGTTCCGAAACCCTGGAACAGCTCGTTATGTGTTTGACCTTGCCTTCGACGGCGTTATCAAGGCTGCTGTCGTATCTCATCCATCTCTACTCAATTTCCCTGACGATTTTGAGGTTCGTGCATAGTTGTAGGCTTCGATTGATTGAACATTGATTGAATCTATTCACACAGAAATACGCTGCGACTGCGAAAGCACCCCTGCTCATCAATAGCTGCACATTCGACCAGATGTTCCCCCAGGAAATTCATGAGAAAACTGACGAGTTGTTTGTCAAGTTTTCCCCGGGGTACAAGCGTGAATACTGGGAGGGCTGTACACACGGTTTTGCTGTTCGTGGCGATTTGAGCAATCCCCAGGTCAAGGCCGGAAAAGAAGGAGCCTTCAAGGCTGCAGCCCAGTGGCTCCGTAACAATCTGTGAATCTATTCTATATGTAAGCGACAAAGATGGAGTGGGCGGACTCTGTGTGAGTATGCAGATGAATGTGTATTTGTACATGTATAGCCGGCTGGGTAATCTAAAGCTTCAGAACTAGCTACGCTTCGGCAAGGGCCGTATGTCAGGTGTGTGCTGCTTATGAAGCGTTGTGCGTTGCTTTACCGTAGGCGTCACCCACGACGAAATTCCGGCGGTGATAAAGGCCACCTTTATCCCGAAGATAAGAACATGATTACCAGTCACTTTCTCAGAGGCTAGTAAGTACATTTAGAACAGAATACTACGCTGCTACACCCATTGCAAATCACCTTACCTCAGTGACAACGCTCGTTCTGTACTTGCTAGATGCTTTCGGGATCAGTCCTCTGAGGACTGCACATGTCCGGTTACCGTCGGCCTCAGTTTTTTTTAATTTAACTCGAACTGAACTTATTCGCATAAATACTCATCAAGTTTTCCCCTGGGAATAGGATACAAACGCGGTACCGAGAAGGCCGCCGGGCACTATTAGTAAGAGCAGCTCGATTTGAGGAAGATGTTGGAATTACAAATATGCCCAAAGTCGGACCCGTTTATACCCATGGACTTGGTAGTATTTACACTTTGTATTATTTTAATCCTTCTATTTCTTCCGTGCCCAGTCACATTCATACTATCTTTGCATAGTATATATACCTCTTAGTTGTACCCGCGCGCCTCGGACATATTCTCTCGCATTACGAGTGCGGAGTTTATATCTTTATATTATTACCACACTCTCGTATTCTAACAGAAGACAAGACTTATAAAAGCCAATCTCATTCATTCAGCTTTCTATCGCCTTCGCTTCTATCCATGAGTCTCTGCAAGGACTGTATCTCGGGTCTGTGGCACCTTTATTAATCACGTATCAGATGCGCTGTTGCTTATTACTTACCAGGCGTCAGCCACGAAGGTACTCCGACAGGTAGTATTTAGCCCCAACGCAACGTGGTGCGCGGTGGTTATGAATGACTTTCTTATTAGGCAAAATCGAGCAAATTGGCAGAGTGGAATGCTACATTGCTACTCCCATTGGAGAGTACGCTAACAACAAAGTTATTCTGTTCTTGCCAGATGCTTTCGGGATAACTCTTCCGAATGCCCAGGTGCGTCTGAACCTAGGATATCATTCCTTGTGTATACCAAATTAATAGCGATAGCAACCAGCTTCTTGCAGATGATTTCGCGAGAAACGGGTTTAAGGTGAATTCCAGGTGAGAACGTAGACGCATCAAGTAGCTCACCATCGTTCGAAGATTGTCATGCCTGACTATTTCAACAACGATCCCGTACCTGCTGATTTTTTGGAACCTGGTGTATGAGCTACGGGCTCTCCATATATATCAGTTCGTATCTAATGGCAGAATACAGAGGACATTCGACATCGCAAAATGGTTGGCTAACCATTCTGCCGCCGATACTCGTCCTGCATTAGACAGGGTTATCGCTGCATTGAAAGAGTCTGGAATAACAGAGTTCGGGGCCACTGGGTACTGCTTTGGAGGTGCGCGAACGGACATGATTGAGTGCATTAAATGCTGAAGCATGACAAGGTCGGTATGTCTTCGATCTGGCCTTCGAAGGCGTGCTCAAAGCAGCCGTCGTATCTCACCCATCCCTTCTCAAGTTTCCTGATGATTTTGAGGTGAGCGCATGTCTGGTCGGTTTAGCTTCATTACTCACCCGCGGACAGAGATACGCCACTGCTGTGGAAGCGCCCCTGCTCATCAATAGCTGCACATTCGACGAGATGTTCCCAAAGGAAATCCATGATAAAACCGACGAGTTATTCGTCAAGTTCTCTCCGGGGTACAAGCGTGAATACTGGGAGGGTTGTACACACGGCTTTGCTGTTCGTGGCGATTTGAGCAATCCCCAAGTCAAGGCGGGGAAAGAGGGAGCTTTCAAGGCTGCTGTCCAATGGTTCCTGAGCCATCTGTAGTTTTATACTGTATAGGCGGAGAGGGCTGCCTATCTTGTTTTTCTTTCTTACCATCATGTTTCGAGCTAAATGTCTCTCATACCTCAGGGACTGAGAATTTAGTATTTCAGAGAACGGCGAATGGCTTCCTTGTAGCGCAAACGAATACAAAGCGTCGACATTCTTCTCCAATGATCTTCGGTTGTCAGCCAAGGGAGCATTGTTCTCCTTCTCGGCTTTATATACTCCTGAGTACTACCACTTACTACATCGGGAACAAGTGGGTCACTCAGTGAATCCACCGTGTGAATCGTATATTTGTGGATCCCTGTCCAGAATGACGCGCACAGTATATAAACCCAACTCAATCCGATAACGACATCCACCAACTTTATACTGGCCCCGCATATCTCATCCTCCCGCTAAATCAATTGTCGCCATGTCTCCTTCTACCTTCGCTTCACTTTCTGGTATGCTATCTCCACGACGATGCGTGGATGCACTATGCTTACCTTGACATCGTAGGTAAAGTTGCGCTCGTGACAGGATCGTCTCGCAGTATCGGTGCAGCTATCGTCAGGCTTCTTTCAGATCAGGGTGCTAGCGTCGTCATTAACTGTATGTGTTCTCAATCATGCATCGCAAGCAGTGTATCTCATCATATATCTAGTTGTCAACAGTCCAGGGCCCGCTCAAGAGCTCGTATCCGAAATCAAGTCCAAGGGCAAAGGTGGCGCCGTTGCAGTTCAGGCCGACGCATCAACCATTGCCGGAGGAAAGCATCTATTGGACGAAACCGTAAAGGCCTTTGGAAAACTTGATATCCTCATCCTCAATGCCGGAATCATGGGCAGCAAGCCTCTTGCTGACATCGATGAGAAATTCTTCGATAATCATATCAACGCCAATGTGAAAGGGCCCTTGTTTTTGGCAAAGGCAGCCGCTCAAATCCTTCCTTCTCGTACGTCCTCATTATGACATTTCCAACCATCAATTTTCATTCATTTCACAGCTGGTGGACGAATCATCTTTTTTTCCTCCTCCTTGACTTCTGCCTCTAGTAACGCCTTGCCATTGCCTGTAAATATGATGCTGCTAATACACTCTCGTAGCCGTTCTCCCCAATGCCCTATGCTACGTTATCTCCAAGGGCGCCGTCGAGCAGGCATCGCGCGTCCTTGCCAAGGATCTTGGTGCTCGCGGTATCACCGTCAACACTATCTCGCCAGGTCCCGTCGACACCGACCTGTTCCGTGCTGGCAAGCCTCAAAAGCTGATCGACATCATAGCCGCTCAAAACCCCAGCAACAAGCTGGGCCAGCCTGAGGAAATTGCTCCTATAGTTTGCTTCCTCGCGTGCCCCGCAGCACAGTGGGTAAATGGACAAAACATTCGTGTCAACGGGGTATGTATCAGTTTCGCATTTCTTCTCCTACATCTCACTGTTTTTTCATAGGCTTTCGTTGTGTAAGATGTCAGGGCGTTGCTTTAATTACTACCAGAAACTTGTATCACCGCCGATGAATGTTATTTCCGATTGATCAAACGTACTACTCAACCTTCCCAAAGACGATTTTATCGTCCACATAAGGCAGACAAGGCAGTAAAATTGAACATGATCAATTATTGTACGTGATTTTTGATGACTGTCGCCGATTTCGACATTGTATTTTGATCTCAGGTGAGGAGGTGGGTACATTGATGTCGTTTGTGTTTTGATATCAGTCTCGATTGAGGTAATTCGTTGCAATTTTGAGATGCTTGAATGCCATGAAGTGAACGAGACATTGACATCGCCGGTGTCGACACTGGACTGTACATCCCACCATCAGATTGCTACCGCGGCGGTTAGTCCGATACTGGCAGAGTTCATATATATATCGTTAACAGTTGTGCTCCAAAGCCGCTGTCTGACCTTGCATGCCCCTCACAACCTTGCTACCATTTGAGACCCTCCATTTCAAAATAACTTGAAAAGTAAGTATGTATTTCAGAAACTTATATCCGGCCCTAGATCCACCCACAGTCACAGTTCCATGGCGCACAATATCGGCTTTCAAGTACCCGTCGGATGGCCAAGTTCTACCGCCGCATCTACCAGTCCAACTGTCATTTTATCGAGTCCGCCAACACTAAATCTCATTTCCGCCATGCTAACAACTTTTGAATTGGACGAGGTGTCTACCGCGGGCGAAGGAACAGCAATCACGCAATACATCCAGCGTCACGGGATGGTAAACCCTGTTACCCGGAGACTGCAATCGGGGGTCATGTTCTGGGTATACCCAGAAGGCCGTGAGGGGCCGTACGAGGAAATGAAGGATGATGGGCGTGCGAAGACGGGAAGAACTCTATTGCACGGACTGTTGGTCACGATTGAGAATGGTGCGGTGATGGAGGGAATGGTGGAGAGTGTATTGGAATATTTACCCTGGGATGCGATTGGCCATTTACATTTTCCGGGGCGACAGGCCTAGCCTTGATGAACATTTATTCTTAGGATTACGGGAGAGCCTTTCATTATTGCACGAAACAAGCCAGAATTTATAATCTTATCGATTTCATGGCGTAATAAGACATTAGACAAAGTCCGCAGGTATACTCGTAAATGAGAGGCTAATGGCAACAAGCACCATGAAAAGTACAACGAAAAGGATGAACGTTATCCATATCTGCGAAACGACACAAAATTCTGACTGGGGGCCTGATTCTGGTGAGTCAAATAACCAGTCTGTTCCGCGACTAAACATGTCACGGGACGGAAATACCTCCAAAATCTCTGCCTCGAAGCTCTCTACAGAGAGGCGGTATTTTCTCCATAGTTGCTCTCCTTCAGCATCCTCCTCCTCCTCTTTATCCGTGAATCTACCAAATTCCACTGACAAGAGTTCAAAATCAGGCTGTCGCCCCAACATGAGGAATGTCTGCCCAATGGGGTATTTATCTATGAGAACGAGATGGGCGGCACGCGGGGATTTCATGTGAATGGTGGAGGTCGCGGTGCATACGGTCTTTCCCGCACATCGTAGAAGGACTTTCCGCGTCTGGGTTATCGGATGTTCAGGCGAAACGGAGTCTAGGACTTGGGGATTCGGGAGCTCGAGCGTGACCTTGGGAAGGTCGGGAGATAGAGTGAGTTGGGTATGGGAATATACGAGGACTATTTGTATGGACCGCGCGAAGAAGGCACTAGAGACACGTCTTAGCGAAAGGTAGAACATTAGAAAAGGAATTGTCCCCAAAGGAAAAGAAAGAGTTTGTGGTTACCAAGAATTTACCAGAACCATTCTCTCTCCAACCATTCTATCCTCATTCTCACGGAAGGGAAACTCAACGGAAAATGCCGGAGGACAGCTCACCTGAGCACGCGTTGAAGGTCACCTTGGGAAGCTAGAGCAATCCGCTCAAGTCCTGTGAGACCTTCAGGCCACGAATACTGCGTTCACAATGAGGAAAATGCTACATCAAATCACGACGTGACTTACGTTGATACTAGTGCCAGAGGAGTTGAACGTATAGAATGGAGTTGCCATTAGGTAGCTGGATATCTTCTCCTTGTAGGTGTGTCGTCTAGGTGGGTTAGAAATTGACAGGCAGTGTAACAGATGGTGGAGGGCTGTCTTCTAGAACAAATTGATGCGAACAGTTGAACAAAACTGTGTACTGCAAAGACCAGTGAAGACCGAGCAAGACGTATGGGACGAAACTTGTAGTAGCGGATGCGAAATCGTAGAATGTGTCTCTTATAGCATGGGAAGCTGTCCAGGAAACGCCCTGCCCGCCATGGTCGACGCCGGCCGCAGATAAAATACTATTCAACAGACTTGGTTGCTCGCAACTGAAAACTTATTTGCAAGTTGCTCGCTTGCCAAACAAATGCAGCAAACGTACCTTGTCCTCTTTCCACCATCTTCTCCAAAGACCCTGGGATACGTTCCTGCGCATGAACTACTCCTTCGAACCCACCGCCAACCATGCTATCTCATTGGCGCTCCCCAGATTAGATTATCACCCTGACCCACCATTGCAAGTGTCAGAAATTACCTCACCAACGACGCTCGACGCGTCTCCTGTGGATTTATGCACTCTTCAGCTCAAGGCGTTCTTAAATGCTGCTGAGGATATTGATATCGACACCGAAACCTTGATGGAATTACTCCAGCTTTTACAAGGGCGTCTCGAGGAACAGGACGAATCTAGTGCCAATGCCCATGTACATGATGGACATGACCTGTCAACAGTAGATATCGATGCCCTCTATGAACTCGATATTTCCGCCCTCTATTCCATGGATGAAGGTAATCACCCTTCATATATCGTGTTTTGATGTGTGGCGCGCCTTGTTGACCGTTCTCTCATTCAGGTCATCAGATTTGGAGTCAAAAAGAGAGACGAGAATTCCTTGTTCTTTTGAAGGAACGCGGTGAGTGGCATTATTTCGATGTCATCTTAATTAGCGTCGTCCCGGACCGTCCCGCTGAACTTGGCGTCAGCGGACAAGCGTCCGAACAACCGTCTTCTATCATCGCACAATCTAAATAATCACTGAAATCCCCTCTCTGTAGGAATGGCCGCTTTCGTTGACAGGCTTGTCAATACTCAGTGCATACATATTCCGCAGCTTCTACTCGCTTTCGGAATTGATCTCGTACGGTTTGTTCTGAAATCGCGATTACAACTTTCTCATGTCTCTAGTAGGTTCCGGAACTCAAAAATGTCAGCCAGAGGGCATTGTTGTACTTCCTTCGTGTGGCAATGTCACGAGAGTAGGTCTTGGTTACTTTGACCCGGAAAATGATGGGTGTCACTCATCCACGTACAGGCTCCGCAATCGGGATAAGCTGCCAGAGTACAACACAATCAAAGATGCTGTTAACCTTATTCGCAACAGCAAGAGAATACTCATCTTGACCGGGGCAGGAATAAGTAATCCACCCTTTGCTCACTTCTGGTCCATCCATGATGCTCATCTCTGGTATGCAGGTGTTTCGTGTGGTATCCCAGATTTCCGATCACGGAATGGGTTGTACGCGTCGCTGGGAGAATACAAGCTAGATGATCCGCAGCAGATGTACGTAAACATGTACACCCGAAACGAGTGTGAGCTCATATCGCCTTAGGTTCGATGTCAAATATTTTCGAGAATATCCGAATGGTGTGGACCTTCGTGTATTGTTCTTTCGCATGCAAGTTGTACTAAACGTTTTCAAGTTTTTTAGTGTGTCACTTTCCATGTTCTTTGTCGCCCCAAGGTCCTGAACCTCGATGTATAGTTCTTTTGCTAGGTTCTTTCATCGTACTAGTTTATGAAGGCCTTTCAACCCTTATGTTTTATAGTCAGATATACCCTGCCAATTTTGTGCCCTCGCCGTGTCATCGCTTCATCAAGCTTATAGAGGACAAGGGCAAAGTGAGTAGTTTGCTCTGTTTGGATATCCATCGATTCTTATCTTCATCGCAATAGCTTCTACGTGTAAATCTGATTTCACATTGTCTTTCTTACCTGGCTAAATTTCTCTTCAGAACTATACCCAAAACATTGACACCCTAGAAACTAAAGCTGGCGTGCAAAACGTTCTGCAGTGTCATGGTTCTTTTGCTACTGCCAGCTGCCTTCAATGCCGAAGGAAGGTACCTGGAACGGAAATTGAGGCCGAGATCATGAAGAAAAAGGTCCCTCTGTGCCCTGTGTGCAACCCCTCAATATTATCCCCCAAGAAGAAGAAGAAGACTAGTAAGAAGAAGTCCAAGGGACAATGGGATAGTGACGTCTCGGATGAGAGCGATGGGCCAGAATATCCTCCGGGCATTATGAAGGTGCGTCAATTTGTACATACCTTGGTCCATATGTTCAATTGACTCCGTCTATTAGCCTGACATTACATTCTTTGGGGAGAAACTGTCTGACCAGTTTGACCACGCCGTTGAAGCCGATCGGACCCAGCTAGATTTATTGCTCGTTATTGGGACCTCTTTGAAGGTGTCACCAGTTGCCGATTTGCTATGTGTGGCCTCTCCTTCATAAGTCTCAGCGACTGATGCTAACCTTTTACCACAGCACATATCCCACATTCCGTTCCACAAGTACGTCGAAGCTGGAAAGGTTAAAAGATGAAAAATGACACATGAAACGAACAGATACTCATCAACAAGACTCCTATCAAACATATAAATCCAGACGTAAGTATTGCCTTCTATTGCACCGGCGAGTTTACAATGAGCGGTGTATATAGATTGTGCTTCTGGGTAACGCCGATACGATCATCAATCATCTATGTTCTGAGCTAGATTGGGAGCTTCCACCGCCGCTGGCCACTCCTCGAATGTTGACGCCGCGAAACATGAAGAAGCGACCGTCAATGGGGCCGCCAGATATAGAAGAGCCCGAGAGGGTCAGTGACAGGTATTTCCAACTCCTTCCGTGTTGCCTCGTTTCGATAGCTGATGGTGTATGGCCATAGCCATGTATGGTTATTTGAAGGCGCTGAAGGAGGGAAGTGGCTTCGGGATTTTGAGCTGGAAATAGATCATGCGGAGGGACGAGGTGTGCTGGAAGCGAGAAATGCGAAGAAGATGAAGGTATGATATGTATTCATGTAGGTGTAAATAATCCCGGGACGATTTTAGTTATCCATTTGTGTGTAGTGTCACTGTATGGTGTATAGAAAGTTCTCTTTTTACATTTATACATCCCACGAGGCGTTGAACTACGGATGTTATAGATTGTCGGCAGCCAATGCAAGCATCAAGATTATTCACACAAATCTTTTTGGACGGAGAAGTCATAAAACTAAAGGTCAGGTGCGAGTATAACACAGAGCGTCTTTGGAAGTATCCGCAGATTATGGGGGTGAGATGGAAAGAAGGTATTTGGGACGCGTGCCAGCGCGTCACCGTGACCTCCCGAATTTTTCAATCGAAAACGTCACTTGGTTGTGGACCATCATGTCCCGCTAGTACTTTTCCTGGGTACTGCCACCGACGACTGTCCGCGACTGGTCCCGACCATGCCCTGTTCATGACGCCGGGCCTCTGCAAAAATTTCGTTCGACGCTGTCCTGATTTCTCATGCGCCTTCTGGGTCGTCTTTTTCCCCTGCAACAACCATTCCAAAGACGACACTTCAGCTCAACTTCACTTTTTCTTTCAAATTTATCACGGCCTCGCTTCCCATTCGGTGCGGCCTTTTGCTATCTTGTCACTCGTGGAGAAGAACTGAGATGGTGTGTTTTGTTGTAGCCATACGGAAGGACGTTTGGCACCCGGATCCCATCCTGGAGGAAGGAAAGGCATTCGCATTCAAAGATCTTACGTGGCTTTTGCGGCACGGTGCGAGACACCACCAAGTGCGCATTGAGCCGGATGGTTATGTGGCTGTTTCAGATATTGTGGGTTACAGTGGGTTTGGTTTGGTTTTTGCTCTTGTTAAACAATGCTTTCTTAGCTGTCCAACCCAAGATATGACCGATTTACCCCGGAAGGCATTCGAGAAATGGCAGAGATGGATACTAGAGAACGCATTCAACTTAAGGAGGAATATAACACCCACAGAACGAAGGTCTGGATTAGGGTTAGCGGGCACCATTCCATTCCGGTGAGTGACATTGTATCTATGTCCTGCTACTATTATTCACAGTTTCCAGTGGGTTCACCCTGGTGCCAAAAAGCTCGCTTCTTCTGCAACGACAGCATGGGACTCAATGGCATTGCCGTTTTCCCAGCTTTTTTACCTCACTACTAGAGAGGACTGGCGGACCATTCGTAAGCCTGAAATCTTCATTATCTGAGCTCATGAGTCTATTCTATGTGTTCGCAGGCACGGAAGGCATCAAGGCGGGGCATTCGTTCATCCATCTCAAGCAAGATATTCCTGACCACTACGGACTACGTTTAGGACGTATGTGTTACACTATCTACGCGTCTTCGGCCCGTCTAACGTTCTTCACAGACTCTTTCTCGCCAGTCGTGGTCGTCATTAACGCGTCTGTGGCCACAAGATTTGGCGTGTCATTCTACATCCATCCTTCTGGCGAGATCTTAACTACCGGTGATTCAAGTGGTTACATCGATCCCCAGACATTTCGTGCTGCTTTTGCCGTTCAGTGGGAGCACGAGAGTCTCGTCGGTCACTATGAGCCCTGGCTGCGCCCTCGTGATCCTCAAAAGCGAAAAGAATTACGACATCTGATTCCAGACAAAAACAAGCAACGCTTTAGAAAGCGTCCCACTCTTCATTACCCTCCTATCCAGGTACCAACGCGCACCAAAGTCGATGTTATCCTCCCCAGGAGCAAGGGCAAGGATGCTGCAGAATCACCTCCGTCTCCTTCCGCGAACGTCATTTTGCAGCCACAGTATCAGATAGATATCCACCGATCGCGACCTGTTCCTCCTCACATGCAAGACTCTGCCATTGCAATGAAGGGCTAATCCTCGTTGGTAGCAGAGTCTCATTCCGCTTCACCCCGGGTTCGTCGCTCAACAGAAGGCTGCCGTCATTCGCCAGATCCTGTCATTAGGATGGCCAGCATACGGCTCCGTACCTTCCAGAGGCCATAGCCCTTCGCGTCACATTCCTTGAACGCATCTGACTTGAACATCAGACTCGTCACTAGGAATTCTATTGTATTCGACGTAGAATTCTGACGCAGCAAAAACAATCAAAAGTAGGAAACTGTAGGATTTTAAGAGGGGTGCTGCAGTTATTAATCTACACACGACTACCGTACACATCTTCAGGCGTGACACCGGCTTGTCCCTTCCTCAAGTTGGCCTGGGCCCATCTAATAGACAACTTAGCACTTAATGATTAGAGTGTATGGACAGGACGTACTTTTTGATTCGGATTGACTCTATCTGAATGAAACCGGTAGTGTCCGTTGGCTCGAAGCCACCCATCTCATCCATAGACGACTGTTGTTCATCATACAGACCCTGTGTTCTTGTCAGATCGGAAGTTCTGCTACAATCAAGATCTCTCACCTCGGGGCTCTCCCGGCCTTCAATGACCACATTACCCTTGTATAACTTGAGCCTGACGAGGCCGTTGACGGTCCTCTGACTTGAAGGAATAGAGCTGGTGATAAACTCCCTCTCTGGGGTGAAAAAGTGACCGTTGTACAAGATGCGACTGAACTCGATCGTCACAAACTGGTCCCTTAAGGCACGGACATTCCTGTCGAGGGTCAGACCCTCAAGGTCGACGTGAGCAGCCCGAAGAATAGTGGCCCCGGGAGACTCGTAGCATCCGCGAGACTTGACACCGATGAACCTGTTCTCAACAATATCGATCCTTCCCACACCGTGCTTCCTTCCGAGTGCGTTGAGGGCGAGGAAGATCTCTACGGGATCTGTGTATGTCTTGCCTCCGGCGACATCGACTTTTATTGGGAGACCAGCCTTGAATTCGATGGTTAGGCGCTCGGGGGTCTCTGGTGCAGCTTCGGGGGCAGTGGTGAGCTTCCACATGTCAGCAGGCGGAGTCGTGTTGGGGTCCTCAAGAATACCGGCCTCGTAAGAGATATGGAAAAGGTTCTCATCCGTCGACCAGGGTTTGGCGGTCGTTTGGGTGACGGGGATGGACATTTCAGCCGCGTACGCGAGCAAGGCTTGACGGCCCGCAAATCGGTGGTAGAATTCTTCGAAAAGAGAAGAAGTATTAGTTTTCTCGCAAATTGCTTAGCCCAGGAGAACGCACCAGGAATTCGCCAGGGTGCGATGACCTTGATGTCGGGTTTGAGACCATAGAATGCCAGCTCGAAACGGACTTGGTCGTTTCCCTTTCCGGTGCATCCATGAGAAACAAAACTGAAGAGATCAGAAGGTGAGACAGGATAGGAATATACAATTCGGAGGCCTACTTACTCGCAGCCTTCTCGTTCAGCAACGGCAATCATCCCACGAGCAATGACGGGACGAGCAAGTGAGGTACCAAGGAGGTATACATTCTATAACCAAATAATCAACATATTGGTTGATAGCAGAGAATCGACACTTACTTCGTAGATACAGTTGGCTTGGACTGCAGGATAAATCAATTCGGTCACAAATTCACGTTTCAAGTCCTGACGAAATCGAGTCAGTAGAAGAATCAAATATCTTCAATGGCACACACTTCCAAAAAGAACTTTTTCGCCCCGACTTTGAGGGCCTTTTTCTCCGCCGCGGCGAAATCCTGCGCCAAGGTATTGCAAGATCAGTTTCGGGAATGAACAAAACAGTAAAACGGACCTCTTCCTGACCAACGTCGGCCATGAACGCATACACTTCATATCCCTGCTCAATCAACCAAGCAAGGATGCATGAAGTATCTGTTCGTGGGCATCATTACAATGACCGGAAAGGAGAATAGCAACCATCGCTACATACCAAGCCCTCCAGAGTACGCAAGCAAGACTTTTCCAGACTTTGCAGACATCGTGAAGGTTCAGATAGATAGATGAGGAGATCAAGATTTCGAGTCAGACTGACAATTGCAAATCAAGATTCAAACTCCAATGTCGGCCGAAAAGGTCGCCACGTGAAGAGAAGTATGATATGACGTCACGCGTACATCGCATCAAAAAGTCAGAAAAAGAATTATGCTGTTCTATGCAATACATCGAAATATAGGGTGATGGGCTTTGTATACAATGCTACTGTAAATCAGAAGGTGAAAATTTATTACTAATTATTCCGACTCTGCTGTGGAATTGTTAACACTTGCTGGCCCTTCCTCCACCGCGTCCTGATCATGGTTCCGCAAACGCATCTCTACCAAAAACTCCTTGTCTCGTATGCTTTGGGACCAAGACGATAGAAGATCCATAGACAGAAATGCTGACCTAGAAGAAGCCGCGACAATAAAGATCGCGGGATATAAGTGGGCGACTGAAACGGAATATCAACAGCAGGTCCTCAAGGTAATGAAATGAACCCACAGATGAATTTGTCGTTCACTGGGACAGAAGGAAAGAAGTGGCGTAGTATCGTAAACAGCAGCCCAGGTAAAACAATCATGCCAAGAAGGCCCGCAGTGACGGGGGCGATGACTTCCTTTGTCGCACTGACAGGATCTGGATGAGTCCAACCATTATGTGAAATCTGCGAAAGACAGAGTTAGGAAGGAACTCGAAGGACGTCGACATCACGTACAAGATCAATTCCCCTGGCTATGCGGCCTCGAGGTTGCATTCTATGTGCATATAGCCCAATCTTAACATAAAGCAACCCGAGCGCCCATTCATCCACAATACGAATGGTCGGCGAAAGAGTAGGATCCAGACCCAAGCGAATAGGCAGAATCACGTATAGGTCGATGGCGAGCGCAACGAGGGTAGGAATCACCATACCCAGGAATAGCGTCATATAGGATATCTTCGCAGACCATAGCAATCCACGCTTGACAACCAACATCCACAAGTCGGCACGAGGGCCGTCACCGCCTCTTCGCTGTCGACGTTTATCCAAGCGGTCAATCGCCTTTCCAACAAGATAACAGCCCCAGAGCAAATAGAATCCAATGATAAGAGAGTAGCCATCATGAACATCTTCCGCAACAAAAAGTCCGAAGAAGCGCCGCCCAAGCGCTATCGGAAGGGCAACCAAGACACCGAGTGACAAGGCGCCAGTGACCCACAAAACGGCAACGAATGTAAAGATCCGTCTACGGAAATTGGGGGGAATGTATACCACCATATAATCATCTCTGATCTGGTGCTTGGCCTTCAAAGCTTCCGAATTTTGTATCGTGATCAATCTCTCCGCTCGTTCATCGATGGGATTACCACGTTCATCAACAACGGCAGTGGCACCGATATCTTTTGGAAGTGCGATGCTATCAGTGGCCGGGACTCGCCTAAATGAGCCATCAGACTTGGCTGTTGGGTCCACAAAGAAAGATTTCGAGGTAAACATAGATTTCAATGACCATTTGGCAGGTGTCACCTCTTCGGTGGGATATCGACCACCAAAAAAGTAAGAAGTCAAACGGAATTGACGAGCCAGGAATTGCCAAATAATAGTCACCAGCCTCTTGATACCTTTTCGCGGACGGAAGTAGTGCATCGTATATGGCAAGACCAAGTGAAGAAACAGTAGGTCGATGGGCACTTTGGACAGCGGTTGCCTAAACGAAACAATTAGACCAAGAAACTAAGTAATAGCACGCAGACGAGCCTATTTTTCCACCGGAAAGGTAAAACGGTTTTACTGCCAATGAAATACAGCGCAGAAGCACTGGCCACGGTACAAAGAACTACAACGGAATACATGATTGCGCTGATGAAAATCTTCCGCAGTTGAGTGATTGTTGACCGGTCAAGAATATCCCGTATCGGGTGCGAGTTTTGGTCTTGAGGATCTTTAACGAACCACATCGCGCCGGATCGCATGATACTTCTGCATCCGGACAGTAAAACTGCAAAGGAATACCTAGAGAACGATAGATCTTGAATGAGAAGACCAAAGCAAAGTATAAGAACACCGACATGAACATCGTTCCGGCGACCCAGTGATAGAACATGGCAGTCATTGGAGCCTGGTAAAGAAACAGAGTGCGATTGGCAAGGTTGGATCCAGAGAAGAACCAAATGGCACAGAGGTCAAGAACGACACCGCACCCGAGCGGGAAAAGCGCCAATTCAATGAAAATGAAGGCCGCGACCTAGAGAAAGATGAGCCAAGCTCATGGCCATCCTGATCACTACCCACCTTGACAACAAGGAGGTGTTGTCTGAAAGCACTTTTCACAGACCGACCTGCCTCCTTGTTTCCGATAGCAAGCAAATGAACGTAGACAGAAACCATCAGAGCAACCACTGCATATCCAAAGATGATAGCAGAGGCCCTTTCCGTTGAACCGTGACCGAGAGCGATGTCTGTCCACCAATCGCAGAATCGGACGGCCAAAAGTCTAACTTCTTTACCGAGGGCAGCAAAGGAAGGCTCAAACATTTCTATTGTGCCAGCCTTCAATTGGTCAAGCATAGAAAATGTAGACGTGGGCTCCTGAGAGGTAGTGTTAGACGATGCGGATATCCACGGGAAAAACATGTCAGAGGCATTGACAGCACGATGATACTGGGAACACTAGCATCAATATAAGTAACCAACAGTACTTTATAATGTGACTTACAAAGGTTACAATAGCCTCACTCGTTCGGCCGAGTCCATCGCGACCCACAATTGCCTTGGCAAAGAACAAAACGCCAATCAAAATCAAATCCAACAGCCCACGTCCCACAGTCAAGTACTGCGGGAAGATAACTTCGCTAATGACATAGACAATTGTGTCTACAACAGGATCAGTCAACAATCGGATAGCACGGATAGGAAGGTGGAGTATTTGAAGGAAACGGCGGGGATCCAGCTGTGGTTGGGAAGAATGTCATAGAAAGTTCAACAATTCAACAACTTTAAAATCCAGACATACCGATAGCAACAGAGTAGACTTTCCAACTGTAAAAGGGGCCAAAATACCTACAACGATTGCGGCGTCGAGAACGAACATCATAAGGGTAGCCTGAGGGACGGATAAATAACGCTTATGACACTAAATAACCCGAAAGTACGCACATTTTGGAGGACAGTGTGGAAGGGACCCCTCATGCCAATGGCTGAAATGGTAGTACATATGAGAGAAAGACAGCATTGAGGAAACAACAACCTACCTTCTAGAGCTCCTTCCATGTCATCATCGGCATTTGCTTCTATATCGTCACCAAGTCCAGCTGCCATTGCGGCATCTTGTACGATATCCGGTGCTTGGTTAGCGACGTCAAGGACTGGCGCAACAGGAGGAGCAACCTCCAGCACCTGACCACCGTCAGGGACATCTTGATCTTCATCCTCAATGCCGTATTCATCCCCTTCCTCCTCTTCCTCCACCTCTTCCTCCTCCTCAAGCTCTTCAACCTGTGGTGGTGTGTCCTCTTCACCCGGAAAGTACCTCGCCATCAAAGCTCTTTGCTCAGCTTCAAACTCACGATCGTGCTCTGAACTATCAAAATATCCTGGCGGTGGATCTTCGTCGACACCGAAATCTTCGGGAGCCCGATAGGTGGCTAGACCCGGCGACGCAAGAGGTGTCGAATGCAGTGGGGAAGATGGACCAGAGCTCGGCAGGACTGTGTTAGGCAGAGGAGGTCGTCGGAATGATGTTGATGGCACGTCTGACGGTCCAGGCGTGGGAGGTGAATTGAGTGAGAACGGTATGGGCTCCGCCGGAGGCTGCAGGACAACAGGAGGGAAAGGAGACGAGGAGGACGACGATGAAGAAGAGGCCGATGATGAAGAACCTGCACGCTGACCAGAACTAGGAGAAACGGTGAACGTGAACTCTGGCAACCATAGTGGATCATTTGTAGCATCAGAATATGCGAGTGCATTATCCTCGCTATTTCGTTCTGCCTCCCTTCGAGACATACGAGCTGTTTGTAGCCGCCGCGAGAAAGCACGATGCTGTTTTCGTCGCTTTGCATGTTCACGTTCGCGGTTTTTCTCTTCATCTTCCGTGCACTGTTGCCTTGTCGTTTCGCGAGAAGATTCGGTCCCATCATCATCGTCATGTGGCCTCTCCCGACGCGAAGGAAGTTCCAAGGGGGTTCTTCCGTGATTTCTCCCCTCTCCTACGACGTGACCGTTCGCGCCCTGCATAGCTCGCATCGCATCGTAAGCCCTTACCGCATCCACCTGACGCTGTGCGAGAGCCAACCTATTACGCTGTTGTTCTATCACGGCAACGATAGGTGGCTGGGGTGGCTGGGGCGGGTTGTCTTGTTGTACAGCTGGCAGTCTTTCCTCTGGCATAGGTAACTCCTCCTCGTCGAACACACCAGGTCTTGCGTTTTGAGAAATCCACTCCCGTAACAGGAATATAGCCACGAATGTCACAACGATCATCGAAGCTATTATTTGGCCAGTAAATATGTCTGAGGATAGAGCCAACCAGACTGGATGGGTTGATATTTCTCCAAGTAGGGTCTGAGACGGTGGTCTCGCTGCATCAGGGTGAATGTTGTAGTAGAAGGGATTAATAGTAGTGCCGCTCTCAGGCGGAGGTTCTCTATCACTAATGTACCAGGCACTATGAGAATATAAGTTAGTGTATGCGTCAAATACATAAAATACGCACGTCAGCTCTCCGATTGTGAAACAGATCCTCCAAGTCCAGACGGTCACCCACGGGAGCACCGCGAGCCATACCAAAGCAACTACAACTGCTCTCACCGCAAATAACAGTGCGAACAGGGCTTGCTGAGCTAATCGTCTCAGAAGAAGAGCCGGCGGTAATCTTGGCGGCATGTCCGCTGCATACACTGGACAAAAAGTCAGATGGACAAGAAGAGTACGGGGCGGAACACCCACCCTTTGTGAAAGAGTAGGAGTGCTTGCAGACATCACAAGTCTTTTTCTTGCTATGAGACAGCCATGTTGTCAGGCTACACCTCTAGTCAGTACTGATCTCTCTGAACTGTTCCTAGAACACACACCAGTCCTGGTGAATATACCGGATAGTTCCTGAGCATTTGCAAGGATGGAATAATGGTTGATCAGGTTCAGCGGGAGCGCTGCATATACGGCAGGTATCTTGATATGAGGTATCATCACTAAGCGCTCGCATGGACCAAAAATGTCATACCTTGCTCTTCCGCCTCCTGCATTGTGGAAAGATAAGTTCAGTTAAGAACTATCGGTGTGTTGAAACTTCGGATAGGTAAAATGGTGGTGAAGAGCAAAAGCGAAAGACAGATGTACGCGGTGTAAAGCGGCAAGCTGTTGCGTGACGGTGTGTGACGGCAGGCGTGACAGACGCTTGACTGTCACGGTACTTATCTAGTCCGCCCCCGAAGGCTTGCAAATTCACCTGAACTGTAGATATTCTTTTCAGCGCCATCGACTCGCATGCCTGATAGTCCTATCGTCGAAAGTATGACTCCTACTTCAAGTCCCGCCACCACGGCCACCGGTTACTATGTACCATATTTTACCTGGTACTAATGACGCAATTTTCTTGGTCGGCCAGCACCGAGGGCGCAAGAAATGGTGAATTTTAAACAATAACAATACTTTAGCCGATTTCCAGATACTAGAACCACGCAGAACGCTAAAGTCAGTGCCTTGGTTGATCTGTAGTCTGATGAACTAGCCTACTTCCGCCCGCAAAGCCCACCATGGTCGAATGGCTTATGGATAGCACCCGCCGATCTAGTGAGCACATTGAAGCTGGAAGGAACACAGGCCCATGCTCATTGAAACCATTCACCTTCTCTGTTCTAGAGAATTTTCTTTCAGACAACTTTTTAGGTCCGCAGCATGCACTCAGATTATCACACACTGGCGCCGTACGCCCTCTTTCACCATGTATATGAACCCTACAGCGCCGCAAGGTCCAACCCGATGAATTTGACAGGGATCACTCTCCTCTTCATGCGCTGTAACCGTTGCGCTAGCAAATCGGTCATTTCCAGACGAGAAGCTGAGAACACCAGTCATTTACCCATCAGTCAAGGATTCGCGAACATGACGGCGTCGAGTTAGCGTCAAGACCAAAGGCCGTAATCATAATCAGGTAGGTGTGGTGCTCTTATGCTAGAGTGATACGATAGAAGTCAAAAAGATACCATCAATTTCGGACGGAACGTGAGTTTCTTGATTCTTTTGTTAGAGGGAGAAGATGCTAGTAAACTAAATTGGAGTACTAGTGCTTCATCAAGGACATACTCAGCTTGAACCCCGATATGACGGTACAATAAAGCGAGCCGCTGAGCCCTCGGCGTCCAGGGAACAACCTTATCGAATTTTCGGACGAATTGCATCGCGCTTCTGCACCAACAATAACGTGCTTTCTCCGACTGTCTCGTCAGAATCTGAAATCTTTGACGTGGAGGATGAACGAATGATGGTTGCTGCAACGTGCTCGGACGAAGTCATGGGGCCATTCTTCTCTTAATTACGGCTGGGAGATACCGGAGATTCCATTCTGCGACTGTCGGGAACGTTTTAAATAGCTGGACAAAGCAGTTGAACGAATCAGCCGGACTTTGGGTAGCCTTTAGCCATGTTCTGGTCTTCCGCCCTCGTTTTGGGTCTCACGCATCTCTGTCTTTCGACGCCACTCACATCCAAGCGTTTGGATACCGACGATCTACTGGAAAAGCACTCTTGGGCTGAAGTTCCTCGAGGCTGGGAGTGGGTCAACAAACCCGACCCAGAAAGCATTATCCAACTACGCATCGGTCTCAAGCAAGACAGGGTGGATGAGTTGATTTCGTCCTTATACGAAGTTAGTACACCTAATCATAATCGGTAAGCATCTTTTCTTAGAACTTTGATATCATATTCATATTCACGATTCTCGAACCAAGTTATGGCAAGCATCTGTCCAAAGAGGAAGTTGATGTCCTCGTCGCTCCTCATCCTGATTCTGTTGAAGCGGTTGAGTCCTGGCTCCTTCATCATGGCGTCGACCCCACCGACGCGACTTTCCGTTCGAGCAGCGGTTCATGGATCTCCGTTCTGGTTTCTGTGTCCAAAGCCGAGCAAATGCTTGGAACGGAATATGGTCTATACCACCATCCTCAATCGTCGTCTTATGTTGTGCGAACTTTGAGCTACTCCCTTCCTCGAGAACTCCATCAGGCTATCAGCGTCGTGTCTCCGACAACCTATTTCGGCACACTTCGTAGCATGAGGGCTACTAGTTTTGTGGAGGCCGATATCAGCGACCAAGTAGCTGACATTTCTGCAACCGTGCCTAGCAGCTGTGCATCTAGGATAACTATCGCGTGTCTACAAGCGTTGTATAATAGTGCGTTGATATGTCTCGTCATCTCTGCATAATTGATTGAGCCGCAATCGTCATGAATCAGCCTCCGGTTACATACCTTCTGCCACCGATAGCAACAGTCTTGGTGTTGTTGGATACCTCGGCGAATACGCTAACCGGAATGATCTGCAGGTTTATCACACCATTTTATCATTCAATGCCTTACTGATTATTCCCAGACATTCCTTACGAGATACCGAACTGACGCAGTGGGAACCGCGTTTGAGACGATTACGGTCAACAATGGTGAAGATGACCAAAGTGAGCCCGGTGTCGAGGCGAGTAGCACTTTGTACAAGGAACTGCCTCTCGCTCACTTTGGCATGCCAGGCCAACTTGGATATTCAATATACAGTTGGACTGTCGTACCCTACGCCTAACATCTATTACAGGTCAGTTCTCTTCCAACCAGTTCTTCGTATCTTACCCCTTCCGAAGCACGGGCGGCTCCCCTCCCTTCAATCCGGACAGCGAAACCATCACTGACACCAACGAGCCTTATCTAGATTGGCTTAACTACATCCTTGCCAACGATACAATCCCGCAGACTTTCACCACATCGTACGGTGACGACGAACAGACTGTTCGTCTTCCCCAAAAGATAACTCTTTGTCCCAGGACTCATGGGTACCATAACAGGTGCCTTACGACTACGCTGTCAGTGTGTGCAATCTCTTCGCTGAACTCGGCGCCCGTGGAAGTACGGTCTTCTTTTCCAGCGGCGACTCCGGGTATGTTGCACCAGTCACTAAGTACTACCGGCGACTTAAACTAGTTAGTGTTGGTGGTGGCGACTGTCTTATGAACGATGGAACCAATACAACTCTATTCCAACCCGCATTTCCAGCCAGGTATGTTTATCGTCCTTCTGCAATGCTTCTGAGCACTGATATTTGTATGATGCAGCTGCCCCTAGTCTGTTCCTTTCCTTTCCTCTCAAGCGTTCATTTTTAAGCAAGCAATTACAGTGTAACTGCTGTAGGTGGCACCACTGGCAACTCGCCCGAAGTTGGTGTCAGCTTTTCTGGCGGAGGATTCTCACGCTACTTTGGCATTCCGTCTTATCAAGCCGACGTTGTCGCTGGATACGTGTCATCCCTTGGGAGCGAGTACAGCGGACTGTACAAGTACGCGTTGTCCTCGCTTGAACCGTCTTCCTTCTGGCGTTCATCGTTACCCTTTCTAGTACCTCTGGACGTGCATACCCCGATTTAGCTGCACAAGGAACCAGCTTTTCAGTCATTGTCGGCGGCCAGACGTATTCCGTTGGGGGTACCAGCGCTAGTTCTCCTGTTTGCGTATTTCTCTCTAGTGTTGTGCTGTGCATTGACTATCAATACCAGACCATGGCCGGTATCTTCACCCTACTGAATGACTATCGTCTTGCCAATAACCAGTCTTCTCTTGGATTTATCAATCCCCTTATATATGCCAACTCGGGCGGTTTCAACGACATTACGTCTGGTTCCAATCCTGGTTGTGATACTAATGGTGGGCTTTTACCATTTCAAGTCTCATCACCGATTACATACTCAATAACCTATAACCTCATCAGGCTTTACGGCGGTTACTGGCTGGGATCCTGTAATTTTTCTTCGTCATCTCTTTCATTTTCATCATACTTAACATTGTTATCATCAGGTTACTGGCCTGGGAACTCCGGACTTTGTGAAGCTTCAGGCAATTGTGAGAGCTTGAGATAGCTGCCTTTCAGGTACATAGGCGATTGACGAGATACTTTGACGAATTCTTCCACGAATGACAAATTGAGGGTATTTGGATGCCTAGAGTGCGCGTATATAGAGACGATACCATAGAGCAAAATGTTTGCCGACGTGGCATTCGCAGTCATGACTTGATGAATAAGATGGTCAGCTGGAGATCCTTGGACTGCTGAATAATATGGTATAGGAAACGTCCGATACGTAACAATCAAAGTTGAAATGGCTGTTGTTTCAGCCTATAGTGGTAGAAATTGTCACAGTGGACACTTACATTTTACTACAGATGACGCCTTTGGCATGTAGCATGAAAAAGGCTTGGGATATCATGTGGCGTATCATTGGAAGAAGCGGACAAGCAATCCTTGCCGTGTCAATAGTGGCAATCGGAGTATGAATTGGATGCAATGCCGGCTACCGGCTTAGCAGGAATGCTCGGCAAATTCCTCAGAATGGAGACAATTGCGTCTGACTGTTGACCCTCATCCTCTGCCCACAACGTTTCAGAGCACTACCTCGCGCATAGACATTCTTCTCTCCCTTACAATATTCCGTAGTGCCGTGCGTACCTGTGCTCTAACAAGGCTCTTCGGTGACAAGCTGTCTCGCAACAGACAATAATGAATCGTTTAAGTCGGGATATCTCAGAGCATGCCAAGCGCTTAAGAGCTGATGTTGTTCGGCGCAAGACATCTGATACCGACACATCTGTCCCTCCTACAACCGTCCGGCGTCGGAAATCTCGTTCACCTTCGAGGAGTAGGACGAGAGCTGATCCCTTCGTGCTATCGTCTTCGGGAGCTGTCAAAAAAAAGAAATCTCCAAACCCTGCTGCTTCCAACGAAACCACCATGGTGGCAGAGGATGTGCCTGACCATGGTCATCGAATGAAATCCGGCATTCCAAAGGCTTCCGGCACATATTCGCGCTCTTCCAGCGTTGTGCCAACGACCTCGACGAGTCACCGTAGTAGGAAAGAGAAAGAAGGGGACCGTGATGAGGACCATTCGCACCACTCCTTGTCTGAGAGGGGCGGTGACCAGAAAGGCGTTATGTATTCAGGACCGTTGGCGATGGCTGAGTTTGAACGGATGAAGAGAGAAATTGATCAGCTGAAGAAGACCGTTCACGACAACAAGAAGAACATCAAGAAGCAGAAAGAGGTGAGTACTTGTCTCGACATCTGTGACGTCCTCAAACCGGCATGTTCCCAGACGATACAGAACCTCAAGACTGAATTGGACTCAGGAAAGCTTGTGCGTTCGTCACTTTTCAATATTTTGAAATGCCATTTTAACTTCCAGTAGGCTAGGAAAAGCCAAGAGGCTCAGTTGGAGATGCTGAAGACAAAATCGCAGCAGAAAGACGAAGTAAATGTACCTACTTCCAAATCTGATTGTGATCTAACCTCCTTCTCTCCAGATTCTCAATGCTATCGAGACTAGCCTTCAATGTCAGATATGTATGGAACTACTCTTTAAACCTTATGCGTGCGTGTTCTCCCATGTCTATACATTACGTTCTAACATCCTTGTAGTCTGTCGCCTTGTGGTCACATCCTCTGCCTGTCATGCCTACAAGAGTGGTTTCGCAAAGCTCCGCCTTCTGCTGAAGATATGGAGATCGACGAGGACATCAATGATCCAGAATTTATCATTCATCGTCAGAAATCATGCCCTTGTTGTCGTGCCGTGATATTTGATCGACCCGTTCCTGTGTTCCTCGTCAAATCAGTTACATCCATGTTGATAAAGGCCAAAGGACCTGGACATACCGCGGCAAGCCCACTTTGGCGCACGGACGGTACATCCTTGGCGGTTTCAGATGATGTCTGGAAGGGTATTTTTCCAGATGACGCTTACGAAGAGGAGGAAGAGGAGGAATATGACTACGATGATGAGGTGGTTCGGTGGTTCACAGCCCCATATGATGATTCTGATGAATACGAGAGCTACGGCAGTGACGAGGACGAGTCGATGGGTGAATTAGAAGACGATACCGATAACACTCCGTATGTCCCTGCCATCTGGGAACCTCCCACAGTCTACTATCGCGCACGGACACGCCACAGTTTGGAGTTTACTCACATGATGCGTCGAGGATGCACACGCGAGATGATTCACACCTACGGGATGACTTACACGCACGAAGAGGGCCTTGTTGCCCACGTCTATACGCTGGATCCAGATGCCGAGGTCATACCATACCGAGCAGATGATACACAGAACATTATTCGCATTTTCTTGGGATGGAATGTTGTACTCGAGCCTCGTGATCACGGACATGGTTTTCTGAACCAGTTACTAATCGACTACCGCGAACATCCAGAGAGATTCTCCACACATCGTCTAGATGGCACATTGGACATCAAGAAGCTGGTGAGGGAAGATGATATCCAAGCCATGTCAGATGATAACACGACGGACTCGGAGTATTGGCATGATAATCGGATAGACTCGGATTTCTAAGGTAGAATGAAGATATAATTGTACACATGCTGTAAACTAATCTGTACCTTTCATGCACGTTGATGCTTGGGTCAGTTTACTTGACTGTTAGTGGTCAATTGCTTTTGGCCTTTGGTTCGCTGTCTTAGGTTCTCCGCCAGTGATACATCTTGATATCTTCGTCCGCCGATGGTGCATACGGGAAATGAAGTCTCATATCTTAAATGTATGTACCCGTACTCTCACTACAGTTGGGACAAGTAAGCCTATCCCTATGAGAAATAAAAATAGTGTCGACGGCTTATGTATTCGTCGGGCTTCGAGGAGCAGTAAAGCGCTAGCGTTGAGGCTTAGATCTCGGGCCTCAGACCTCATGTGCTGCCAATCTAACCACTATCTTAAGGTACAGTCGACTCACTTTCTAGCGGTAATCCCAGTATTCCGCGATATCATGCCTTACCACAAAAAGTAAGTACTTACCACCGAACAAGAACTTTGGAAGACTTCACAGCAAATGTACTAGTGCGCACTTTTAACTCAGGCTACAAGGCCTTGACCCTTCAACTTTTCGACATCCGTCAATTATAATTTCTGACGATGACACGGCAGTCAAATTGGAACCCAATTTTTTGCTTGCGTTCTCAGAAAGTGGCATGCACACCATCAGCCACGTTGCGCTTTGGCTCTAGTGTCTCGACAACTTCCGCGTATCAATGGAGGATAATTATTAGATACAATTCTTGCAGAAACTCATGATTAATGGGAGGGGTGATGAGGGACATCCAATGGATACGACATCTTACTCGATCGCACTCACGGCCGGGTAAAACATGCCATGACTTCTTCCTAGCATGAAGGTCCTGAGAGCTTTTAAGTTTTGGATGCATGCATGGGGATACAAATACACATGAATGTCAGGCCTGGGAGGGGATTATGCCTTCCCTGCCACGGGCATTTACGATCGCAATACACTGTAGAATGGCCATTGGCTAGGCTTGTCGGTTGGTTGCAAAATCTTACGACTACATTTTTGTTTCACCGAGGTGCGGGATAGTAACAGCCGTTGATTTGATAGATACTTAGAGCCTACGCAGTACTCGTTGAACACAAGATCACGGTTTGATATGGAAGGGGCGCAAAGTACTTGCGGTGCAATTCATTTCGGCAAACAAGTCTTACACCATGTTCTGGTCGGAGGCCAGTGGAACTGAGATGTACCGGAATATAAATGGAGGAAGGAAATGTACAAAAGTTTTCAGTAAACTCGGCCGCAAGGGTTGCAAGGACATTCGGACATACGATGATATTGACAAGCATCTGAAGGTTTATTGATCCAGCTCAGATGGAGAACAAATGAACACCATGACCTTATGAGACATCCGCAAACTCCTGCATCAACGTCCATTTTTGATGTTCTGCAATTGAGCGAGGCACGAGCGGTGCCATTTCAGAACAGGATTTGTGTACGTGAGCAAGAGACGATCAAGCCTCTCACAACCTCGAGGCCTCATTCACCGGTGCGAGAAATACTGACATGGAACTTGCATACAGCAATCAACCTCATAAATTGTGCCATCCCTGGGCCGCAGTCTCATACTGTAATTCACATGCCATCATAGGATGTAGGAAGACGTTTATTTGGGGGAAAGTACCTATATGAGGCTTATTATTCGAAATTCCTCTAGGTTTCGGGCTCGAAGGCTGCGTTGTATTAAATATAGATGTTCAAGGTAGGCGTGGTTACGCCGATCGGCATGGTGTGACGAGGTCAAGGAGGTTCGAATACACCTTAAGTACTTATGTCCGAATTGCTCAATGGTGGCAAAGAGCGCCCGTCTCTGATCTGGAAGTAGTTGTAGGTTCTGGGTCGGTCCTCTTCACAAACAAGTGATGGAAAAATTGCAGTAGGTTGAGAATGGCAATGCCGAAGGAAGAGGGCGGTTGATAGGTACGCGCCATTTCCATTGAATAGGGCTGAAGATCACATCACGTGGTTCCGATTTTCGCCTCTCGATCGATATTGATGGACCTTCAGAAGCTTCAGGGTGGACCTGGGTGAGTATTTTCCGCCGTAGGCATGTTTAGTTCTTCATGTACTATTTATAAACTTGACATACCAGTGGAGGTAGATATTCTACGGTCGCGGCGCAGCTTGGAAAGAAATCCAGGGTTTGGCTCCATTTGCAAGAGCAAAGTATTCGTAAATGGTGGTGGGCGTACCGGCCTCGAGTAATCCACGTTCAGGAGTCCAAGAATGTGACTTGCTATTCAGACTTGGACTCGAACCAGTCCCACCGCGAGTCGATAGACTGTCATCAGCCGAGCTGGAAAGTGGCTCGACTCTAGTTCAGACTCGTGTCTGTCTCAAAGATTTTTTTTTTCCTCCGAGTCGATGTAAGAATATTTTATTGGCATTTGGGAGGTTCGACATAATTTGAAAAGAAAACATTTACAAAGTATGATGCCACCAGTTGCTAACAGACGTCTTACAGCTGGTATCGGTCCGCCTCTGAGTCGAGGAAGGAAGTTACTTTTATTAGTCGTCGTGGCTCCTAAGTAGAAACGTAATGACGTCCGAACTACAGCGAATAATCTACTAAGTGATGACAAACTGCCACAGGACCGAGCCTGTCCCAGGCTCTGCCGCTTTGGTAAAGCCCCCTCATGGCCTCGGCGATGGGGAGGTGAGAAATATGGTAGAAGAACAACACAGATGAAGGTGCCGTAGCACAGACAACCCTCCATCGTTGCAGCGTGAAGGCATTGCGATGTAATGATATGAATAAATTGGGAGGGGGGAAACGTCCTAGTAGTAAGAAGCGTCACAGCCTCCATTTTCTCCTCGGGCATCATCCAGATATTTTCTTGCACCATCCATAGAAATACGTTCTCTCTGAGCACGGCATGATACACTCAGAGGCCATCCGAAGAGGAGGGGGGGCAACCACGATTATCGATGATAGAGTCAAGACTATTCGATCGAACAGGCGCACATCAGTGCTGCTGGCAAATATCTCTAAGGGCAGTTGGCTTATTCCTCTTTTTCTCCTTCCCGGGTAGCCTCGTGCTCTACGGCACAATGAATAAACCGCGTGCCAAGAAGATTTATCCTCCAATCCGTCCAGACCACATCATGCTGTGTCTTGGCAGTTGTTCTGGTCTTCCGTTGGTTTGACCACGATTTGCGTTCTATCAGGGAAGTCTCGCAAAGCCACCATAACGAATATGAGTGCGAAAACATACAAAATAATGTCTCTAAGGACTCTGGTCTGTTTCCTTCTCAGGGACAGTGACCAAAATAAAATTTCCTCCTCCTAACTTTGTTAGCGACGGCGGAGAACAAACCGCTCGTAGGTCGGTGGGAAATACTTTCATCTCGCATTACCGTGGCCAGAAACGATGTTGAGATTGGAAGTTCGAGTTAGAGGGAGACGAAGAACTTGTAGAAGATACTTACCTGATGATGAGCAAAGGCGAACTGATCAAATGGTGCCGTATCTTCATGGTAGTCTAGACCTATTGCATGTTTCTTTGCGCGAGTTTGTTTTTAGGACGAGTTGGAACAGAGATGTTCGTGCCTGAAATTTTTTTGGTGTAAACATATTCATTCGGGATCAAAAAGAAACGAAGGCATCTATACAATTTCAGCTATGATCTTTCCACTATCGAAGATATGGTCATTTTAATGACACCCATCACTAACAGAGGCCTCACATATTCTTATTCATTCCATTCATGCGCAATCAGAAAACCCCAGGAAGCTCAGCTCACACACCTTATGGATGTCTTGATTGGATCATTCCTCTCGAGCCCGATAACCTTTCCCAAAACCTGATCCCTCAATCTGCCCATGGGTGCTTAGAAACAGTACAAGAAACACTGGCAGTACCTACTTGGAGATCAACTCCGCCTGGTATTCCAAGCTCCTGGACCGGAGCGTGGATCCCTGAACCCGGAGGCACAGGAAGGGCCGCAAGTCCACCGAAGGGACCGTATACCCTTCAAGTTTCCCTTCTCCGTATACACTTGGGGAGATCACGATCACGCACCACTGAGCAAAGCAAATATCGTCATCCTACCATCGACAGCCTGCGAATCCAAGTTCTTCTTCCAATGCGTCTGACCGAAAAAGTCGAGGATGACGTCGCCGCCTTTCCCGTCGGCGATTTTGAGTGTTTCTGCTGCGAAGTCTTGGGTTTTGTAGTTGATTCTGCGGGTGGCGCCGTTAGGAATGGAGAGGAGCCAGTTGCCCTAGGTGGGAGAGGGAACTTGCCTTCTCGTCAGAGTGTACCCGTGTTGTTCAGCCCGAAGGCTTTGATCTGTGGTGGGAGTAGTAGGCTTTTTAAATGAATAGATGAGTTGACATACTTTGTTTGGCAAGAAGCTGGCATTCGCCGCTTTATTGTCTTTGATCAGGATGACTCTGATGGTTGCTGAGGAGGTAAGTAGATGACTACATACTGTTTCGAGAGGGTTTGTGAGATTATGAAGAACTTGGGGAGAAAGCGGCAAAAATTTATGAAATTCCCGATCGCATGCATGACGTCACGCGTCACCCCATCCCTCCTTGTCTTCATACCACCACCACCAACATCGTCTCGTCGTCCTTTTCTCTCGTTAACCCAACCTTGCCCATGCACAACCTCAAACGCGCGGGCTCCAACCCCGCCGGCCCCGCCCCCACCGCCAAAAAATCCCGACCCCTGTACGAAACGCCTTTCCCGAACCCGTCCAGCGATAGCTTAGCGTACAAGCTCCCTTCGAGCGTCCCCAAGGACACGGGAAAGTTATCACCTGTGCCTGTAGTTCGCAGGACGAGCTCGAGGAACTTGAAGGAGAATAGGGTCGGGAGGAAGTCCAAGTCCAGGTCCAAGGGCGTACTGGAGAGCTCTTTCCCCATCGATGCAGATATCATTCCTATTCACTTTCCCAAGCGTACGTTGTCGGACAAGTACCCAGTGAATGTACAACTCCTACCGCTACAGTCCCAGCCGACGACAACCTCTCCCCAGTTCCAGCAGCTCGAGTTTGAGAGGGGACGACGTCCTTCTGAGCCGGCGCCTCCCCGTACGCATATCTCTTTCCTTGACTCGGATATCAAAAAACCGGGAAACGTCGAATTCAGTATTCCTTCTTCCAAGGTGGATTTCAATCGGCCGCCGTCACAGTTGTCGCTCTACGATGGGATGTTTGCAGATGTTCAATTCGTGTCGACTCCTTTCCGGTTCGCTAGGAACCTGGGTGAAGGGACGGTCGGCCCGCGTCTGTTGTCGAAGCCGTTGAGCGACACGGATACGGATGAGGAAGGGGAGGGGGATATCATGAGTCCGTTTAAGCTTTTGAAGAGGTCGTTGCAGAAGAAGCGCCAGATGTCTGCGGGGTATATGAGTCCCGACGAAGAAGAGACTGAGTGGATCACTGATTCATTGATCTCGCCGCCTACGAGGGCAGATGTGGAGATGGCTGATCCTGAGCCGGACATTGCAGAGTTGTTGTCTTTGGATAGCTTGATTTTGGGTTATGGTGCGCATATATGGGCCTTGATATCCATTTTTTTGATGTTGTTATAGAAGAAGACAGGCCGGGGCCTGTACGCACGCGTTCGCTTGATTCTGCAGCGTTGTCGCTAGCGCCGATGAAAACTGCGACGACTAGGAGGACTCGGAGCGGGAGTGTTCTGCAGAATGCGAATACGAATGATGTGACTGTTGGGCAGGGCGGGGCGGTTACTCAGTGGGCGAGCAGAAACATCTTGGCGCCGCCACCTGTTGTGGGGAGGCCGTCAGCGCCTGTTGGAAGGAAAGGCGTCTTGGCGCATCGGAGAGGGAACACGGTTGGTGGAGATGGAGACGACGAGTATTCGGAGGACGAGGTGCGCTCTTGTTCACCTGATCCGTGTTTCTTACCCGTCTCTTAGCTCGAAGCGCTGACGTTCAGCACTCCGGAAGACGATCTGCCGCTTCCTCGTCCTCGCGTACGCCGGGCGAGGGTGAGGGATGGGCAGATGAAGATGTATAAACACCCAGCTGTGGAAGGGGAAGAGGCCGGGATGGAAGAAGACGACGAGTTGCTGTTGGTGAGTGCCCTTTGGGGGAGTGCGTGATGCTGATTTTTTTTGGTTTGTGCAGAAATAAGTAGTTTTTCTGGTGCGCTATTGAAATTGGGACTTTTTTGGTTTTTTTTTTTGCTCTGGCTTGGATTGTTGCTTTGGCCTGACTGCACTGGAACTGTATTGACTAGGCTCTTTGGACTGGCTTGAAAGTGTAATTGTAACTCTGTGGCTTGAATGTATGTTTTTAAGAAATGGACAATTTTGTACTTGTTGAGAGACTGAGGTAGTGAGCGCTTGAGCCTTAATGCAGACGTCGAGTCCGCTCGTCGAAGAAAAGAACACTATAGTATAGCGGCAAGTGAGTGGGAGTTGGGATTAGAAAAAATTGGGGAGGTAAATCCTGGGACTGGCTGTGAAGGTTCCAAGAGAAGGATGTGTCCAAGAAAGTACCCAACAAGGATGTGTCCGACTCGGAGGAATCACGGCAGAGAAGTTGAGTTTGAGTGGCAGCGCCACATACGTGTCGGTACGGTCCGGCGGGCCGAAGCCACGTCATAACAGGTCGATTTATCAACACCCAAGGTCTGAAATTAGCGGTGACCACCGAGGATGGTGGTAAACAAGAAAACGCAAGTCGCGCCTCCGATGGCATCGCGCACCAACTCATCACAACCTCTCCCGCGTAAAAAAGCACCTGCGTCTCCACCTACGCCTCCACCGCCCGTCGAGCCGAATTCAAAGAAGAAAGAACGAAAAGCTAGAGCCAAGTCGAAGAAAGGATCACTGCTGTCATGGACTGACGGGGTGCTGTTGGTGTTGTTGATGGTGTTTGTGGGGTATGCGCTGAGGGTGTGTCCGAGTGATTATGGCCTCCAAGACCCGGTGTGTTGGGGGCTGGCTCGGTACCGGGCGAATGTGGTGGATGTGTACTTGGTAGGGCCTGTTAAGCGTGTTGCAGGGCATCCGAGTGTGCGGCCCGTGGTGACGAGGGTGGAGCCTGTGGTGGAGAAGGGCGGGGAGGCGGTGCGGAGGGCGGTGCGGGAGGCGGGCGGGTTTGTGGAGCCGAGGTATGAGGCGTACGTGAAACCGTACGTGGATCGGGGTGTGTCGTACCTGCAGAGGGCGTACGCTGGGATGTCGCCATACCTGCAGAGGGCGTACGTGTTTGGCCGACCGCGGGTTGTTGGGGCGTATGGGGTCTGTGCGCGGAAGCTGGGCGAGCTGAGGAAGCGGTTTGTCGATCCCCATGTGGGCGTGCTCTGGACAAAGGTGGTCGAATTGAGTCGAGGGGGACCGCTGCCGAGTGAGACACCGACATTCGAGTCAACGACGCCTGAGCCAACACCGACGCTGCCATCTGCAGAGCCAACACCTATTGAAGAGCCAGTATCCATGACAACCACGGAACAGCCGACGTCTTCGTCCGAGCCAGTGCCGTCGCCTGACCCAATTGAAGATCCAGTTACGGCATCGTCGTCCGAAACAGTGTCGCCAGCACCATCCAAAGAACCAGTTGTTCTCGAAGAGCCGACCCCTGACCCGCCAGTGCCCACTCCCGACGAGTCTGACGACTTTCTAGCAGACCTCGACATCGACTTTGATGCCGTCACCACATCCGTCCCTAGCACCACCACCACCACCTCCTCCGTCACACCTCCTACAGAAACCTCCAGAGACCACGCTGCCGTCGCCTCAAAACGCGCCAACATAACTGCCCGTCACGCCTCTTGGGCATCCCAACTCGATGCCCTCGCTGCCTCCCGCGCCGCCACAGTACGCAAAAACCTGTCACGTATCCGTAGTCGAGCAGCTGCCGTCCTCTTTGGACAGGCCACCGAAGACGACGACACAGACTTTGTAGACGGCGTGCATGTCAGCAAGCTCCTCGATGTCTTTCTCGACCAAGCAGAGAAGCTCGTGGGCGGCCTAGAGCGCTGGTGGAAGAAGGAGTCCAAAGACGCGGACAATCAAGAGAGGGCTGGAAAGGTTGTTGCACGCGTCGAAGAAAAGCTCGACGCTCTCGTCCGCGAGATGGGTCAGCGTGTCGAGAACTGGGCTGCCCGTGTGAGGGAGGACGAGGTCAGAGAGTGCGTCGTCGCCAGTCGCGAGGTCAAGGCCCTTGCAGAAAAGGCTCAGGCAAACTTGGGTTTGGACTATGCCTGGTTGGAAGATGTCACCTACGAGGACTGGCAGCGCTATCACGACTTGATGAGAGGTCCGTCTTTGTTCTCTATAATCCACCCTCGTGCTCACCAAAAAAAAACCAAAAACTCAGTCTACAACGACTTTGATACACAGATCCGCCAAATCCAGAATAACACCCATGTCAGGCCTCTCGGCGACACCGTCCTCATCGCCCTCGAGGCAAAGCAGCATGATATGCAGGATGCCATCACCCGTTTCGTCTCCCGCGTAGCTAGGGTCCGCGACGACATGAAGCCCGATCTCGACGCGTTGTTGATGGGCAAGTCCAAGGAGCAGGTCGAGCAGGCGTTTGAGCAGGCACAGCCGAAACTCAAAGTCGGCGCCAAGAAACACAGTATGCCCGTAGCACCGCAGATCCCCAAACCGAAAGATCAAGTCAAGATCTTGCCTGTCGGTGAGCCTCTGGTAGGTGAGATGACAGAGGAGGAGGTCAGAGAAGCCACCAGAGAATTGTAGTTGGATTTATATATCTTCGTTCTCGTTGATCCTTGTAGTATTAGTCGTCCCCTTTTGCTTCTTACAATGCATTCTACATCTTCCGGGCGGACATTGTCTTGGGCTTTGAACAGTTTGCAGCCCGGTGGGTCTCTTTCTCCTCTTATTTTTTCTGATATACCCTCTACATTGAAAAACATCCCATTGATGTGCTGCCTCACCGGGCCGATTTTTACCACCCGCTCTGGTTTCGGACCGCTGCCATTGGTAGAGTCGCTCGCATGTTCGGTTCCAGAATTTGCATCTCCATCTGTACGAGCTCTCATTCTCCTTCAGCTCATCGACTCTGGCCTGCACAGTCTGACTCTTCTCCAGATTGTTGCTTCACTTTCCTCATGCTGTCGAGTTCGATACTCTTCCGATTTCGCTGCGACTTCATCTCGGGCTTGTCCACAAAATTCAGGCTGCAATCTTCCATTGGCCTGAAAGTTAACCTGGAACAGCTTCTTTCATACCTTTCATGTTGTGCGACGCGACTTGGATTCTTTTACATCAGTCTTCGCGAGGGAAACCGAGCGAACTTTTTTTCCTGCGTCCAGTTAAATCCGCATACTATGCGCTTAGACTGCATTGATGAGATGAGGTGATATAGAGCGAATCACGGCCTTTCTTCATATACTTGTATCAGTACTAAGTTGGATAGCTACCAGAAGCCACGATAGAAGTGCTCGAGTCACGCTGTCGCTGTCGCCGAAATCCAAATCATACGAACTGGACCTTTTTTTTTTTTTGACACTTGAAAGATTCCCCCGTTTCCTGGCCATGGGGATGGATGCGACCCAACTTCTCGCAAAGATCCTCCCAACCTGTACCTGACATGTTTCGAAATCGCAGTTTCAATTGCATGGGTTTTTATTGTGCGGTCATAGGACTTGTGTAACTTTTTTTTAATGTAACAGTTCAGTGAAATTCGGCTCGCGGGAGATGCACCCTTGCACCCTTGACTTACGTCCAGGGCTGTACCTCGCAAGGGGGGGGTGGGGGTTTAGATGGTCTTCTATTCTCATTATACCTCCGTTCGGCTGTGGAGGAACCATACCTGTATGTAAGCCCGCTCAAATCTATTGGCACCTTTCTCTTCTGCCGCGAACATCTCTATTCAACCTCAATTTTACCATTCCAAGTGCACTGCAAGGGAGGGAGGGAGGGGGGAACAGTGGCGGCACACTTTTACTTCTTCCGTGTCCAGGTGTGGCGCCGAAGAAGAAGGGAAATATGACTACGCTCGTCAAGATCACTTACCTTGACTGCGCATAAAAAGGCAAGTAATTGATCGCAGGGAAGACGGATTTGCTCTAGGGACAACGCCTCGTGCCTGACAGCGCGGCACCGACTTGGAGGTGGCGACGTGAAATGGACCCCCCTCCTTTATTAAAAATAACTTGACAGGACCGCTTGAAATTAGATACTATTAACACTATTAACAGTGCCCCACGATGAAACCTCCCCCCTCCTCGAACCCGGATTTTCACTTCGCGATCAGGGTGATCGAATTTTGGATTGGGTGCTTTGGGACTGAGGCTGCGGCTGGGCCTAGTCAGTCTGTGTACTCTACGATCTCTTTTGAAATGCGCGAACGCACCTGCACCTCTCAATCAGAAAGACGCAGTAAGTAGTGGTTCTGACATCGGCGTGATGGGGGCGATAGGGAGAAACGATTTAGAGGGCGGGTATCAAAAACGTTGTGGTGGTCGTGGTGGTCGTTGGTGTGGACGGTAGGGGCTACGCTAGAATCGAGGCGGGTACAGTGGGCAGACGCCGCGACAGACATATGGTCTCAAACCAAAATGTTTCTTTCTCCTTCCCACCACTTCCCACGAGCTTTCTTCCTTCCATTAAAGGGGGATTTGTAGGAGGACGGGTATCAAAACCGTATAATAGATGACCGGCGCTGCAACAAAAAAAAGGGCAGGATTGGGGCCAGAGTCTTCCTTTGAGATACAGAGAGAGGTGAGAGGTTGTTAGTTGGTTGCATAAACTGTGTTTGGAACAAGAGTGTCCCTGGGGTCCCGCCGAAGGTCCGGAGAGCAATCCCGCCTTTAGGAAAGTACCCATTTGTCGTGACGTGACTAACCGTTCCGGACAACTGCGTGCGTCTCGGAGAGCAAAAAAAATTGCTCTCCAAGATACGGAAAGTGGGGCTCAACCCAACCGCGATAAGGGATAGCAGTGGAAATTTGCTTCCGTTCGTTGAGTCTGGAATGCGACCCAAAATTAAAAATAAAAGACCGTTCGATCGTGGTTTCCTGGACGATCTCCCGATGGCTGGTTGTATTATGGGGGAGAGCTTCAATACGCGATCAGGGACCCTTCGATGCGAATCGTAATCAACACCGCCCGAGAGTGGCTTGAACTTGCTCAGTGGTCTAGCTTTGGTCCATAGGGATGGCGTATCCAGGCAAAGCGGCATTGGCGACTCTGATGATGATGATCCAGGGTAAACTGGAGACGGGAACCAGAACAGAATCCCTGTTAAGGCAGCAATTTGCATGTTCTTTTGAGAGAGATATGTTTGCAAATTGGGAAGGAAGGAGTCGGGAATCTGGGCTTGGGATGGAGCTGACTTCTCCGCCGGGAGGTCTACCTTAATTGTGATGGAATGATGCGACAGGTACGTGAAGGATGTTGAGAATGAGAGAGCATAGAGGTCACATTAATCAAATGGACAGCGCCGGCATCCTAGGGAGTCAAATAAACGATGTACCATACATCCTTTCGAAAGAGTTTGGACGCAGGATCGTGTGGCTGCTCGGTCGAGCCATAACATCAAGAACAGGCCGAGTTGATGTAAGACCGCTTTTGCAACGGTAAAAGCGAATGGCAGAGATCACTGGGATACCATGCGACCTCAGGTAAGCCGCGACATAAACATGCTGTTCAAGGAGAAACCTACCCGGTCAACGTTCCGTGCTAGTTGGACTATATGAACGGTAAGCATTTAACGACCAAGAGAAATTGAAATGCGTCAGTGGCGCACTCTTCTGTTTCAAGGCGCAGTCAAGATCACCGGGACCAGCGTTCGAATTGAATATTAGCACTTATTATGAATTTACCACACCACCTATCCCCTTCGATCTCAAGATGATCTTCTCTTAATGAGATGGCCCTTCATGTTCAGGATTACGGAGCCGGGAGGCTCCAGGTAATTATCGCATATGCAACAAGCTTTTTAGCACACGAGCTTCTTTGACTAGTGGATGTGCCATGCTGCGGTATCTACCTTGTTTTGATATAAATCGGCGTGTCCAGCGGCGGAGAAAAGGTCCGTAGCGTCTTGACTGCATGACTGCAATCAGTATCTCAACATATCAGCAGTACGAATCACCTTTATAGAAAGCTGTTTCGAATGGTGGGAACTTTCGATGTGCCCACTTTCCGAACGTAAGATCCAGAACTCACTCCAAGCAAGTTATTGTGCATCAATTCGGTATGTATTTGAGCCACCAAGATCATTGGTCGAACAGTACATTCGGTACGGTTGGCGGTGCGTGTGCACGACTATGCCAGATTGTGGATGTACGGCTTCTCTCAACTAACACTCTGCAGTATCCGGTCAATGAGGCATCTTCCAGGAGTAGATAAGACATACAATCATTTAGACTGAGCACGGTCTACAGGACTGCGATCTGGTGGACTGCTTGATATGAACTTGGTCTCCAAATCGCTGGGCTTGTACTAAGGTCGACCGTGAAAAGGTGTAGATTACAACAGATCTTTGATACAAAAGCATAGGAATACGCATCGGTGTGTAAATGAAAGGTTAAAAGAACATCAGATGACGGTGGATCAGAAACGTAGTAGAAGGCTGTGTGGAATGGCAGAAACAGCCTTTAACAAAGAACAATACGAAATAATAGGTTTGAAGGTCACAAGTGCGTTACCGCCTTGGAATCTAGCGGCATCCCTTGAAGATTTGCTATGAGTCAATACCCTGGACTAATGGGCTATCAATCAACGGACCTGATGCATCGATCCCATTGTGAGCAAGAATCCGGTTGTGACGAATCAGCCGAGCCTGATCAAAGCTAAGAGTTTGCATATAAGTCCCTCTTCAGTCATGTCAGAGCTGAATGACGTACTTTACACGCTCTCTCTGCATAATTTCCATGACCTCTTGCGTGCCCTGCTCGTCGAGGCCAGTTCTTGAATCACCATTTCGCAAATTCGCCTCAATGTCAAAGTCAGAGGAGGAAAGGCCTGCATTTGCTTGTTCGGCAAAGGTCGAAAGAGGAGTGTAATGTCTCAGTTTGGGAAAGAAAGCCTTCACTCGCTCAGGAACATAGGGTGCTAGAGAAACGCGATATCGAAAGATGACTGCAAAAGAACGGTTTTAGTCTTCGCAGTTCATTGGTAGCATTTACGAACGCACGCAGAGCCACAAGGGCAAAGAAGGCCAACACAGATAGCATAAACAGCATGGTTGGCAAAGATAAAAGTTAGATAACCAAGCCTATCCGTTGCAAGGGGTCACCGACGCAGTCGTCGTTGGTCAAAGTTAGTGGGCGCAGCACAAAATGTGGCAGAACAGGAGGCGATGCATGCGTCACATCACGTGGGAACTGTCACATCACTCAAAAGGCATCTCAACCTCATCACATATCTTCTGTATCACTTGTTTTTCTGCTTCACAGACTATACTTCATTGGAAAAGTATAATTATATTTAATATGAGGTTGCAATCTACCTTGTTCGACCAGCTACAGGTGCCTTGTCACTGCTTTTATTCTCCATCTTGATTTTATGTCAGACCATAGAACGAATTTTGCCCTCCACTGGATACATCACTTTTGGCGGCGTTAATAGCTGACATAGAAAGCGACGACAATGGGAGCTTTGTTGAACCGTCATCAACAGACATTGCCAACCTTCGAGCCTCGCTGACTGAGCTTGCTGCTGAAGCCGAGACCTCTCAACTTTCCGAACAATATGTGAACCTCAACTTGGGTGCAGGTTACTCTGACGATACAACCAGCACTCCCAGTGCATATGTAGGGGAAACCTCGACATCGAGCACTTCTGGTTCAGTATCGTCGCAATCTTCATTTAGCTCCCCTTTAGGTTTTCTGCAAGCCGCTCTACCGCACATTAAACATGACCAATTAAACCGGGCTCTGTCTAATACTCAGCCTGGTGATAGTGAGATGGACATGTGGGATCTTGTAGCTGGAATCCTGTCGGAAGAACGGATACGAGAAATGGAGGAGCGTGGTCTTGACGGATCGGAGGATGCGGACAATATGGAGGACGAGTCTCCATGGAACATGGTTTGTTCAAAGAAGAAAGTTCTTCGTGCCGGAGAGCACAAGACTACTGGGAAGAAGAGAAAGAGGAATAAGCCAATTGCCCTTACAGATATTCGCCAGCAGCACAGATGCGCACCCGTTCGATCGAATAGTCTTGACTCTCCTCGAGGCGGACCGATGCCAATATCAGATAGGTGGACTCAGCTCTCATCGCTATCGACCCATGTGTCGACGTTTCTACCACCCCACGAACCTTCCTTCTTCCTCTCCTATTTCCATTCCCCGAGCTACTCTTCTCCGTATGCAGCACTCTTCTCTGCCCTTTCCACGATCAACAGGTCACACCAACCCGATGTTGATAAGCACATACCCGTTCTTGTTACCTTGCTCGAAATGTTACACACAATTTACGAAGATTTAAATTCAGAAGAGCACTCTCGACTCAGATTAGACGCCGAACTTTGCGTCAATGCCACACAAGGAAGAGGTGACGACGCTTTTGAGCTTGCCAAACTTCTTCGAGAGCTCGACACCGACTCCTCTTCTGGTTATCTACAGATGGGCGTGTATCACTCTTCTCAGCCGACATCTGCGCCTCAGAATGTATCAGGACCTCTGAAATCGCTAGAACCTCCACCTTCGCCATTACCTCCGAAGACACAATATACTTCTGTGCCACCGGCTGTGGCTCACAAACCGAGTCCGTATCAGTGGCAATCTGTCAAACGGCAGAAGGGGCCAGAACGTATTCCACAGTCACTACCCATGCACATCCCAGCTTATACGAGGGATGTCAATGGGATGAAGATCAAGGGAAGTGGCAATGGAATTGGCAAATGTGGCAAAGGCGACGTGGGGGAAATCGATGAATATAGAAAGCGGATGAACGAGAGCATGAAGAAGAGGGACGAGATGCTCAAGGAAGCAGCGTTAATGTGGCAGCGCGGAACTAGCAAAAGTAGAGGCGGGGAGGTGGCTATGTATTATGCTGAAAGGGTGTGTCAATCCATTACCTCTGCGAACTGGTGTGAATGCTTCCTTAGGCACGCGAACTCCAGGAAATGGCTAAGAAAGACGCGCTGCATGTTGCCTACATGATGGTGGATGCCAAAAGGTAGGGTTATCGCCTTGAAGCAGAAACTTCATTAATTCACCATCTGCGCAGAGAAGCATCAAATGATGCCAATACTTTGGATCTACACGGAACAACCGCTGCCGAAGCTATCTATGTTGTGAAAGAGACATTGAAGACGATCGATGTGTCCGGTAAGTTTGCGCATCACCTCCGCAGGTCATAGTTTGATGTTGCTCTGTCCCAGCCAAGCCTTTGAAAGTCATCACGGGGCGTGGTAGTCACTCCGTCAATCAAGTCAGTGTGCTAAAGCCTGCTATTCGAATGGGACTCGTAGAAGATGGATGGATGGTCAGCTCCTGGGATGCCGGACTAATCATTCGAGGAAGACGCGCTGGAGCATCATGACAAACAGAGCGTCTATGCTCTCCTCCGAGTCCCCATTCAACGGCGCTCCATCTGTTCTCTTGCTCGCTGATACTGGTGGTAATATGATGTTTCATGGTCTTTCCTGTCCTTACCCGATTTATATTTTGTTTTCAGACTTGAAATATTGCTAGGTTCTATATTCTCGTGTTTGTATCTACTACCTGTATCGTCAGAGTATTTTTATGCCTGTAGCTATCGCCGCTGCCGTATCCTTTAGGTTAGAATAATCTCATCCCGCTATTTACCAACCTCGCCTTCCATATGTAAGCATGATGTCCTATTCATTGACCTCGGTCCGCGTTGTTCCTTCAAGCCTCTATACGACTCCCCCTAGCTTTCTAACATTATGGTCCATCATCAAAGTTCGTTTTCTATATGGGTGGAGTGACTAATAACCCAAGCCCAGAACGGTAGACTGTAATGGCATGTCGTATGTACTAGATACTTATTGCTTGACACTAGGTCGGAACTGTCTGTAAATCATATCTTCACTCGGATGTTATAGCAGTCCCCATCGCGAAAGGAGATACACTGACCGCTTAACAGTGTTGAGTCGATTTCAAGTCCTAGAATCTCGGACGCTTGAACAGGTGGCTGTGACTGGATAATGCGGAGAGGTGACGTATTGCACACATATTCCTGCATCAACGACCATCTTTGATACGCTTCTCGTAACCTATACGACGCGCCTGTGACCTAGGAGACAATCAGCCAAAACTTATTACGAGAGGGGGAAAGCACAACCTAAAAGTAAAAAAAGGACATGAAGGCAAGCGGCATTCCGAGGTGAGACTCGAGTATTGCGTATCGCTGACGCCGTTGATTTCGGTTAAAGGATTTGTGGAGAAGCCCGTTAAATCCACTTCTCAAAAGAAGAGAAGATATTGTTAGGAAAGACGCTAAGTACGCTAGCCGTCCCTCACTTGAGAAAAGTACGCGGGCTAGAGCCACAGTGCAACGTGTCATGTTATTGTATGCAAACACGAAATTGGGGTCTAATTTGACGGCCGCATTATGCTTAGAAACTATACTTAGCTGACGTGGAAACATTGAAGGACCAAGTCCTTCAAGGGAGCTTAAATCAAAATTGGGCAATACGCTTGCAATGTGCAAGTCAACGTGCGTCGCGTCATAGGGGTACACCTCGATTTGGCTCTAATGCCAACGGAATATGTATACATCATTCGAGAAATCAAAGCTTTAACTCCTTGGTTTCTCGGGCGGTAAAGACTTCCCACTCCAGTGGTAAGTACGTACTTTAGTAGTCAGACATGATGTCAGACATGATGTTGCAGAATAGCGGATCTGCCGCTTGACAGTGAGTGGACAGCGCCTCAAGTTAGTGGTCGAAAGATTGGCATGCGCACACTTGAGGTCTGGGCCTCAGCGCCAGCGCTCTGCCGATCCTTGAAGCCCTGACTGAGACATAGGCCGTCCACAGTATTTTTTATTACTCATTATATTTCTCGGCTGTAGTGAGAGTTGAGAGCATACATCTAACATGTAAGACGTAGGATCCCGTCTTGTCCAGTGGACCGCGGTGCATATATCATGAGTTTCTGCAAGAATTGTATCTCAAGTCTGCCCTGTGTTGGGGCTACATGTCTGACGATGCTGACTGGTACGCTTTTAGGTGCCACTCACGACGGTATTCCGACAGGTAGTCCCACTTTTGTGCTAGAATAAGGACATAATTGCGAGCATCTTCCCTACTAGTAAACTCGAAAAGATTGGAGGATGGGCGGATGGAGGGATCAGGTTTTGGAAAACGTTACCGGACTCGAGGGGAATGGTCCAATCAAGACGTATATCCATAAGCTGTGTGAGCTTCTTCCCGGGGCCGGAGTCTGCTTTCCGGTGGTGTTTTATGATTGGAATAATATACAGTCCATCGAGGGATGGAGGAGAATAAGAATATGTAAGGGCTCTGTGTTAGTGATGGGTATCAGTAAACTGACCATGCTTCGATAGAGGAAAGATCATAGCTGAAATTGCGTAATGTCTTGTTTTGTTTTAGATCCCGAATGAATATTTTACATCAGAGAAAAGGAGTCTTGAGGTAGACGCGAATCTCTCTGTTCCAATTCGTTCTAAACTGCGATGAAGATATAGCACTATTTGGTCAGTTCGCCCTTGCTCATCGTTAAGTAAGTATCTTCTACAAAATCTCCGTCTCCTAACTCGGACTTCCAATCTTAACATTCCTGGCCACAAGTAACGTGAGATTCCCGCTGACCTCGCAAAGTACGAGCGGCTTGCTCCTGCTGTTGTTTTCCGCTGCCACTGACAGCATTTGTACGTTTTTAGTCATCCTTGTTATGGAATCTGTAATTGCAACTTCACAAGATGTACCCGATAGAACGCAAGTCATGGTTAAACCGACAGAAGACCAGAACAGCGACGAAGTCATACATGGTCTTGACGGATTAGAGGATGTATACAGGTACGAATTCCGTCAGATGGACTCAGCTGTAAGGCCTAGCGGGCACCATTAACCTGACCATATTTTGTTTTCTTTTCAAATTATGCCGAACCTCCCAAATCCGAATGAAATATTCTTATACCGAGGAAAAAGATCTTTGACTCGGCGCAGGGCAGACACGAATCTGAACTAGCCTCGAGCCACTCCCGAGCTCGATTGATGACAATCGATCGAATGGCAGTAGGACTGGTTCGAGTCCAAGTCTGAACAGTAAGTCATATTATTGGACTCCTGAATGTGGATTACACGAGGTCGGTACGCCAACTGCCAGTTACGAATTCCTTGCTCTTGCAAAGATTATATACCGATATCAATGAACTGGTTCATGGCTAACTCGGGATTTCATTCGAAGCCACGCCGCGACCGTAGAAGACCTGCCTCCACTGGTACGTCTAGACTAAACAAGCATACTGCGGAAAATACTCGGACTTGTACCCTGAAGCTGAGCCTTCAGGCCTTCAGGCTCATCAATATCGATCGCAAGACTAAGAAACCCACGTGCAGTGATCTTCAATGGAAATAGCGCGTACCTATCAACCGCCCTCCTCCTTCGACGATGTTATTCTTAACTTAGTGAAATTTGCTCGTCACTACTTGTGAGGAGGACTGACCCAGAACCACGGCAACAACATCCCGATCAGGGACGGGCAATCTTTGCTGTCATTGAGCGACTCGGACAGACTCAGGGTGTATGACCTCGTCCATACCATGTCTATCGGCGTAACCATGCCTACCTGTAGCATCTATGTTTGACACAAGGTGGCCTTGGAGCCCCAAAGCTAGAGAAATTTCTAATAATATACCTCATAGAGGCACTTTCCCCCCATTAAACATATGTTCCTCCTCCTCCCTACATCCTATGATAAGTGGATTATGATGTGAGCCCGTGGCCCGGGGATAGCAGAATTTATGGGGTTGTTTGTTGTAAGTGGGTTTCATGTCAGTATTTCTCATGCCGGTGGATGACGCCTCGAGGTTGTGAGAGGAAGAGCAATGGTTTTGTCATCTCTTGCTCACGTACACTGTTCTAAGACACCGTTCGTATCTCGCTCAATCTCAGAACGTTGTGGAGGTAGAAGCTCATAAGGTCACCGTGTTCGTCTATTCCTTGTCTGAGCTGGATTAATAAACCTTCGGATACTCGTAGCTTGGGCTAAGAATGTTCACTTGTGGTGGCCGGCCCGGTTTACCGAAACCCGTACATTTCTTTCCTCCGTTTATATCCTGCTGCATCTCAGTTCCACTGGCCTCCGAGCCCGATCATGATGTAAGACTTGTTTGCCGGCGGGTAACGTAAAATGAATTGCATAGCAAGTACTTGCGCCCCTTCCGCGTCAAACCGTGAGACTCTGGGGACTTGTGCTCAACGAGTACTCTGTAGGCTCTAGATATCTATCAACTCAATGGCTGGGTATTATCCCACACCTCGGTGAAACAAAAATATAGTCGTGAGATTTTCCAACCGACCGACAAGCCTAGCCATTCTACAATGTATTGCGATCGTAAATGCCCCGCGGCGGGGAAGTCACTAATCCCCTCCCAGGCCTGCAAAAGTTGAGATTCATATGCATTTATATCCCCATGCATGTATCTGGAACTTAAAGGCTCCAGACCTTCACGCTAGGATAATCATCGGCCATGAGATATCTTCATTTTCCCAACAATCACCCTAATTACTGTAAATCATTCGGAAAAATAATAACAAAACCCCCGGGTCTGACTCCGGGCCTAAAAAATCCGATTTTTCACGATACGTGTGACACCTGACAATCTTGCTTGACTAGATGATCCAGTAAGAAAAAAACTAAGAAAAAAGAATGGAGACTCAATGGGTCAAATGTACGCCACGTTACGACCACGTGGGAAGTTTGACGATGACGAATTCGCCCACTCTTTTCGTTTGTGATCGGGACCGACCACTCAAAACTTTAAACTTGAGGAGAAAGAATACAGGGTACGGGAGATATACCGCTAAATCCCGGATCTCCTGGCTGCCCTTGTTACTGCGCCACGGCCACGAAAATATCTTGGCGTCTCTATAGTCACCTCGAAAAGTTCTCTGTGGTATGCATATTTTTTTTTCGTTCTCTTCCATGAGGTCCAATGACAAGCGGTTACGTTACTTGCAGTGCCTTCCCATCAGTACAGGTTCTGTCAAAAAAAACTTTGTGGGTTCCGCGGTTTTTTGTTACACCCGTGCCGCTCCCTGTTAATACGGCTTCTCAGGAATTAGGTTCTACAGCGCGACTTGGTATAGTTCAAATTCTGAGTCACCATCGTTCTTTTCCATCAGGTCGTCGCCATTCCTGGCTATTTCCTTGAGCATTGCAACAGCCACAACCTCCTTCCTCGTTACGTCGCCATGTCACATCTACCACGAACTTGAATTGACGTAGAGCGAGCAATTTGTTCGTTTACGTGATCTGTCTTTCAACCGACGGTTCTTTTCTATTTCGTTTTCTTCCATCACCACTGTGAACCTTTGTTGCTTCCGCACTTTAACCTCTCAGCAACCTACAACTATTACTTCCCATCAGATTTCGGAGCGCAGCTAGGTGATCCTCATGCGCGTTAGGTTCTGGATTGCATGTGGGTGCATATCGTCTCCATTCAATACCCCCTCCCCCGGACCGTGGATTTTGCGAGGCCGTTCGTTCTTCGCTTTACCTGGACCACCAAAACACAACCCGTGATCGCGCCAGTACGCCAGAAGCAACAAGTATCTCCCGCCGGGACTTTTCTGGTGCCTATACGTGTGACGAGAAGGTTACATCGGTTGTCTTTATCTGTTATCCACGGACCAAGGATCACTCCTCCTTCCCTCAAATTCTTGTCTAGACCTCTTCATTATATGGACCATGATTGTTCGATATTAGCTTGGGGAAATTTTGTCGCAACGAACGAACCAAGGCCGAACAAATCCCACCGCCTCAGAACTAAAAAATCCCCAGAGTCCATTCTTCATTTCCCCATCCTTACCTCAAGTGGACGCGCTTGGACGGGAATTGATCCCAGGAACCGCTTCCGCCGCGAGATACGCAGGCTGTGTTTCCAGGAACATGCATGCAAGCGGGTTTGTTGACCGCACCCCCTCACGACCAAACAACTCTTCTCTCTCCCTCTTCTTCCGAAAATTCCGGATGCAGACGCCTATAGTCCAGCTTGAAGTGGCACATTGTTCGGCATCACATTGTTCGGCATCTTATCTTAGCAGGAAGTGCAGGGGGGGAAGTCAAAGAAGCCACTCAGTAATGTTGATAAACGGAGATCAAGTCTCAACATCTATGACGAAGTCCTTCTCCAGGAACTTTTGGATGCATATGACGTGCAATGTGGATCGGCAGGTTTAAGACTCCAGGTTCCATGCATATGCGCGATTGGGCGGGGATCACATATCGGGGGGGGTGAGTGGGCTCGCCGGGCGTTTCCAGGAACCTGGCTTGGTTTTTTTCGGATGCTGCGGCATTTCCGTTCCTTGTTGCAATCTCTCTCACGGCTCCGATGCGTGGGGGGAGGGCGGGGGTCACTCGACGATTGTTTCAACTTGGAACCCTCCCCCCCCTCACTACCCGTTACGATCGGCGCCATCAAACTACATTACACAAGAGCTAAACGCGTCAAACCGTCTTTATGTACGGTCGTGCTGCTAGCCATGAGTAGTGGCGCTTTCGAATCCTAACAGGAGGGTCTCGATCATGTCATTTGGGGGGGACATTCGTACCTCATACTTCTATTCTCAGCAGAACGAAACTCTACGAGTGTAACTTTTTGGCTCCGATGTGAGGCTTTGGAAGGAAAGGCCCCTACTCATGGCTCGGTGCCGATGGCCAAGTGCTTCTACACTCCTTCTCCCGCCTCTCCCGACGACTATCGACTCGGAACTCGGATTCCATCGAACCCTCAGATTTTTCGTTGCAGCCGATGGGAAAGGGACGTAAGCGCGCCGGCCTCCGTAGAGGTGGCAGGGGGGAGGGAAGGAAGTGGTGCTCACTCTCTACTAGTATCGTCCATGAACGGATGATGGGGACTCAGTTATTGCTGAATGGGCCTACGGAGACTTCCGGAATCCCGCTAGGGTCAAACTATCGAGGAGGATCGGCATCCTTTATACAGCAGCCTTAACAAGAGCCTGGACCGCCCTCCCTCCCGATGAAATGAGAGTTAATTAAATCCTTCCCATATCCTTTCCAGTCCTCACGACTCGCTAGGTATCGTTTCCGGGTTTGTCAAGCAACAATCATTCATATAACATGCCTACCTTGGACAGCAGTGGCTAACGGCTCAAAATTGGGGGGTGTTTTAAGGATGAATCTCAGAAGGGTCTATTTCCGAGTGTTCACGCACAGGACCGAGTTGGGAGGATACACGCTAATCCCTTTATGGTCACCTTACCGCGAATCTATCTCGTAACCGATTGTCGGTGTTTTCCTTGTTGGGAGGCAAGTGGAAGGGGAGACTTGCTATCCTCGTACGCGTGTTTCCGGTACATCCCTGCCATCGGGTGTATTTCAGTGAGGCAGGCGTGGGCGGATTCCGTACATTGCCTCTTTCAGTCGGTTTCATTGTCATATTCGCGTCGGGTCGGACTCAAGACACCTACTCTTCATTGCTCATGTACTAATAGTTGCCTATCTAATCCGGCCAACTAAGAGGTCTCCGTTTCAAAGTATGGGTCTGTCACATACAATCATGTGAGGCACGATCAATGCCACGACTTTGATATCCTTATCCTTCACCTCGCTCTGCTCAACGTGCGTGCGTTACGCCGTGGTCGACCATCAACGTTCTCCTCCCTGCATATGCATCTGGACCAGCGTACTAGGCACTGTAGATATACCAATCATATAATCTCCCTTCTGGGAAGTCCGACACTTTTAACATAGAACGACCAAAGACCATGTAACTAATAGCTTGTTCGTTGAATTGAGTTTTAGCAGCCTGAGTGTAACTTGCATATAGTTTAAGGGAGACCGGTCCGAGTAATACATGCATGAATCAATAGTTCAGGGAAGCAGGCGTTCATTGGCAATCTCCTCCGATAGCTGTGCTACAAATCATGACACTGATAGATACCCTACCATGCTTTCAAAAGTTCCCGTCTTTTTGCAATTTTACGAGCCAAAACTCAACGCACACTTGGTGCTAGGTAAGACTGATTATCAAGGGAAGGCAATTCATCATCAAGTCGGATGAAATTGGCAGAGAAGGTAAGTGAGAACCCGTAAATGGCTACTTTTCAAACGTCTGCCCAAGTTCTCACAGACACGCGACCTTGGGTTGTTATTGTGCATTCGAAATTTACTGCATACCTCCAGGAACTGATATGATTATTATGAATCCATGTGCTCGCCTTTCAAGTTGTAACTGGCGGCATGCACCTTCGCAGTCCCGGCTGTCTACCAACGAATGCACGGTCAACGTTAACTCTACGTCCCTCCGAAGTCAAAACTCTGATAACAAGTTGGAAGCCCACATCGGCAGTCGAGGTCCGAAGAGATGTGATTGTTTCCTAATCTCCGGCTTTCAATGGGGCGGATCATTGTCTTTCTCTCCGACGGTCTGATTATTATAAGAGAGAGCAAGGACCTGCCGTTACTGTCATGCAATGTATTTGACACAACTCGGAGTGGGAAAGAAAAAAAAAATCAGTTCCAGAACTGCCCCTTCTAGCTTAGCTCGAATTGTTAGACGTGGGTGTGCTTTGAGTGAGGGACGAGGGAGTCCCAGAAAAACAGCTCTGTCGAAGCCGTGAAATGACTAGAAGCCACACGACTCGGCAGGCTATTGGTCTGACCTTGCCGCGAAGGAGCGATCGTAACAATTCAACAATTCCACTGTTCCTCGACCTTGCTTCCCCTCCACTCTATTGGAACCTCCCCGAGACAGACGGATATGTTACGTTGCTACATATCTTTACGTACATTTTTTCAGACGACCCAAACCGCCACTGACGCCGAGATTCCACTCAGCACGATCGAGAGCGCGTTTTTACCCCCGTTGTTAATAGCAATTTCAATACTATATCCTTAACGCGCAAGAGTACGCAGTTCCGATGTTGGTACCTGCAGGGGACGCTTTGTTGAACCGAGATCCTATTTGTTCAAAGGGAGGAGGTGACGGGGGTCGACTAGCATCATACACCACCTCCATTGGAAAGATATCAACTAGATCACGAACATCATCATTCCATCATCAAAACCTTCTGCCTATTCAGGACTACCTTGCATTCACATTGAGATGGTAAGGAAATATGTTGGTCGCAGACTGTATACACATAGACTATCAAGAAAAAGAAGGTAAAACAGGTCGGACGAAAATCGGAGATTACAAGACGAAAGAGGCCGATGGGTGGTGGGGACGGCAACACAAGGTCTGGGCTAGTTCACATCTGCCTCTGCCTCAGTCCATTTGAGATGCTGCTCATAGAAATCCAGGAGCTTAGTATAGATTGTGTCAGCTACATTAAGACTTTGGACCAGAACGGTAAGCGCATACCTTCTGAGGAAATTTCTCTCGGCAAACTGTGGACTGAGCTCTCACGCGGTCTCCATTAGATCGCCTGTACATATTCATCAATGAACAATAACTTTAGAGAAAGCAAGAAGAAACTCACAATGAAAAGTAAACCCATAACAGCTTATCAGCCTGATCCTGCTCGACGGTCGTAACTGTGCCTATAAGATGCTCCCAGCTATCCAGGGATTCATACTGGGACATATCACCAATGGGCGATCCGTCTTCCATGATGATATCCTCGGAATCGGGAGGAGCCTGAGACTGCTTTTTTGTGGTACCAGACTTGCGCGACTTCTTGGCCGTCCTCGCATTATCATCTTCGTCAATCGCGTCGCGTTCAGACTGAGATTTCCTGCCGCGTTTCTTCGGCGGCGCAGAGGCGCTCTCCTCCTCGAGGCCCTCAGTCGCATTCCGAGGCTTACGTCCAGAGGTCTTGGACGACGCGCTCTTTTTCTCGTTCTTCTTCCAGAAGGCGTCGATTAAGTCTTGTGCATTGCTGTGTAAAAGAATTAGAAATAGGGCATGAGGCAAAAGCCAGAACACGAACGCGGCATCAGTTTCGTCAACCCACGAGTTGTGCTCGTCAGCATATCCTCTCCATTTGACCAAATAGCCCATCCGTCCCTTGAGTTTTGGATAAGTACGATGTATAATATATTATTATATTGCGATACTTACGTCTGGAAACACTCCGCGCTTCGCCTGAACGATTTTTTCAATCTCATATTCTTCTTCTTCCTCGTCCTCCCCTTCGTCCTCCTCTTCGGGTTCATCTTTTCTTTTCTTAGACGATGCGGCATGCCCATCGTCTTGGCTGTCGGAAGCAGAGGCAGAGGCAGCTCTAGCGGCCATGGTGCGAAAGGCCCTTGTTTAATAACGTGAGGTTGGTTGAAGAGATACCGTGGGAAATAACAACGGCCGGCATGGCCAACCTGAGCGAATAACTTTAGCGTTGCTGCTTTGCTAGTCCACTGTAGGGGGCTATGAACAAAAAGCACTCCGATAGCAGCTCAGCAACAGGCAATATATTGATGTACAAGGCGGAGAAATAAAAAATACTACAAAAATACGTGATCATCGCCTTCTGTTTGGACTTGCGCTGCGTCCACGAGGACCTCTGCCTTTTTTTGGACCGGAGGGGGGAGGTCGAACGAATGCAAAGTCGCAATGTATTGTCTGTTCCAGCAGTGTGGTACCAGATGCACCATCGATAGCCGCCTGCGCTTCAGCCATCGTCTCATATTCCACCAATGCATATCCCTGCAGAAACAATAATTATCATCTAAAGCACACCACAAAAACCGGTTATCTCACCTTGACATATCCCGTCCGCCTATCTAAGTTGAGGTGCAGGTTTTTGATCTCTCCGAACTCTGCGAACTTGTCGGTAACATCCTCTTCCGTCGCTTCCTCATGTACGTTTGTCACCAGAACAATCCAGCCTTCAACCGCTATATAATTGTGTCCGAAAAGAGAATGGAAGGAAGGCAATTCATCAACACGTTTCGAAGATATAGCACCAAGTGATAACTCACAGCGCGCGGCCCTTGTATCGGAATCTTTGGATTCGACTCGGTCATATGTGGGTTCAGCAGTCACCGTGCCCTCGTTGCTGCCTGAAAGCGAAGAGGTAAAAGGGAAACGAACAATGAGTAAAATAATGCAATCGGTAGTATTCAAACCACACACCTGTGTTTTGGAAGCCACGACCTCTCCTCCTAACGGCTCCTCCTGCAGCAACTGAAAAAGTGAAGTGTGTAGGCTGTCACATCGACTAACAAAAATGATAGAAGGGGCGTACCCTCGTCAATATTCATTTCATCGTCGGACATGGTGGTGCAAAAGACGCGGTGAACTGTCACACTAGTCACATCGGAGCAGGGCTGTCGGCATAGTTCGGCATGCCGGGACCGGACGGCGACTAGTTTCGGGGTCTTGGTTATGTCAGTTAGTCCACGTTGCTCTTGCTCAAAATGGGTACAGATTCCGAGATCTAGACAAATTCAGTCTGATAGAACCAGTTCGCAGTGATCTTTCCAGCTGCTTGAATTGCACGGGGATCTCAAAGCTTGAAAGCTTGTTCCCTTTCTCTTCCCTGTACTCTTGCCCTATATCTAAAACTGTTTCGTTCGTCACAGCCCCAACATTTCCACTGTCGAATAGCTGGACCAGTAGCAAAGGATAGGATGGCTGACATCTGGGATTCCTCCACGTCGGCTGCATCCAGATTATGGTCCATTACAAACTGATGCAGGGCAGCAGTTCGTTCATTTTTGATCTGAATCGTGGACGGCCAGTAAGCGTTCCTCCGTTATATGACGTGCCTGACCAGTTTTATTTGGGAATCATCGCCTCTTTGATCAAGATTTGGCAGCAAAAGGGTGTGACCGAAAACATCCTGTAGTCTTTTCTTCAAATTCTTGTCACAAGGTTTTTATCAATCCCTTTAAGCGGACATACCCGCGACGAAACTGTTTAAATACTCCTCCTCTACAACTGTCCGTCCATCGTCCTCTCCCTTCGTATTCCGCTGCATTTCGATTCTAATTCCCATGCACGCTGTACCCCTCATCAACCACCCCTGCACCCTATGCTGCCGGCCCACTTCTATGTGGTGCAGCCGTTGCCAAAGTGCCTGGTATTGCACACCTGAACATCTCAGTAGTGTGCGCCCATCCGTCCAACCTATGCTTCGTCTATCCTTACGCGTCTTGACAGGACTGGCCCCGACATCGGAAAGAATGTATGCCGGCCCAGAATGCATCCGGCGGTTACAGCTTGAATATGATCGCGACACCACCACCAGCAGAGCCACAGTATATAACTGTCTCTGCGATTCTATTTGACCCGGTGGAGGGTGAGCCCTGCCTTCTATTAATATGTGTATGATGCCCGACTAATCAGCCTTCAAAGAGCGTCCGCGAATAATCTCTGTGACTTGCCGGCCGTCACATAAACCGACGGAAGGCATCTGTCCAGTGCCCATGGTCCACAATCACTTCCCTGATGGCCTCTCAGAAGGCATCGTTCTTACCCAGGGTCTAAATGGCGAACCGCTGCGATTCCCATTGCACCTCTGGTATTCTCCTACTGCCCTCCAAAAATCATCACCTGTTAATCGTGCCATATATCACATAACTTCTGGGGCTGCTCCCAAGGCGTGGTGTGGTGCAGTCATTGTCTTAAAATTCAACGGATCTCGGAGACAGGGTTATGCTGATGCCGGTTCTAATGACCTTCCAGCGCTGTCGGCCTATTTCCTTGCTTATAAGTAAAAAAGCGTACGTGAGTGCCGTCCACGTCCATCTGTTGGAAGCTATATATTGATTGTGCGTCTAGTGTCACGGTTTGTTTATTCAAGTGGATACCGTGCCATCACCTTCGATGTTCCTTCTTGTATATACTTTTTCTGTAGCATACTTATTGTTATCGATCTTTCCCGCTGTCCTCGCATCACGTTTATCTATCCGCCTGTTTCATAAGTAGAAAATAGACGAAACACTAATGCACATCGTAACCCGTCAGAACGCGTGAACGAGCAACGAGAGCATGCGATCAGGTTTTTATGTGGGAAAGGGGAAAGAAAGTTACAGTTATTGAGTGAGTGGGCACGATACGCGTCTGTGATCGGTGATGCCATTCCCTGGTCGAGAACGGCAGGAAGCATCAGGCTGAGAAGGGAGGTTTAATTGAATACGTAGGGCGAGAAACGAGCTAGGGAGATGCCACGGTTCTAACCGATAGTGCCGTTGTGCCGTCGGCACGTGGTTTTGACTTTTTTACGCCTCTCCTCTCACACCAAAACGCAAGTTTAACATCTCGTCAAGACAACCCCACTAACACAATCCCGCTTATCCTCTGCATCCACGCTGCTCCCTTGTTCTTTCTCCAGGTCTCCCATCACACACCACCTCTTCTCGAAGACAACATGATTTTATTCAATTCCTTTCCCCCGCGACCTGATTTCGTGGGAGGTGGTGGGAGCCGTTCTGATGACACGGATATGGATATAGATCTCGATGGCGACGAGGACTTTGATTCAGGCGGATCAAAGCTGACATGTCCTGGAGAGCCACTAACGTCTGCACAAGACTACATGCGGTGAGGTCCATTCCCACCCGTTCGTGACTTTTGACGTCCAACGTCTACAGCTAGGGGTCATGGGACATACGTGGAGAACGAGGAGGTCATTGCGTCCGTCGCAGGCACTATTGAACGTGTCAACAAATTGGTCACGGTTCGAGCCGTCCGGACAAGGTTTGGCCCTCTCGCTACCTTGAGAGAAAATCTGTACCAGTGTTGATCGTAACTTTTTTGGGAATAGATACAATGCCGAAGTTGGTGATCTTGTCGTGGGGAGAATCACCGAGGTCGGTCTTGACTCTGTTCTATCCATCATTGTTCGGGCGAGAGAATGTTCTATAGGTGCAACCTAGACGCTGGAAGGTGGATGCCAACTCCCGACAGGATGCGGTCCTTATGCTATCATCCGTGAACTTGCCCGGAGGTGTGCAGGTGGGTACATTATCTCCCAGGCAGCGGTGAAAGCCTATCACCTTTCGGTCTTCAGCGGCGTAAGCTGGAAAGCGACGAATTGCAGATGCGCACCTTCTTCGAGGAAGGCGATCTCTTGGTAGCAGAAGTGCAAGCGTTCTTTGGTGATGGTTCCATGTCGCTACACACAAGATCTCTACGGTATGGCAAGGTTACTACTATTTTTCTGATTTTTGTAAAGTTGCTGACAACCACTTTGACGAGATCAGTTACGCAATGGACAGCTTGTGGTCGTACCTCCAATTTTAGTTTGTCGGCTAAAATCCCATTTCATCACCCTGCCGTGCGGCGTAGACCTCATCCTGGGCCTCAACGGATATATCTGGGTAAGTAAACATGTGAAGCAGAGTGATCGTGAGGGAGAAGAAGGATTTGACGCAGAGGCCGTGTATTCGAACCAAAACGATGTGAGCTCATAGCCTTAAACCAAAAAGCACCTGACTTGAAATGGGCCCAGGCTATTGATGACTTTACGCGGATAGCCATCTCCCATGTTACCAACATCATTCGTGCACTGGCAACACGGTTCATTCCCTTGTCTGACACGATTTTGTTGAAGGCGTACGAATGGATTGTGGAGCAGGGGAGCGACGTAAAAGACCTCTTGCAAGAGGACATTGGCGACGCTCTTGTAGCGGGTATAACTGCAATAGGCTAATTCTCCGAAATGTCAATACCACGCGAAACGATGTATATTATAATTCATTCCTCCTCCTCGTCCGTTTCTTCCTCTTCGTTCTCCTCTTCCTCCCCCCCCTCCACTTCCTCTTCATCTTCATCATCTTCCTCCTCGTCTTCCTCATCCTCCTCATCCTCCTCCTCCTCGGGAGGACCAGCCGCAACTATCATCGGAGTTTGTTCATACTGAGGCGGTGGATTGTTAGCTGAGGCCCCGCTTGCCATTTTTCTAGCCTCTGAGGCTTGTTCGGCCTCCTCTTTTGCTTCATCAATGGGCAGCAATTCAGACAGCGCCAGCTCTTTCCATTTTAATGCATCCATTCCCCCGCCGGGGGTGCTCATACCAAGGAGAACGGAGCGTGCCGTAGCATCGTGTATGACTCTTTGCTGTGCCGCAGGATGACTGAGTCTAGTAGGATTTCCGTACGGATAGGACGGATGAGTATGCGACGGGAGCTCTGAGGGCATGCCGGTCAAAAATGTAGCCCGAGAAAAAACTACCAAACAAGGATGTTACTCACTATCATGTTCATCGGGATTCGGAGGAAGCATATGATCAGGAATATCGACTTCTGCATCAAACAGTTAACCGCACAATTCCATACTACGAGTGTAAAAGATAAGTGCGCACCACGACTCTCGAGCTCCAAAAGGTCCGTCGAAATGTACTCCTTCGACTCTATTGTATCAAGGACCCTCAGCTCATATTCAGTCATGTGCAGATAACAAAAAGTCAGGTCCTGGCGCAGAAACCATGATCAGTTTCAGGTTCATTAAAAGGTAGTATATTGGGTCCTGACTGTCATCACGCCCTCAAGTACGTGTAATCATGAACCAAAGAGGGCCGTGTGCCTTTCTACGCGTGATACGCGCTCGGACGGCAAATTTCGAGGGTGCTTTCGTCTTCAAGATTGTTGGAGTCAGTGGCGATGGGAGGTTCAAGCTCCGTCAGCGGAGTCTGAATTAAAATAGACGTCAAAACTATTTTCGTCGATCCCTTTCGTGCAAATAAACGGACGAGAAATTGGATTTTGCAGCTGCATGAAGGGACAAAGGTACCTCCGATACTCCAATTACGAACGCACCACTCACTCCCTATTTCTCCAGCTGAGGGTTCGGGGAAGTCTTCGGAAATTACGAAAAAAGATCGGCCTCCGTTTTGATTCCGTAAATCTGATATCTCATCTCGAGCGGGATGGCCGACCCGGTGCTCCTCTCGTCTCTCCGCATCCCAGCTGTGAGATCAAGGCCGTCGTCGACATGTCTCCAGTGGTCTGCCGATGGCCAAGTCTTTTTCGTATCAAACTCCGCTGTGTACATCTTAGTTAGTATTCACTGCTTCGCGTTCCTCCGTGGGTTTATCCCCCATTTTTACTTAGACTCCTCATCATGCTGGTATTCACCCTGGATGTAACGTTCGAGGTGACAAGGAAACACCCTGCACCTTGCAGTGGTCTCGTACCATTATAAATCTCGAGAAGAGAGATCTCCGCGACTGGTCCACCGGCTCCCAAGGTCTGCGCTTCATGTCACTGGACAACACCTTCTTGTGAAATAGTAACTGAAAATTCATGGTAGAATGGGCCGCTCTCTCCCTTGGATCTTTCGATTTTCACGTCAAGGATGTTGCATGTTCCCCCAGTTATGTCACAGAAGACGGAGGGTATGCTACTGAATTGGCTCAATTTAATTTTACGTTGACCCCCGCTATTAGGTGTGTGGCCGCTGTGCTTAGCTCCAACATGGATCTGTCTTTATGGTCAGCATCAAAGAATTCTATCCAAGGAGAATGGATCAAGGCCAGCGTCGCGAGATTTCACCGTCCTCCGATGATTTTGACATGAACCCCAGGTCTTTGACGCTACGCCATTTCTGGTGGATCTGGTTTCCAACGGCGCATCTCCTCCGGTTTTGTCTCAGCTCCTTCAGGCACAAATAACAAGTAAGTAGGTTTCCGGAGATTTTTCAAGGGACTTTGACGAGCCCACCGTACTCGGGATTAGGTATTGCTTGGTCAAGACAAGCGGATTTCGCCATAAGGCCAGCGCCTTGCACAGATGCTTCTCTCCTTGCTGCCGGATCACGCGCTGGCACAGTGTGTTTTTTGAGGTAAAATGCATTCCCGCTGGGGTTATGTCCTTGACATGTTTCGTAGATTTGATGGAAGAGTTGCATCCTTGCACCATATTAGGACCGTCAGAGTGTCCAAAAAATGGGTGACTCATCTCGCTTTCAGCTCGTGGATGCATGAAGGTGATTTCCAATGTAGGTGTTTGACTAGACCGTGAAATAGACACAGAGAGAGAGATCTAACAGCACCAGGCAGCGGCCTACTCGCGTATAGCACATCTGATGGTTCCGTCGGACTTGCCAAAATACACTTGATGGCGCAGAATGCTACGAAAGATTTCGGGACCTTCAATCCCGAATATATTGTGGACACTGCTTTCGAAGTCACCGAAGGAATATTCTCGGCAGATCAAGGCGGTACGACTGCGCTGGAATGGATTACATCCCAAGAGAGAGTTGGTATTTTTCTTGTTGAATGCACAATTTTACGTGGATGTTCATGGCCGATTAGATGATACTTGTCAGGTGTAGACCTGGGGCAATTGACTTATGGCGTAATCAGTCAGTGTGTTCGTGGTCGGGCATACGAACCTTGACGATATGCCCGCATGTCTTGTCTGTTGGTTCCTCGGAGCTTCATCCTGTCACGGGCATCGTGTACGTCCTGCAAGAAGACATTCTCCTGGTCAGTCTCTTCGATGGAACGATGCGAGTAATACACAAGGTTTTTGTCGACCCGCAGTGGAGTTCCGAATCGCCATCGTCTCTCAACAGCCAATGCTTGTCCGAAGCTGTTCGCCGTATATTCGTTGGAACAATGCAGGGAATCGAGCAAGAGGAAGTAACAAACAATGACGTAAACCGGATTAGCGGCTTGATTTCTTTCGACGGCTGCGCGACCTTGCTTTGGACTCAACAGTAAGTCTCGCAAAGCTGGGCTTCATTGGTGACATTTTTCTGATGGGCTAATTTTATCCTAGATCCTTCCGTCCTGCGGATTTGAGTTGGAAGATAGAAGCTCGGCGCGACGCTGTCTTGATTGCCGCTCATCTTTCCAGACATGTGAACTGGACTGGAGATAACTTTTTCCACGAACTTAAAGAAATACTCACCAGTTCACAAAGCGGTGCGTGCTCGCTGTCTGGGAAAACACCGTGCGCTGGGTGACGTTTGGAATTCTATCTAGCTTACGGCGTAACGCCGTCACATCTCCTTCGACCTGTGTTTCTATGGCTGAGTGAACTCCCTGACCTACACGTTGACATCCTCAAATTCTTGCGGTCCCTGCCTGTTTCATGTCCATCTCAGTGCCACTTTCCTCCTTGGTCCGAAGGATTAGGTGAGAAACTGAGAGGCAAGTTCCGAAAGAGCCTTGTGAGAAGCCTTTTTGGATGTGATAAGCTGTTATCGCTTAGGTTGCGCCTCTACGTCACGGAAGCATTGTCGGTCAGCCCATTCATTTACCATGTCTGATTAATCCGTCCGTTCTCACCGTTGCCAGAGATGTATCAGGACCCCTTCCGGAAGGACGGAATGTATCCAAGTTGCAGAATTTATTTGTAAAATGATCTCTCACATGACGACGCGGTGTTTGCTTCGACATCTGCGCACCGTGGTGCCCGTTTTGATTGGTGAGCATGAACACTGATTGTTGTGGAGCCTCGCAGGAATGACGCAAGAACCTTTTAGCCAATGATATGCCTTTTGTACGAAGAGCAATCTACTTATCCTCATTGGCCGATTCTCCTCCTGCCGTCCAAAGCGCTGCGCGCGACCTGATGGATGCGATTAGTGCTCTGCAACCACCTATTGTTAGTCATGCACGTTTGTGTGGAGAGGTCGCGATGACGGAACCATGTCCTGCTTGTGGTGAAGAACTCGACACGACAGCAACAGCACGTCCAGCTTGTCCGAACGGCCATCTATGGGGTAAATTGCTCCGATACGTGCTTTAATATTTTGCGTTGACGATATTTCGCATTCGCTTCACTAGACTGCTGCGCTGTTACATCTTTCATTATGGCAACACCCATGGTTCGATCTTGTACCGGCTGCAAACGCAAGAGCTTCCTCCCTCTTTCTCGCCAAAGTGAACCAGCCATGCCAAACTGGCTACCGCCGATGGCGCAAAGTTGGGTGGTTGAAGAACTTCTCGAGGCCAGCAGTCGATGTTTGTATTGTGGTAATAATTTTGTCTCTATAGTTTGAATCTTCGTCGAGCTGTTGCTTAAGATATTGTATTCTTATTTCTTGCTGATTATCACTCCATGTTGTTCTTTATGTCTAGATGTTGTACCAAGCGATGTAACTCTATGGACCCGAACGGGCGTATATAATATCAGTGATGTTAGTAATAGTTGACATCAATTTAACCCCAATGTACTGGATTGGCATTGAGCATTGGATTGGTTTTCACTGCTACGGTACATGATTATGGCAGTGGCGATGCTGTTTCTATTGTAACTCTCTTACCTTAATCATCCGTGTCAAGGTACGAATGAAACTAGCTCGTAATTTCCACTTTAGGAGACGTGCAAACCATCTATCAGGTCCGAATGGTTTTCCGATGGGTATCATTCAGTTATGACCGTTCTGAGTATCCTGGAATCGTAAGGACTGCAACCAGGGCGCACATGTAATACAACTTGCATCCGTGGCGTGTAAAAATGATGTGGCATTCGCCAGCGGGTCCTGTTTAGCGGTAGATTGAGAGGAGGCCCAGGCAGCGATTAGGTACCCCCCCAAGTCGGTTTCAGTGCGTAACAAATGGCACAGACCGCTGGAAATATCCGGAGACCATTGGGCATGAGCCGTAAAATTATAATCGGTTCGACTGGTACGCTGAGAAAAGTGAGCTGGATTGTCGAAAGCCTTGACCTGCGATCGACGGCAGTCAATAGCAACATCAAAGTAACATCTATTGCTATTCCGAAAAATGATGGGATTCCTAAAAAGAATTAAAAAGTTTTGGGCCCCGCCAAAAGACCTCCGAGCCCGCACTCAGAAGTCAACAACATCATAGGTTATCTCAGATGGCGTAGGGTGAGATCGTGCGGACGCAGGTCATGCCAAATTTTCTTTTTCTTTTTTGTGAATCTTACCATTTTACAAAAAAGCAATAATTTTCACGTCTTGCGCGCTACAATCACCTGACCCTGCGTTTTCTCGGCAATGCTTTGATTGCCGCTTCCTTTCTCCCGTCCTCTTCCATTCTCGATTTTAGATACTGCCATTGCGAAGCCACAGGTGCCTTAAGAATGTCTCCGTCAGACGAATCTTATGATTCGGATGAAACATTCAAGCCTGCCAAACAACGGCAGCGGGTAAGCAAATTTGCTCAGTGTACTGTGGCCATTTGATTCAAATCATCATGTTCTTCAGACTTCTACTATGGCCAAACGGAGAAAACTTAGCAGAAAACAACATCCATCGGATCCTGAATCAGCAAATGAGCCAAATACGCAATTGGATTCATTTTTCCGCGAAATAGCTTGTAGTGACTCTCCAGGACGCGCGTTTGAAGATGTCTTTGAGGCTTTGGTTCCGGACTATGCAGAAGTAAGAAATAATTTACATAGAAAAGAGGGTGGAAAAGATGAATATGTCTGAATTATATATCGTTGATACCCTCAAACCCTTACTGATTCTGGCTTTTCTAGGGCGTTCAACTCAGAACGCTGACACGTTTTGAATCCTCATGCGTCCTGGATTCATTCTCACAGGGAGACGTTCCTTATGCTACCTATTTTTTGCTCCGAAAGCTCAAACTTGATAGGGTACGACCTAGGCATTATGCATCATTTTGTCTCGACTTTCTTACTGAGACTCGGCACAGGAGCAGCGCAGAGTGAATTTCAGCCCTGCCGATCCACGGTTAATTGAAAGTATAACTGGAGACACACTGCCATCTGTACAAGAACAGCAAGATCTACCAAACTCAAAGGTTCTGGAAGCCTTACAGGACATACAAACGACAGCATACGAAGTCTCGTTTGCGTCTCGCCTGCAAGGAACAATGCCGTCTAGAACACCCGGATTGTTGGCTCTGGACTGGGAGACAGTGACTCCGTGGATGGCGCTTATGAATGATGTTCGGCAACATTATCGCTTGGCACAGTATGTGTCCATTTCTTCTTGCGAACACGTACTGCAATGATATTGTTCTAGCCCGGGGCAAAATCATGTCGCTGAAACATCCGCTCCAATCGAATATTGTTCTCTCCGTGCTTGCCATCTTGGTCAAGTACACGAGCTACTTGCAGGAGCTTTCTGGGAAGGAATCGATGGTCCATTTCCCCATGTTTTTTGTCTTCATGAATCTAGCTGATGAAGCTCTAGTGAGCGATTCTCTTGACTACTGGCCTGAAAGATGCACTGTTGTCGCAACGTATAAACGACTTGTTGTTGGGATAGCTATCATCAGCTCTCCCCGAGAGACGTATATTACTTTTCTCGCGGTCAAACCGGGTTGGGACAATGCACAAATTGCCACGTATGTACCTTTTATCGATTGTATTTTTATCTGGTATCACATTGTTCTAGGTCGATGCTGTACCATCTTATCCAACTAAACCCTCACAAAGACATTACGCTACACGTCTCGGCTAACAATCCTGCCTTGGTATGTTCTTTCCATGTTGTATGTATCTATACTAACGTTGCGAAAGCTGCTGTATAATCGTTTCGGCTTCAAGGCTGAAGGGTTTGTCGTTGGTTTCTACGAGGCCTACCTGGACCCTCAATCGCGTTCTTCAACTAATGCATTCCGATTGCGACTCCGCCATTGATTGTGATGCGACTGATGATCATAGTGTTACGTTAAATCGCCCTAGCTTATCGGGTTTCCTAGTGTCGCATGAACCAGTGTGCGACAATCTGACGCCCAACTCGAGCCCGTATAGTCTGACTCCGTAAAAACACCGTCGAGGACGAGCGCGTGGGTGTGCTCTCTTGCTCTCCTTCGGGTTAGTCCCCTTCGGTCCTCGGACACTACTAAATATTATGTACGGAATGTTCAGCGGCCTCTGAAAATGGCGGCCGCTCAATTGTCGTCTACGGTGCTGTATATGGTGCTCACAATCGTGTCACCCCCCGCAGCGCTTTCGAAACAAGAGTACCCCCGATCGGGTCCCGAATGCTGTTCGCCATGTCTTCGAGCAATTCTGGCTGTCTCAATTCCATCACTGCGCCGTATATCCGACGTCATGCGCCTTGTACTCCACTATGTTTTGATCCTCGATTAATGCTTTTGTCCGTTTGGCTAGTAGCAAGCTGCTCTTCTGATGTAAATATCCAACAATCTGGTTGTAAAGGTACAGGGATCTGAAACAAATTCACGCATCAGCCTTTCACGCCAACCTTCCCACTGCTCGCATCATGCATCTCCAAAGATCACGGCGTTCTGCGAGCAGCGACATTGTTATTAATGATTCCACACATTCCTAAATCTCAAGATCGTCCAGTGTGTATATTATTTGTATCGTATTAATTGCAAACCCCTAACGAACCACTAGATAGGAAAAGAACGTAATTGAGGTGAGAAAATCGTGGAAACTTTATAGGGAAATATACAAAGCTCTTGCAATCATGGACTCAATAAAAAAAATTGTGCCACTGTGCAATACACCTCCATCAAGTCACTGAAGAGACAGTCTTTCCCCCGTCGAAAATGTCCCTAGGGCCGATGACATGCGTGATACTCATCCCGCGTCTCTTCCTCCCCGCAGAGGCACCCTCAGCAGCCCCTGTGGACATCGAAACAACTCGCCTTCTGGCGCTGGGCGTCTCTGGCGTCCCCGCCTCCTGCGGATCCTGATACTTCAATTCCTTCTCCTCCGTGATGCGATTCATAGACTCGATGGAGCGCGTTCGCTTATTAACCTCGAAGGAGGACACGGCGGCATCATAAACCCAATGTCGCCTTTTGACGCTGCTGTCCTCCGTAATTACCTCACTCGGCTGTCTCCTACCAACACATCGCTTCTTGATGATCCGTAAGTCGTCGGGTGTCTCCCTGTCCTTCTCCTTGCTGTTCTTCAACTTCTCTCTCATGATAACCAGATCTTTCGGCCTTCCGATAGCGCCGACCGTATGGCTTCTTGGGCGCGTAGCCGTTGTCGCGACACTCCCCCGGCGAGGCCGACCTACAGTAGAATCATTATCGAATCGTACATGAGGTTCAGGCAACACAATCGCTGGTGCCATCTTCCTCTCCCTTTCCTTCGGTTTCTCCGGAGTCTCCGACAAGGGTTTAAACTCCTTTCGCGATCGCTCAAGAACGTCCTTGACCTTCTTGCCCCAGTCTTCCAACTCGTACAGTTTGTGCAGCATCATCTTGAAGGTGAATTGGTATCGTGCCCCAAGAGGAAACTTGCCTTCGGAGCCACTAGCCACGGTGTTCCTTCGGCTTCGACCTTGGACTTGGGGGTGGGTATTAACAAGAGACGCGAGGTTCCGCATGATAGGCTCGAGATCCTTGGGAATAACGTCAGCCGAGACTTGCGTATCGTCGTCGTCTGTCATGCGGGACCGACGTGTGGCGATCTCCTCGAAGAGAGCAAAGAGGTTGGCGAATTCAGCAGTCTTGCTGTCCATCGTGATGTCGGATCGGTACACAGTGTTGAGGTATAGGAGAAGACCAGAGATGAGGGTGCAGAACAATCTAAGACGACGGTGCGTTCGTTGAACGTTGGGGAGCAGAATCAAAACTTGTCTTTAAATATAAGACAGTTGAGACGACGTGACGAGTGTTCGTAATGTCTGGAATATGGGGGTGGCATTGCTTAATTACGTCTTTAGTGTTCTATGTCATTGTTCTTTTATCACCATAGTAAACGTAAACTGTGACATGCGGGTCAACACCGGCTTCTTCAACAATGTTCGATCTTAGTGAGCTCACCTGAACACAAAAATCTGTATTGTGGAGTAGCAAAGCAATCCGAATATCAATGCATGAAATACTAATCTTCAAGGCAAAGGGGAAAATCAAGCAGAAAGTATAGTAAACGATACAGTGTCCATAGTCGCACAGAGTCAAGATAGCATAAAAAAGAGCGTCTGTAAAGGTTCGGCGCTCAGCACTCACCACGGGACTCGTCGTACCCGTACACGGCCATTCATTCTCAGGATCCAGACCTTTGTCTTGCAGTCGTTTCCAACGATAATATCTGAATTGGTGTCCTCGACTTGGTCCCCTCCTCCTCCATCATTGACATCGTCATCAGCCTTCTCACCATTGCTAGCCCAATCGCCACCACCGTATCCGAAGAATGAGCTCCAACCTATAGTCTGAAGGCCTCGAATTTTTCGTGCTACGATTAGACTGGCTGCCAACTCGTCCATGCGAACGTCTTTTGCGTGGTCAGCACAGATATCGCATTCGCTAGGTGCAGAGATGATGTCGGGGTGTCCAAGGTAATGGGGAGCATGCCGCATGTGAGAGTAGACGAGATCCTCGTGAGAGAGAAACACTCCTAGGTGTAGATCCGTGAGATTCTTCAACGGTTTCAGTGCGTCGGCAAAGGCTGTCTAGATAATGTAAAATGTGAGCATGCCTTGTCCATATATATGTTTCAAGAGCTTACTGCTAAATCATGAACCTCCAGATATCGCTCAGGAACAGGTGAATGCATGGTACACGTGAGACTGTCCTCTAAGCAACACCAGCAGTGAGAAAAATTGAGTCTTTCGGTACAGCTGAGATAGAGGTTGACGATAGAAGGAAAGGATAGAGCGATTCGCTGAAGCATGCGGGTTTCGATACGAGGTAGAGCGGTCAGAGTCAGTGTAGTCAGAGTCATGATGGGGGAGCAGGATGTCAGATTGACGCAGATAAGCTTGAAGCGCTGTTGATAGGTACTAAAGCCTTCGTGATTACAATTGATGGAAAGTTCGTTTAGGTTGGTGAGGTAGCACAGTTGTGAAGCGTGTGGTTGGGCTGATAAGATTCCTGAAGGTGCATGCACGGTCCTAGAGTCAAGGAAACGCATGATCTTAGCCTGCTGCAGTCTTCATATATGGGAAAGCACGTACCGGACCCACGAGAAAGCACCTGCGAAAGGTTCATCCCCGAGTGATAGAAGCAGCTTGAAGGTGTTATCGAGCTGTGACAGAGTATTGAGAGTCAAGCTGCTAAGGTAGCGACGAAAGACTATCTTCCGGAAACAAGACGAAGCGAGGGTGAGAGATCGGATAAAGGCAAATCCAGGATAGTCCAAGTCAGTCGAGGCTATCACAAGAGCAAATTGAACGATTTCGTCCAAGATTTCTGTCGGAAGCTGAGAGCTGGTGAGAGTAACAGAGTTCTCGTATAGCGGCAGCGATAGAGTGCGTGCGTTGCGTCTTCGTCGTTCAGTTATATGAGAGCAACTGCGTCTATATAGGACCATTTGCAACGGGTGGCGAGGGAAGGGAAGGGAATGAACCCACGTTACGCGTCACACATAGAATTCTCACGGCTCCCCGACGTCGCGAGTCGCGAGACGCGACTTTATCACGTGCTGTATCCTCGGCTCAGAAGTGCTCGACAATTGTAATTTGTCGGAGTCGCTTTCAGGCAGATAAACCAGTCTGCTGAGAAACACGAACCAACTAGGTCGTCAGTAATTGATGAAGTTATAATTTGGAAAACGTCAAGCACCATGCGCAGTGCTACACTGCTAGCATCAGTTTCGTAAGGCCTATTTAGTATGTAGAGGATGCTCGTTAGTCTGAGAACTCTTAGTTAACATTGGGACATATATTATTATATGACGTACGGTTAAGTAATACGAAGCACATGCAATTGCGATGTTCGCCAACGGAGGTGCGGCCATCCAGTCGTGTCAACTTCCCTCTTCCTTCCCAGCAGTGCGCGCGAGTACTTTGATGGCAAGGGTCGCTAGATAAATCTTATTCCGAACGGCTAAGTTTTAAGAGGAATGTCCCCTGAAGACATAATGAATTCTTTTCAGTCATTGCGGAAGGGAGTTGCTGAAAACGATCTCGGTCACTCTAAGCGTTTGCATTAAAGTTAGTTTGTATGTCGAAGAAACAAACAGGTCAGACTGGTACAGTAGCTGGTCAAGACCGAGAATTTCCGGGACCAGATGCAGGTCATTGTCTAGTATGATTCCTAAGCTGTTTCCGTTGGCTCGTTGCCACCTAGGAGGTCTGATGTGCCAAAAAAGCAAGACCCGGGTTTAACGACATAAATGTTCAGATTGAAGTGTCGGAGGACGTAGTGGAGTTGAGAAGTTATAGACATTGGAAATATGGACGGTCCCCTTCCTTTGAGTTCAGCAAATAATTATCGATATCCAAGCCAGTGTATACCGGGTCCGAACAAATCATTGATACAGTTTGATGCTGTCGACCACTCAACACGTCAGTCTAGCGTTTAGGAGGACATTTGTTCCCACATACGTAGAAAACTTGGATGTTGACTCTCATCCGCAGCCGGGTCAAGAGATGCGTTCCTCACCCAGTAGGCTGTCTTCTCTGTGAGCGATGCTTATACAGATTCGGTGAGGAACACAGTCAGGTGAGCGAGACAAATCCACGAGTACAAACATGTGAGCACCGAGCACGCCGGACGCCCACGACAACTTGCAAGGGCACTTCATCTGCACGTGGGACGCCATCGGGGGTGATTCTGCTCTCAAGCTCCTTATACACCAGACCAGGACGGATGACCTGCACGGACGAAGACACGTCTTCGAAGGGGGTTGTATTGATTCCGGATCCTGAGTAGAGACACGAGTAGACTTGGTTATATCAGAGAAAACCTTATCAAAGAGATAAAACCCGATCAAGATATGCAGACGTCGACCGTGATGTATAAATCTTGAAGGGTGAGGTGGCCGTATAACGCCAAACCGCAGTGGTGGTTGGACCGTTGCGCAGAGCTGCTGCTGCTGCTGCTGCTCAACGCTTGCGGTGATGGCATGTTTATCATCGGGTTCGGGTCTCGGTCTCATATCGTGATCTGCTGGCGTTTTCCGAGCGACGACGCGGTGTGGCGCGTTGCGGCTATCAGGTTCTTATCTTTTGGACCTGCTGAGCGTTGGCTGAGTAAAATAAACGGTGCAATGCATGCCATGTGCGAAGACATGTCTAGACCCGGTGCGGCCGTAGAGGTGGCGGCAGCCTGATAATTCTAGAGGTTCGGGCTCGTAACGATATTCATATGGAATAGTTCTCACCAGACCTCGACCGCCAGGAGTAGTATGTCAGAACGCGGCGTGATACTTGCGTGATCTCATACGGCTGTGTGCAAAGAGAACTACAGAGATCAAAACAGCTTTAAAAGAAGTTGAAAAGAGAGTTCTTTTGAGCCTGGATATAAACCGAGGATATTGCCTCCAGATCCCGGTGGAATTGAGGAGAGCGAAAAAATCGGCCACCGTCAAGAAAAGGTAACCGGCAGATGCGGCCCGGATCCACCCGATGAAGTTAAAATGCAACAATGTTCAACAGCGACTGCCTTGACCTCGTCCTTGTCCTGACCTCCCTCATTTTCTGCGGATCCCGGAATTCGCCTGAAACCGTGACGCGTGAAGTTGGCAATGGCCTAGCCAGATTCAAATACAAGTTCAGCTTGCTTGTCGACATTACACTGACGCTCTGAAAATCGTTTAAATGAAGCCTAGTTGGACGCGATCATCGTAGTGCGGCCCTACTCCCGTTCCATCTGGTATCAACCTCTGCTTTCAAGACAAATTCGTAGCCCCGTATGACCTGCTTTTCATTGTAGCCGCATTAAAACACCGCTCATACACCGCCCAGTTTTTAGCACACCCATATTTGTCGGCAACGGTGCAGCTATCGGTGTGGCGTTTGAAAGCCAATTATAAGAACCACGCCAAGTTCACGTGTTGAATACACTGTATTTCTTCGAGTTGAACCACATCCAGCAGCTGGCGACGCGCAATATTACAGTACAACATCGAACTAACTCCAGAATATCTTTGTTTTGATCCGAATGTCGACGGCTTACTCCTATCCGATAAGTATGTCATGACCCCACCGCATCCTCCTCTTCTTCTCAAAGCATCAACACAGATCTATCCGAACCCAGCTGGCCCACAATGTCGGTCGACTTGCCGCCGCTACCCCAAGAATTGATTGACAATATCATCGACCATCTCCACAGCGATAACATTTCGCTGCTCAACTGCGCCCTTGTGTGTCGCGCCTGGCTGTCAACGAGTCGCCTGCACTTGTTCGCTAAGATACACCTCCACGTTCCTTTACCCTCTTTCGATACCCCCTCCGCGTCCCGCAAATTCAACCGTCTCCTTAGACTCCTCTATAAATATACAGAGTTGGTACCCCACATCCACGAGCTCCAAGTACATTTCGAGTGTGAAGGTCCCAATCCAGAGTACGGGCTTCTTGCAGCAGGTGCCGAGGACACGCTTCTTCTTCCTTCTCTTCTGACAACATTCACGCATGTTCGCCATTTCGAACTATCATCTAATCTCAGCGCATCATGGCATTCACTCCCGCCGCGTGTCCTCCACGCCATCGACACGGTCGTCCGCCAGCCTTCAATAACCTATGTCCGTCTTTCCTCATGGGTCTTCAATAGCTGGAAGACTATTGCGTCCCTCTTCCAACATAGTCAAAATCTACGAGGACTTGCACTTCGTTCGACGGAGTTAGGCACCGTTAATGAGGAACAGGAACAGGAACTTCGGCCAGGATCCTCGGGGCCTCGTCTCGAGTTCCTTACCCTGGATTATGTAGATTGCCCGGATCTGGGAAGCTGGCTCTCCAATGAGCACCAAAGTATGATGGACTTGACCAACATCCGCGAGTTCCGGTTAGCCCATTCAGACGACAATTGCGTCGATCGGCTGCTCCGTACTTTTGGAGACTCACTTGAACGATTCCATCTCAAACCTGGACGGATAGGTCGTAAGTTGATAAATTTTATCTTCAGATCGATTACTGTCACTTACGATGAATCTCAGTACAGCCAATGACCTTGGAGCGATGTGCACGATTAAAATCCTTGAGACTGACTTTGGACGAGCACCCCGCTTCCCTTGTATGGGTCTCGGGTGTTCTAACTAGTATCCCAGTACCCGGGATTCTCGAGCACGTCGCCATCGAAGTATATATTGATCCCAAGAAGTTGATGGGCTGGAGAGCGATTGATAACATTCTTACCCGGTCGGGGGCGTTCAACTCTCTGAAGGAGGTCGCCATAGGAGTATTCGCCCATCCTGCCAATGCCGAATTCTTGAAAGTTCAGGAGGGTCTCGTGGGTTTGAAGGAGCAAGGACTCTTGCGCGTTTATCAGTTGGCTACGAAGAGCCAAAAACTTTGCTCCGAGCTGACACCGATGATAAGTAGCTTCGAAGAATGTTGAGCCAGTTTTCCTGATTGTCAGTTGATACATATAGTTGATATAGGTGGTATGACATGTCGTGTAGCAAATTTTTGCTATTACATTAGTCCTATTCTCGAAATATGTTGCCTAATGATAGCTTCCCCAACTAGATTTTGTGGTCAGCTGCAGTGGTAGCAACGTAAAAAAAAAAAAATGTGCCGCTCACCATTGACAATAATCCTCTGTGTGGCGGCAATATCCTGAAGATTGAAGGTTAGCACGGAGCCTTATTGGGACCTAACAATGACCAACCAGCATAGACGTAAAATGCTACAGATCATGAGAGTCTGTTAGTTCCATGTGCATCAAGCCAAGAGGGAAGGCGTACGCAATATAGATGACGGTCCGCGATGTCCTTACGACGGTGTACCTGGACGAAATGGGCTCGGAAGTATTCTGATACGTCTTCGTAACGATTGGGTCTGTTCCCATAGCTGACAATGCTGTTTTCAATCATCAGCTGACTGCCCATCATAGACTAACGAAAGAAGTCGTACTATTTCTGAACCTGACTGCCAGTCTCCAGCTTCTTCCTTAACAAGTCAGTCTGTGGGCCCATGAGGATGAATACCCTGCGCTTGTCAAACTGCCGAAAAAAAAAGTGACTGTTACCTTGTTGAGGAGAAGAACAAGATGAGTGTTCCTCAGAAGTTTGTTCGAGCACACGGCAGTGAACAACTTGAGAGAATCATCGATACGGTTAGTACGTGGGTCTTCTTCCAGGTACTGTGATCGGGTCAGTGAAGAAGAAGAACTGAACGATATAGCGTAAGACCCACTTGGTCGAACGCCGATATGGGGGCCAAGAAGATGATGGCAGTTGCTGCAGAGTGACTTGAGCCTATTAAGTCCTCGGCTGCGGGATCCAAAACGCACTGACCGTCTTCAAAATAAGGCACCCATGCGTGTCTCTTCCAGCGCATGATAAGCTTTTTCTTGGACAACGCTTGCGTAACACTCACCTGACCACGCTGGAATTACTCGGCTTCAGAAGATTGGCAGATGGAAAGCAACGACACATATACTCACAGCGCCACCAACATCATACAGCTTCCAATCATACACTGTACCGCCTATGTTGATTGGGAAGGAGTGTTCGATAACACCAAGTGTCTGGACGCGGACGTTGAGAATATCATCTGAAACGCGACGCGGTGAGAACTAGGAAGCGGCTGCTGATCTATGAATCACGAGTTTACCCATTATTGGCATGTAATCAGGTTCTGTGATGCGCATGAGGTTGTCCAAGAAACTGGCAAAGATCAGACAGATACATGATGAGCGTATCATATAGGTAATTTTCTCACAATGACCCCGCTTCGTCGAGTTTGAGGTGACGAAGGGCTAGAAGGCGTTCAACAGCGGGATGGTGCCAAAGGGTGTTTATTTCATTTCGGAGGTTGTGGAGGATTTTTGCCGCCATGTTTGCCGCAACTTGAGTCTTTGAGGGGGTCCGCATGTCGTTAAGAGGCCAATTGCGGCCGGTGGTAACGAGAGCCTGCCACCCGGCACGGACAAAGACCCCCGCACGTCCTCCACCGACAGAGATACCGCCGCTAAGTTCGGACGCTAAGGCATCCTCCATGGCGACAAGTGGAAGCAATTGCGAACGAAGCTGATTTATCTCTTCTTGGGCTCTCTGGGGATCGGGAAGGGGCATGTCGTCAGGACTGTCGATGATAGGTCGCGAGAGGTCATAGTCGAGCTCCTCGAGAATTAACCGTACCGCTTTGACGGTATTGAAGTGTACAATTGGCTTCCAGGATGGTCGTTCGTGCTCGATCGAGGTAGAGGCGTAATAAAGCTGGAACTGCTTCTGGAGGGTGGATTTTCCTGAAACACTGTTATCTAACGGAATTTCAAACAATAAGGAACGGAATCATACCTGACTCAGCCTGTCCGAGCAGCATGACTGCATGCGATTGAACGCATTAGTATATCGAGACATGCCAAATCAACGGTTTCCATACCCTTCACTTCTTTCCGACTGGCATCTCGTCGTCGTTGGGACTCCTTCTACAGAAGAGAGAGGTGTTCTAAGACAGCATAAGAAAAGATGGTGCTGTTGCAACGCACTTTGAGCTCCTCGTCGATACCATTGCTAATTGTCTGTGCTTGGACATCGAAGAACGCACTCTCCGGCTTCAGTATTGGAACGTCATCCCACTCGGCAGGAGTAGGCGGGGCCATTTGTCGAACATGACCCGTGCTCAGACTCAGACTGGCCATGATTTACAGCAGTGAACAACAGATGGTGGGGGTTGCTGACGTAGAGTGGCAAATATAATTCGAGAACATGATAGTTGAATTAAAGGGATTCTGCCGTTTCCAGCGTGGATCCGTGAATCCGTGATGGCAAATGCAGAGCCTTACTACTTCCCTTTTAGCAATCATGATTCCCCCCCTCCGTGCTCTCGTTCGTCACATTGTATTGTGGCGCTTTAACTTGCCATCACATCAAATTTCAATCAAAATGATTCACTGCTGTTACTCACCCTCAATCTGAAACGACTGGTCAGCGCTGGTGTTTATCTAGAGAAGGTGATATGCGCTGAAAGAACAGTTTGCTATTTACAGAATGCGAGGGCCTAAGCCAAGGCAAGGCTGGCCGAAGACACAGAACAATGTCCTCTGACTCTTCTGACTCTGGGCGCCGGGGTCGTGCTAGACAGTTCGTTAGCAAGGTAGAGCAGCATAGCGGCAGAGCCGAACAGCACGCACTCACGCGTAAATGATTGAGTATCGACTACGTACTCTTCCTGCAACGAAGAAGGATATGAGTCTATTTAGCACTTTTAGTTTGACTTGTATTCGCTGTCCTTCATATTGCTATAATATTCTAATGTGTTGGTTAAGCTATGAGCACTGAGTAATCCACACACTGATTCAGCCGCAGCCGAGTGAAAATTGACTTTCAAGGATCAAAACCATTTTCGAACCGAAGGACGGTATTAAGCGAAGAAAAGAAGGGAAGGAGGTCGGGGCAAAAGGGCGACAATAGACGACTCTCGGACCCGGAGTCCCTATATAACACGAATGTCGGTGGTTCACAAAAAAGGTCATCCATTGAAGCAAGGATCGCGGCTCCGCACCCTACCGAAAAAAGTGCCACAAGTAGACTTCGACTTTCCAAAACGGTCATTTGACCGACGTCGATAAAGGGCTGATAAGTTGTATTGAATTTTGCCACACGAAATCTTTGGCAAGTTCTGGTTGCCATGCTTGTATACAACCAGAACCTTCTCCGAGTAGTGGTCATTTTATGTCGAGCGGTGCGTGTGGATCGTAGGAAGCGTGCTACAACTTGGCGACTTTCCGTCTGCACGTTCAGTTCACGTCACAACGCGAACAACCACGATAGTAGGACATCATGTAAAAAGAATATATCAGTACTAATTACTTCAGGATTAGCTAGAAAATCTACAAATGTCTAACGCGAATTCATAAAGGCGTAAAGTCACTGTGTCGTCATGGATATGCCAACAAATCAAAGAGATAGAACCACTAAATCCGCGGCGGTCAGCGTCTCTGCAACGACATCCAACGGCTGCCACTCAAAATGCTCCCTCTGTTCATACAGATACTCTGCCTCTATCTCCAGATCATCCCATTGAAGGTACCTCCTTTGCACTTGACGCTTCGCCCAAGGGTCTCCGTCCGAAACGCGCCTCAACATATTTTTACTGTCAAATCGGACCTCTTTTAACATCCTGCATTCTCTGTTCCATGGCTGCACTAGACCAATCGGGTTCTGCACGATCTCGAGCGCCGGAACGACAGGAGTAGTCCACGTTCGCGAGGAGGCCGTAAGCAGGCGTCGGTTGTACCATTTATACCTCCGGGTATGCGTCTGGGGCCTGCACTGAATTTTATATACGTGGACCGTTGAAAGATTCGCGAATCTGTAGAAGAAATGCGATGCGAGACCCACAAGGGTATTCTGAATAAATTCTTGAGATTTGAAAAGCATGTCAACTTATAGGACTTACCTCGGTGGGTCCTCCACGCTGATATTTGATTCTCAGATCATGAAGGTCGTGGAAGAGATGCTTGATTGCATGCATGATCTCCAGATCCCATATTGTAACAAAGAGATCAAGAGTTTGGAGATCTGGCTTGTCTTTGGCGACCGCGGAGAGAAGAGGAATGAGAGCCGCATTGGAAGACTGTTGGTCGATATCGCAGATGTGGAGATGCTTGATGGGCCTTGAACTATGTAGAAAGGCAATGGTAGCCCATGGATTGCCGCCAAATTCTTCCAGCTTTGGCAATACAGTGCCAGAAACTTTGAAACGCACATCCAACTGGCCTATCACTTTCATCGTCTTGACGTGGTGCCCGCTTTGACGTAAGAAAGTGTGAAGGAAAGAAATATTGGGTGACGCAGCCGGTGGGGAAGACGTGCCGCTTTTGATGCAGAGTTCGACTGTTTCAAGACCTTCGGGCATGTCAAATGGCCCTCCATCGTATCCCAAAGTCTGTTTAGCAAGGAACACGGACGACTCCATATCCCAGTCGATGCGTAAAACGCGGAGGGTCTTTGACGTTGCCAGATGAAGGAAATGGTATCGAGTTCTTTCATGACGGCGGGGCCCAACGGCGACATTGCCCAGAAGGGTGAGGTGGGTCAAAGGTAGCGCAGCAAACTGAGCAAAGTCGACTTCGCCATCTGGCGAAGACATGGATAGAACATCGAATATGTTGTCAACAAGGGATAGGCGAGTCAAATGGGGGAGTCGTAGAATGGTCGAATAGAATGTGTTGGGACTGAGAGAAGAGGCGCATATTTCAACCTTCCGTAGCGACGGATAGCTAATAATACGATTGAGAACGTCGTAAGACACACGCCCGTAGCAGGGTGGTGAGAATGGATCAATCTTGCCACGTTTCAACGCGCAGAGTACGAGCGCCCTTGGCACCTCGAACATGTTATCCTCTCGCCCCTCCCAAAATGAGGCATTCTGTTGGAAATGGCTGAAATCCATGAAGAGTAGGTTACGATAGAGAGCCCTGAGGGCTAAACGGTAGAACTTGTGGCAAGTACAGATTACATTGAAAAGATCACGGGTGTCGAGCTGGTCAAAAATGAGCATCCAATATTCGTTTGATAGTTTCGTAGACATGTAGGCAATCATCTCTGTCTTGGACATAGGCATCCTGGATGCCTTGGTGATGGCCGATAGCATGAATGTAGGGAAAGGCGGGATATAATGGTGGTCGTGGTCGTTCAGTTCATATGAATGAGCGCTGTCAGGCTCGGAACCGACTAAGAAATCATCAAATATGAGTACATGGGCCAACAGCTGGACATGGGCCCGTAACAATAGAACTTACCCCTCGGACCACACCCAGGAGTGGCGGTGGAACAGATAGAGTGGAAGGCAGTGATAACTGCTTTAGACCAAAAATGAGTATCAAACTCCAAATGTGGCCAATTCCCTTTTTTACACAAATAGTTCCAAAAACGTTTACAGTCTGAAAATACTTCTAGACGAAAGATACGAGAACCTTTCAACCTAGGCAAAAAAGGCAGAACCCTTTCCCACCAAAATAAATTTTAGTTCTTTACAGCGTGTCAAAAAGGGTGAAAATATGCGGCCCCCCGTCTTCAAGTTCTCAACGCCAAAAAAGTACAAAGTATTCGAGGATCGGAGACATAGTGAAGTCTCTCATCCGCCACCGCCCTGGTGTTCGTAAACCCTACGTTGATACATATCCCCATATTATAAACACATATCTCTAACTCTATATTCCTTTCCCCATTCACTCTGTATCCTGGGGATGTGCGACCAGCTTTACAGCACTAACCTGATTATTCTTCAGCCTGTCCAATCCAGCTACAACACCCGAGAGACCATGAGGTAAAACCTCTAAGCGATTCGGCTAACGAAGAAAAATTAAGACGTCTAAATCCAAGAGACAAAATCGGCAGCTCACCTTGATAACTCCCTCATCCATGAATTTACCCAAACTTCGGAACATTCGTTTTCCAAAGTCAGACTGTGCAGGTAGATGAACCGTGCCCAGAACTTCCCTGAATAACCTCCCATCATTTTCTGATTTCTGGGGTCTTTGGTCGTTGTTAATGGTCATAACCTGACCTCCTTCTGCCAATATATCGTATCCAGCTTGCTGAGCATCTGGAAAGCCGAGTGCATCAAAGACCACCAGTAACGGATCGGAAGTCAATTTCTTCACAGCCAGTGGAAGTTGGCTCAGAGGTGTCGTTCCTCGATCGATGATGTCCGTTATACCGAGGGTAGCCAAATAGTCGAAATGGCGTGCAGAAGCATACGTTATGATCCTAGAAAACCCGACGAATTTGAGCAATTGGATGGCTACATAGGGCGAAGGAAAGATAATCAATAACGCGAACCAACAATAGTAAAAAATGCCCCACGAACCATACTGTCCAACAGATGTGCTGCCACCAATGATAACGGTAGTTTTCCCCGTGAACTTGGGTTCCCACGAAAAATCAGGATTGAGCCCAAGACCGATCGGCGCCTCAGCAAAAAGCCCCATACACGCCGCCGCAAAAGCCACACATATAGTTGCCGCTTCATCAGTGGACATCTTCTCTGGAATCTACAGCAAATTCAGGACGCAATTGAAGATAAAGCAAAGTAAACACACTTTGGCGACGAAGTCTGCGGCGATCAGAGAGTATTGCTGGAACCCAGCTCCGTCGCTTTCGAAGTACGATCCTTGATAAACACTAGAAGCGATAAGGGAGAGTGACACGAAAGAAAATCATCAGCATACACCCTGTCGCCCTTCGACCATCCAGTAACATCTTCGCCAATGTCTACGACCTCTCCAGCGATATCGGTACCAAGAACAGCTGGATAGTTGTCCACAAATGCGCCGTAGGTCTGTATCTTCCAGTCAACCGGATTCAATCCAGCGGCGAGGACCTTGACGAGGAGCTGACCTCTGCCAGCAGTCGGGATCGGCCGTGTTCCGACCGTAAATCGCGCTTGCCTGGACTGTAGAACAAGGACCTTTTGCTGGGGCATGATTGTAATGAAGAAAAACTGCAGAATGACGCCATTATATGTAGATCCCCTTGTCAACAGGTTCTGATCCGCTAGGTATTAATCAGACATGCGATAATAGGTTTTCGAGGGCCGTGGAAAGACACATCGATGAGCCACCAATGAAAAAACGTGAACTGCACGAGTCGAAGCGCAAGTGATAGCCGGACACAAATTTGGAACTTTGATTTGCCATCTCGGACAACAATCAGAGCTCCGCAACGTCAAGGTGATATTACCGCTTAATTTTTTCATTTCGGTTATTAAATTTTCATCCTACGACAAACAAATTCAACATGCGAAAGAAAGAATACCGTAAGAGTCAATACCGCTCAACGGGACACCGGTTTACGCAGTGACCGGCCAACCCTGCAAAGGCACCCCGTTTGCATCCTCCACTTTTGAAAAGAACCGCACTGGTAGGGATCCCCGCTCATCGCCCTCGGTGAGAACAACCCCGTTATCCGAAAGGAAGAATTTGATATCCGCATCAAGTGCCTTTTGGACGTCGATATATATAATCACTTTGGAGGTCTTGCGCATGCCTGCGATAGGAAAAGTGTTGATTCTCAATCGAGGCAAAGGTCCAAAGTGATAGATAGCATCACTCACCACTGACAGCATCACGGCCTTGGGCGAGATGTATATGGTTACGCTTCATTTTGGACAGGCCTTCGGTGGCTGTGGCGGTGGTTAACTGAAAGGGTTTTGGTGCAAATCAAGCGAAAAGCGCAAACATATGATTTCCCAAGCTCGGATATCCGTTCCATGGATAGCAACCCCGGAGGGTATATCTGACACCGACAATACAGGCTTTAGCTCTAGTTTTACTGTCTAAACACCAAGTAAGTACGTCTGGCAATGCGCAGAGACAATGTACGTACCTTCATGGTATGACCCTGATTCGCCCTGATCCACCAAACGCTTTCATTTGACGTCGGGTCGAGCTCGCAGATCAAGTCAAACCGCTGCTTCGCATCTGCTCTGACAATGCTCTGCAGCATAGGGAGGTCTACGGACTGGGCTTTCAGTCTGGGGATTTCCAGCTACTATCACCGTCACATTACTTGATGGAAAAAAGTGAAAAAAGGAACACGTACAAGATTAGTGACATTTACATAGCCATCTGTCCGCATGGGTACCCCTTCATTCTGTGCTCCGTGGCGCAGAATATACGATAACGTCTTCGAAACCCGCACTTCAAGGGAATCCTGAGGAAGTCCTCGTAATTTGGAAGGGACCGGTGCGCTCCCTTTACGCCTTTGATTGTTCTTCGGAGCTCCAGACTTTTTGTCCTTCTGGGGCGCTTTCGATGGTTGCGATGACGACTGCATTTCCTGATGCTTGACTGAGGTTGATGAGGTGACTGCAAGACGATAACTGAGTGCCAGGGCCAAGTCAGAAAGATCCTTTTTGAGTCACAGTATGGCGGTGCTTGGCAAGAACCCCTCAATGACCGTTGCAGCCATACTTTGAGCACAAGCCAGTGTAGCAAATGCTCCAAATCCTAAAACTGAATCGATAGGAATCATGTTATATAACACCGACACCAGCCTGCTAATCAAGATTCAACAAGCTCGCACTTGAGTGTATGCAATGTTACGTAATTAACGAGCGGTCACGTGGGATATGGAACCGTCTTTTTTCCAATGTCCTACTCGTTCAATCACTCTGTCGTCGTACTCCTGATTGCACATCGTCCGTGTTCTATGGTTACCCCTTTTACGGAGACGCGGCCTCTTTATCATGGAGATTCACTACCGTGGTGTAAACCAAGCTGTCTACAATGACAAAACCTGCCGTCTTGACAAGCGACCACAGGATCCATCGACGGAGCAAGCGTTTGTCGATATGTCCACTCCTTTCGTCAAAGGGGGACAAATACGGGATAGAAGAAAGGCATGCCGTCGCTTGAGTAGTGAAACAGACTCCGACCCTGACTCGCTGGACCCGTTGGATTTCCTCTCTTCGCCCAGTCGAGGGGACGATGGCATCCATTTTACTGCAAAAGATGGCACGAAGCATCAGTGGGACCCAAATTTCCCACCAGACAAAGATAAAGCGCTGAAGGAGCTACGTTTCACCAAGAAGAAGAAGAAGAAGAAGAGTGAAGATGGCCCCTCGACGGAGAACTGTTCGTCCAATGTCGAAGATATCTTTGATCCAGAAATGCCACGGAAAAAGACGTACGACGCAGGTGGAAAATCGAACGCATCGTCTTTCCAGTCTACTCGTACTACCGGTGCTACCTCTGCACGCCGTGTTACATCGCCACCAATCGATATTCCTTCAGGTAGCGACAAAGAGGAAGCTCCCGTGCGTCCTAAACGTCAACCAAAGCCATTTCCCGGTCCCTCAAGATCTCAGAGTCGCGAACCTAACGCGTCGCCCAGATCTTCGCACGAAGACGGTGCTTCGCCTGTCTCTAAACAGAAGGCAAAGAAGAAGAGACCACAGCCTCAGAGCTTTCCTGCAATTTCTCCTCTCCATGCTCGCAAGGAAAGTCTGTCTAGGTCTACATCTGCGACTCCGACGAAGTCGAAGACCGTTCAGCACCAACCGTTTCCAATCATTCTTCCCCTTTCCTCTCCTGTCACTTCAAATAGAGCCTTGATTCTTCCTTCACCATTGAGCACGCCTACCAACAAGAAGCCGATGAAGCTGGGACAAATAACAGTGCTGCATCTGCCGTCCCCCTTGAACTCTCAACAATCAACTATCAACGCCAAGGGAAAAGAAAGGGCTGTCAGTCAGCCGACTAAAGGGAAGAACCAAGGAGAAGATGTTGCTAAGTCGAAGAGCTGGAGGGTCGTTGATTCTGAAGAAGTTTCTGTTGATGAGACGAAGCCCACTCGACGACCGCAACCGTTTCCTGTTACTTTCAGCCCCCAGTTGACACCACGGGCACCCAAGCGCTCTTCCGATGGTCTAGAGAGTGACACTGATAAATCGCGGAAGAAACAAAGAGAGCATATGTATGATTTTCATTTAACTCTGATGCGGAGATACAAATTGACCATAGCAAGCAGCCTAAAAACACTTCCTGACGTTGACTTAGATGACTTAGATGAAGATGACGCCGTGGCTGATAACGCCAGTGAGTTGCTTCGCCAAAATTGCTATCAACCCCGCTTATTCGCGTGCAGTCTTTCTGGATCCTTCTATCGACCCCAGGATGCTCTGTCCTTATTGCGACACGCGTCTTCCTGATCGCCCCACCCCCCTTCTGCGCCGACTTCTCGCCAATATAGCGAAAAAGTCCCGGCCTAGCCCTCGTCCTACGAATCCCTTGGGCCGAAAAGCTCCATTAGAGGTCTTTATCGCCCTATGCCAGCGACACCGCTTTGAAAGCGTCACTTTGCCGGAAGCAGAGCGCAACGGATGGCCCAAGGAAATCGCATGGGCGAAATTAGAGGGCCGAGTACAGAAGATGAAGCGCGAATTGCGTGCACTGATTTCGGATCGAAACGCCCGCAGCAACAGTATTTTTTGGACGGAGATCATGAAGGAAGTCAAGGCGAAAGGTTCGCGCGCCGTCGCCGGGGTGAGAAATCAGTTCGCTACCTTTGAGAAAACTCAGCCCGGATAGTGAGTCTTTTTGCGTTTAATGTGTCTGTTTAACCTAATGTTCCGCGTGGCCTAGTTATGGTGAACAGGGATCTGTTATTATATACCAAACATTGTTCAATCTGTTCCCGCCTGCATCTATTCACCCCGACCAGGTGAAACCTTTGACCCCCAACGAGTTTACGCAAAGAATTCTTGTTCCAGAGGTTGCGACGCGATTAATCCGTCAAGACATGGGAGTTTCACCTTCGAAAGCGGTGAAAATCCTCCGAGAGAGTGCCAGTTACGGCGTGGCTATGTTCCCTGAAGATGGCGGTGGATGGGGAGAGAAAAAGGATGATGACGCTATGGGCGTTGCGGATCTGATGGTTATGGCGCGCGCAAGAAAGAGACGAATTGAGCTGGAGCGGGAAGAAAGGGAGGAGGAAGAAATGCTGAAGAGGATGCAAGAAGCAGAAGCCATGAATGTGGATCTGGCTCCGCCTTCCAGACCGAAAACCAAGCCTATCTGTAAACACAAAGCTCAGGCCTCGACGGACCCTACTAGCGAAAGTGAGGCCGTCTCTGAATCGGAAGAATTGAAGTTCGAGAATTTTGTTTTGGGATCAGACGACCCCGACCCCGAACCGCAACTAAGACCTCCGCCTATGTTTTCGGATACCGACGACGACGGCGGTATTAGACCTTCTGGCGTGGACATCAGTTCCTCACCTCATGTTGACATTGACCTTACGCGAGATTCACGTTCCCGTAGCCTTTCTACTTCGGATGCTGAGAGTACCACGTCCAAGAGCACCACTAGGACGCGTGAATCAAGGGCGTATCGGCGTCTACGCGGCGGCGATCCCCCCTCGGATGCAGAATCGACAGCGTCGAAGCAGCTGGCCAAGTATAAATCCGAGGAACGGGATACTAACGAGGAAGCTCAGCCGCGTCAGGCCCCCGTTAGGGTAGTTGATAATGCTGATACCCCACGCCCTGCTGCTCCCACATTCCCTCTTCTTCTCGCACGTGGACGGCGAGCTGGGAAGTAAGCGACTGTGCTTCTTCATTTTGCCCGTGTCTGACCAGACACCTCATGGACAGCGCTAAGCCCGCGGGAGAAAGTTTTGAATGGCTGCTAGACTGAATCCCCGTGGCTCTAAGTTACTAACTTTGTATATTGCTGTATTGAAGATGCCAATTGCTACGTCGCGCTTTTAGAGTATGGCTACTTGTTTGTTGTGCACCCCGTCTTAACGACGTGTCTTAGAAATCAAATTCGACGGCTCGTTCTGGAATTTCTTTCGTCGTGGGACATGCTACGAGTTGGAAGTGCTTCTCCATCCTGTGGTTTGAATGCAGCCTTTTTCTGAAACCGATGGACAAGAAAGTGACTAGAAATGGTTACTTGACCGACACCACTGAGAGTTTTCCAGTCTTTTCAGCGTCGTTATCACAGTCACTGCTGTTCTCCGACGTGTGGTCCTCCGTCTTGTCTTACGTCCTTTGACACTGTCGTCCCTCGACAGCAACCTTCTTCAGTGTTTAATTCCCATCTTCTCTTACTTAACGAACTTCAAAACTTCTTGATGACGGAATCAAGACTAGATCCTGATATGATCACAGTCCGAGTCCGAGCGAGCGTTGACCTGAAACTTGCACTCTTTCCGATTCTGTTTCAGAACGGATGCCGTCTCGTAGCTAAGGCATGTAGTTGACCTCCGAACACCTTTCTTGATGAATGATACTATCATCTCATCCATCCCACTGATGTCGCAACCATCTATTCCGTACTATTCTTGATCTGCACTTCATCTCAGTAACATTGCTATTTGTCAGGAATGCATGAGATACCTATTATGCCGGCTATTCAGAACCGTGAAACGGTCGGGTTTGAAGGGCAGAGCTTTATCTCCCCTTCCAGTCCACTTTGAGCACTTCAATATCTCCTAGAATACAATCTAGGGGTACGTACACCAGTATTGCCATCGTCGTACTACATTGTAGACACCGAACCCCTCCTGGCAATAGTAAAATCTTGGAGTTTACAACGTGGTGAGGTAATACATTGCAGTGTTCTTCTATCATAACCCGAGGGTATCAATCATAAAGGCGGGAACATAAAACTAGATACATGCCCGAATCCGAGAAACCATCAATATCCCAATCAAATTGTCACAGCTTGACAGGAGTTCTCGTACCTCCAGTCAGCTTTATTGACTCTCCATTAACGTAGCCACACTCCAACACCCATTTCACGGTATGTGCAAACTCTGATGGATGCCCAAATCTTTTGGGAAAAACCACAGCCTTATCCAACAATGCCTGCTTCGTGTTTGAGCAGAAATGGTCGGTCATTGGCGTCGTGAACGATGACGGAGCGATCGTGACTACACGAATCGCATACTTCGCCAATTCACGGGCCATGGGTAGCGTCATCGACCGTATAGCACCTTTCGATCCGGCGTAAGCGACCTGCCCCACAAGTCCTTCATACTAAATCGGCATATTAGCATTTGGTCCATAAATTAAGGGATATACACTGACAGCAACCGTGCTGGATACCATAATGATTACCCCGCGTTCTCCATCCTCTGACAGAGGTACATGCGCCAAGTATTTCATCGCCAACTGGGTAAGATGAAATGTACCTGATAAATTAACCGAGACGGTTGCATCCCATACTTGACTGGCGTTGACGTTATTCATCTATATGGATTTCCGAGGTAAAAATCAACGACGTAATACGTGGCTGCATTAAGCGCTCACTTACTAGTCCTGGAACACCGATGCCTGCGCAATGAATGACACCACCCAACGGCGCTCCTGTCTTTTGCGTCCATGTCCCAATTTGCTCCAGCGCGATAGAAATCTCATCATTCTTAGTGATGTCCGTCCTGAGCGCGAGCAGTTGTGGTGATGAAATGACTTTGGTAATGTCCTTGTCGAGAATGGATACAAAAGCGTTGGAGTGTAAAAGTTCGTTGACTGCAGCGAGACCAAGCCCAGATGCCCTGCAAACGAATCAGAAAAAAACGAGCATAGAAGATGGTAGATACGCCAGAGCTAGCTTACCCTCCGGAGACGATAAAGGTACGATTTTCAATCTTCATCGACGGGTATCGCAGACGCGTCGAAAAGCATGCTCACTGTATATGTAGTATACGCCAGATTAGGAGGATCTTGCAGTGATTCATCATGCTTTCCGTCAGATGTGCTATGATTGGATCGGTATTCCACGGTCAGTGTTGCGATCGGTTCCAAAACTCCTCCGATGATGCAAATTTTCCCAAAGGGACGCATTACTTCCGGATATGGGACGATTTTGGCTATGCAGCAATCATATTACAGCCACGCGTAATAATACAAAATCAGCATTTGAATGCTGCAGGATGCAACTAGTAAGTGAGATAAGAAAGTGTATTTAAAATGGCCTTACCCTTCACAGTTTTCCTGGTAAACGACCTGCACCACTCAATCTGATGGTTTCTCCATTGACATATGCACACTCTAGCACCCATCGGACCGTCTTAGCAAACTCGTCCACGAGCCCAAACCGTCGGGGGAATACCAAGCCGCTATCTTTCAAGTTTTTACGCGTGCGTTCCGGCATGCTTTTGGTCATGCTGCTCTCGAATACACCGGGCGCGATGGTAACGACACGGATACCGTGCCTCGCCAAGTCACGCGCCATGGGTAAAGCCATGGAGCGAACTGCGCCTTTCGTGGCCGCATAAGCCGTCTGTCCGGGCTGGCCTTCAAACTGATCCGAAAATTAAAATTAAAAAAAAATATATCAGCGTGATATCTACACGGAAGGTCTTGTGTTACTCACGGCGGCTGCACTTGCGACCATTACGACCACCCCGCGCTCGCCATCACCATCTTCTGGTTTGACATCCACGAGATGTTTCAAAGCCAGCCGAGTGAGGTTGAACGTACCAGTGAGATTCACAGCAATCGTGAACTCCCACAGATCCAAAGCATGAGGCTGGTTATTCGCACTGAGAATCTTGGCGGCCGTGGCGACACCAGCACAATTAATCACGCCACCTAGTGGGGCCCCTGTCTCCTTGGTCCATGACACGGTCTGCTCCACTGCACGTTCAATTTCTGCGAGCTCAGTGATGTCTGTTTGGGAGTACAGGACGGCGGTATTGGCAGCAATGTCAGAGGGGGGAGGTGTTCGGTCAACTATCGAGACATATGCTTTGGAACTGAGCAAATCTCGCACTGTTGCGAGACCAAGTCCAGACGAACTGTTTAGTAAATAATCATTCGTCGATGAAACAATGTAGAAGTGATTCAGATGTTACTGACCCACCGGAAACAAGAAATGTTCTGTTTTCAATTTTCATCTTGTTCTAAGGGGAGGCGAATGGAGGCTGTGGTCGACTCGGACTTGTTGGAGAGCCAGTGAACGGGATTGACCGGCATGGGGCCCAATGAGGAAATCACCTCTGCGGAAATCAAGTAGTCATTTACAGGCCCGTCTCTCCATGCGCGCTTAGAACTAGACTACTTTAACACCGGCCCCCGCCCCACGTCAATTGGGTCTTGTTTCTTCAGAAGAGGAGGCCACAAAAGGCGTAATGCTTGGAATCCCGAAAATTACAAGCTAAATTACCATAAAAATTTCGCTCTCGTAATTTGAGTCACTCTGATCTATTCTGATAATATTTCTCTTAAGATCTGCTGGATGATCATCATCGGCGGCTTCAACACCTCTCCAAACGCTAATCCAGAAAGGTCCAGCATTTCTTAGATCGGCAGCAATTTGTTGCACCTAGATGATAATTTTTCTTCTCTGCATGTGGCGGGATTACCCTACGAGCTGGTGGGTTTCTTCGACCCTTTCAATTATCAGTATCCGAGGCTGAGGACCTAGAAGCTCGGACTCAAAAGACGACCAGGCGAAAATGCGCCCGTTCCGCAAAAGGGCACTCCTGTCGATAATACTTCAGCAACCACACCGGCGTGGCCTTCTTCTCGTGCATGCACTCTGGTAGGCGTATCACATCCTCGAAAAGTAATTTTCAGCGACAGGGCATTGGTATGTAGTCCAGGGAAGACCTAGGAACAGGGATGCGAATTTGACCGGTAGTAGACATAATAATGTAACGGCGATTCTGCTATATGGATAGATATTGACTTGAAGTTTTTCTCGGCAGAACAGTAAAGACACGTACTACAATTACGGTTGATGTTTGCAAAGAGAGTTCGTAACGTCTGGTTAGACGCTCCAACAGACAATTCAGAATTGAAAGAGAAAACTGTACTGGCCGCAGCAAGTGTAGCGATCAGTATTTGACTTGATGTTAACTCCAAACAATGTTTCGCTCCGTTTCATGGTGACTGTGTAACATACCGCGCCAAGTGAGTACTTTGGTACCTCGGGCGTTTTTGCGAAGAAGCCATGCGGCTACAATTTTTTTTATCCCTACGAAACAACATATCGAGACTCACAGTGCTGGGACGGCCCAGGAAAGTTACCGATCCGATGTGACTAACGTATGGGCATATTTGCTGGAATCTGCGAGATACAGGACACCGCGTCTTCTTTTTTTCTGACCGACGCCGGACGGCGACGAAGAACCACCTTGGGCGGAGCACATGCCACGGAACCTAGAACGATGTTCACAATTGAAAATAAGGGGTCCCGAAGCGAAACAATTAGCTCACCCCGACAGCTTGGAAATCCGGGTCGCTTATTAGAGGGGGGGGAACATGATCAATCAATAAAAGGTGAAAAGAATTACTGACCATGTTGTATCCGAAGAAATGTGTGAGTCATCAGAATCCTCCGTTCAATTTCAATTTGTAGTAAACATCGACAGCTGCGCGGTGGCAAAGACCCTTATCAACATTGAGTCAGAGAAGCACTAAGAAAGCCAATAGAAAAAAGAGGCATCAAGGACGGAGGGAGTTCAGTCCAGCCTGAAATTCTCTCCCGGGATTGGCTAGAATGACGGTGGGAAGTCACTGGCAATCCTCGGCCCGGAGTTGGTGCGTATCAGCCGGCTTTCTTTTCACGCCTGTTTTCAACCACTACCGGCTCCTGCTATGCTACTATCCAGGCTGTTTCGAAATACAGGAATACCACCTCCTCTTCGGAGTCTCCTCGTTCCTCATGCATCTCTCCCACCAAACGTCAAAGTTATGTTTCGTCTACGGCTGGGAGGATCTCGACTGCAAATGGCGTCCCCATTCCTAAATTCACGACACTATTCTACACCTATAACATCATCAACAGAGACGGTCACCTCACAGAGGCTTCCCGAAGCCATGGAGCAGCGCCTGTCGATGACTTTTACATGTACCGTGACGGATTGCAACACACGCTCCTCGCACGAGTTTTCGAAGCGTGCGTACACGAAGGGAATCGTCATCGTCCAGTGCCCAGGCTGTAAGAATCGGTGCGTGATACTTCAATAAATGATATTGCTGCTCTAACGGAGTTCTTTCCAGGCATCTCATTGCTGATCATCTTGGCTGGTTCAAAGAAGGCACCGAAGATGGAAAACTACGGACTGTTGAGGACTTGGTTAAAGCCCGAGGAGAAAAAGTGAAATATGGTCGGGTTGGAATGGATGGGGATATCGAGTATGTTGATGAGTAGACGCAAGAGGTGAGTACGACTTATATTAATAATATAAGTTCTACGAGCCAATCAATTCCTTCATTAACAGTGATGTTCATAGATAACGGGAGACAACAAGTTCTATGCCGACGACAAGGTAGATTCTTCCACCTTGGGGACGACCTCATTCTCCGCCAAAAGTTTTTCTAATTCACCCGATTGGTGCACTGCGAAAGAGTTCATACATTAGAAATAATATTAACATCGGATGTATCATTACTCACTCGATATAAGGATGTCGCATCCACCGACAAATTCCCCCTTGACATACAATTGCGGTATCGTAGGCCATTCGCTATAAACTTGTGATCAACACTTTGAGTAACGTCGAAGCGGCGCGGTAACGCACGAAAACTCCTTTATCGCAGTTCTGAGCTCCTGATCCTCCAGGACATCAAACGTCTTCATTTTCTCGGTTGGAACGTTATGCAGATCCAGTATTTGAATCGCCGCCCGCGAGAAACCACACTGGGGGTAATCCGGAGTGCCTTTCATGAAAAGAACGACTGGAGTTTCGGTAATAGCAGCTTGGATCTTCGACCGTACTTCTTGGGATAGAAAACGTCGGCAGCCGGCAGTTCGACTTGAAGTCAAGGCGGTTGTCACGGAGGACCGAAGCAAGCCCGTCTGCGGAACGTAAGGAATGAGATATCATCCAGGTCACCAAGACACACCGAAGACCTAATTACAGCTCCAAACATTTTTGACAAGAAAAATTCGAAGAGTAACGATGAGAAGGAAACGTGGAATGTATGCAAGTCCCGTCCCGAGTCGCTGAGTGAGGAAATAGATCACATGACCGGGAGATGAAGAAATGATGTCATCCTTCCGAATTCGTAAGACTTAGCTCAGTATTGGCTCCGCCCAGCTCAGACCTATAAAGATGTGGTATGCAACCAAGATTTTCAAGTTTCAACGCGTATTTTATGCTGCCTCATGCCAAGAGGGGAGCGATAAAGAGATGGATAAGGTAACACTACAGATGTCGGATTTCCTTTCTACCTCTCTATCTTTATTTTACAGAAGGCACAACCATGACTACATGTACGAGAGAGGCGTCCTTCCTTCGTTCCGTGGCCGTTGCCTTGTGCATTGAATTGTTGTTTAGTCCTCTCCCTCGTGGATGTTTTGGCTCTGGTCCATGCGGCTTCTTCCGAGTCGCACCGAACAGACGCTGCGACTGCTGCCGAGCCCTGCCTTACGATGGAATGTTCTTGAATAAAGATCTGGCTCTACCAAGCACCCTCTCGTAGGATAACGCAGAAAGATTCGGTGGGGGTGGCTCGGATGGCAGCATCAACCTATCGACATCGTGTCCATGGGACAAGCGAGCTTGTTAATCAAGAAACTGACGGAAACTGTATAACAGAGGCCCGAGGTACGCAAATCATAACTACGTTGAAAAGAAAAAGAAATGCTGACTGGAACTCAGAATGTATTGATTGTGATAGTAGAATGCGATTTTATCCTCATGTCCATGGCGGCATAACACCACCCCTCAACAAGGTGTCGCAATATTGATATCTCCTGAAGTTAGTTGCATATGCTTGCTCGGAATTCATAATTGTCATTGCCCAGAGCATAAAGCCCTTTTCAAAAATAACGTCAGTACCGATTCGGAATGATGGGCGTTGGTCATTCGATCATTCGTGACCGTTATATATAAGCCTCAGGCCACCTTAAATGTCTGTATAGACTCTATTCGTGATTTACAGAGTGATCCCGCTCCCTTAGGAGGATGAACGGTAAGCAGCCTTTCTAAATGTTTGAGCTCACTTCCGACAAACATTGACCGCAGTCATGATACCCGAGATACCCCAAGAAATCATATGCGCTGTTATCGAGAGTTTGGAATATCCCAAGGACATCGATACCTGGAAGTCATGTTCTCTTGTCTGCCGTACATGGCGTCCCGTTGCTCAGCAATGCATTCACCGGCAGTATACCTATCGCTCCGAAAAGAGTTTTGGATCGTGTCTTTTAGGCGCATCTGAGCCCCCTACCTTCGCATCCATGATCCCTTACCCCAATATCCTCCGCTACATCCGATCTTTCAGAATTCTTGGAACGTCCTATAGATGTCTCTCGTCTCCACCGCTCCTTCAAAAAATCATCAGCCACCTTGCGCGAGTAGCGAATGTTGACATAGGATCATTGAGCATGGACGACCTGCCCCCATCCTACGGTGGCATCCCCGAGCTTTTCCATCTTCCGACGATCTCCTCCGTCCACCTCGCTGATTCAGTGCTGAGGCCTGTGGATGCGGAGGCACTGTTCGAGAACTCGTCGTCGTTGAAGTATCTTAAGCTCACACGTACTGAGTTCTGGGAGAGCGATTTCCCAGAGCGACAGAGATCACAATCTCCGTCGCATCTCCGGAGTTTGGATATTCAATTGAGTAGCAAGTCCCTTGGTGCATTCCAGAGTTGGGTCTTGCATTCAGGTAGCAGCGTTTCCTTGGCTCGGCTGAAGGTGTTGCGGCTTCGTGATGCAACGGGGCCGCGTATCAAAGAATTGGGTCCGCTCTTTGATGCTGTCATGTCCTCTCTTGAGCGTCTGGAGTACGAGCAAACGGCAAAAGGGAGTGTCAACTCATTTGGTAATGCAGGTGCGTTGCTCTTTGTTCTTTGTTAAGATCTGGCCTAACATTCGTACTTGCAGATGGTCAATGGGATGAGTTCCCTGACAGCATAGAGAATCTGAACCTCCGATCCTTACTGGTATCGGGCTACTTTTCTTCTGACAGTACTGCACAGAAAATCTTAAGCTTCGTCAATGTCGCCACCAGGCGGTCGGCACGTCTGGATTTCGTGGAACTTGATTTCATTGTCCTTCACGCAGATTATAGTGATGCATACAGTTGGTTGGGTATCGAACAAGTACAGGGTGAAGTCAGGACAGTCGGTAAAGAAGTGTCGATAGAACTGTTCATGGTTACGGAGGGTTCCGAGTCCTGCATATGGGTGTCGAAGGAGGATAAAAGGTTCTCGAGGAGCACAAAAGCCCTCTTAAAGCTCAGGCTTCTATGACATAGTGTTCTTTACAATTTTTGTCTTTGATTTTCGTGCATAAGAGAAGATCTGAATCTTATCGGATAAAATGGTCCGGATCGCGATTTTTTTTTTGACATTTACCTCAAATTTATATTTACATATTCTTTTACCGATTACCACCACGACCTGAGCATCATGTCGCAGCCTATTGGTCCTGATTTTCCAGTATCCCAGCTTCCCAGTATCGCTGAATGCTCTCATTTCTTTAGCTCTTCTATCCGTCTACGACAAAACGGATCTGCTCGAGCTTGCTCAAGGGCTCAATGCTGCCGGAGTTCGTCTGCTCGGGTCTGGAGGGACAGCGAAGAAGATCAGAGATGCTGGGATTGCCATTGAGTGCGCATTCTTATCATTTTTGGTGCTAAAGGAAACTAAGAAACTGTAGAGACGTTTCTGACATTACGAAAGCACCTGAAATGCTAGGCGGAAGGGTTAAAACACTTCATCCGGCTGTCCATGGAGGTATCTACGAAGATCCCACGCCTTGCTGTCATACTAAAGTCAATCCGCAGGTATCCTCGCACGAAACATTCCCTCCGATGAAAAAGATCTCACCGCCCAAGGCATCTCACTTATCTCCGTTGTCGTCTGCAACCTCTACCCCTTCTCTTCTACCATCGCCCAGCCAGACTGCACCCTTGCAAACGCCGTAGAGGAGATCGACATCGGCGGCGTCACCCTTCTTCGTGCAGCTGCCAAGAACCATGAACGAGTTTCAGTTCTCTCTGACCCAAAGGACTATGCCGAGTTTTTGCAGGCGTGGAAGGACGGCAAGGGTGACGTCGGACAAGCTTTCCGGAGCAAGCTGGCGTTGAAGGCTTTTGAGATGACGGCAAAGTACGACGAGGCCATTAGTGGGTATTTCCGTGAGCAGTATGCTTCTGGAGACCTACCTAAAGAGAAGCTCGCGGGTGCCGTCCAGAGGATTCCCCTTCGCTATGGTGCGAATCCCCACCAAAAGCCGGCTCAGGCCTTCGTAACCGAGGGAACGTTGCCGTTTAAAGGTGATTTGGGGTTTTCTTGGTGTTTGTTTTTCGCTAATGTGTGAAACGTGTAGCACTATGCGGATCTCCGGGATACATTAATCTCCTGGACGCGTTAAATTCCTACGCGCTGGTGAAGGAACTCCAGCAAGCCCTGAACCTCCCAGCGGCTGCGTCTTTCAAGCATGTCTCTCCTGCCGGCGCTGCTGTTGGGATTGAACTGAGTGAGACTGAAAAGAGCGTTTATGGTGTTGATGATTTAAAGGTTCCTCTCACCCCTCTCGCCTCTGCTTATGCCCGCGCTAGAGGTGAGATGAATTAACAAGTGCGAAGTCATCGTTATTGATCACAACCGTACAGGTGCCGACAGGATGTCATCATTCGGAGACTTTATCGCTCTCTCTGCACCTTGCGATCTCGCGACGGCCAAAATAATTTCACGCGAAGTTTCCGACGGTATCATAGCTCCAGGATATACTCCCGAAGCCCTGGAAGTTCTCTCCAAAAAGAAGGGCGGTAAATACTGTGTCCTTGAGGTTTGTCTCCTCTTCCCTCCTAAGACCTGCCTTGTCAAACTCAAATCCTACGCAGATTGATCCCAGCTATGAACCACCCGAAGTAGAGACCAAGCAAGTATTCGGTATTAGCCTTCAACAGAGACGCAACAACTGCAAAATCGATTCCAAGCTGTTCGAAAATATTGTCACGAAAAGCGAGGAGGTTTGTTGGCGCTCCTACTCCCGCTCATTCACCTAATAATATCCTCAACAGCTTCCTTCCTCAGCCGTTACCGACCTGATCGTCGCGACTCTCGCACTTAAATACACCCAATCGAACAGTGTCGCGTACGCTCTTCATGGTGCCATCATCGGCCTGGGCGCGGGCCAGCAGTCCCGTATCCACTGCACCCGTTTGGCTGGTGGGAAAGCCGATTTGTGGTGGCTCCGACACCACCCCCGAGTTCTCTCCCTCCCGTTCAGGAAGGGCGTAAAACGCGCCGAAAAGGCCAACGCTATCGACCTCTTCGTCGCTGGTGAGGTTCTTGAGGGTGGCGAGAAGGAGCAGTGGGAGAGTCTGTTCGAAGGCAAGGTGGAGGCTCTCACTGATGCTGAGAAGAAGGAATGGGCTGCCAAGTTGGATGGGGTGGCTTGTTCAAGTGACGCGTTCTTCCCTTTCCCCGATAATGTGCATCGGGCGAAGAAGAGTGGAGTAAGATATCTAGCGGCACCCAGTGGAAGTGTTATGGATGAGGAATGCATCAAAGCGGCAGACGAGCATGGCCTTGTCTTTGCTCATACATCATTGCGGCTGTTCCACCATTAAAAATGGGCATTAATGAAACACGAGGGGAGTTGCAGTAGTTAATACAAGTGTATTGGTAGTTAAATAGTGATTTGGGGTCGAGCATCTGTGACATCATAGTAGGCTGTTAAAAGCTGGTTGCTGCGGTTCGATGGCTTTCCATAGTTCCTTTCGCTCCTTCAGTAAATCCCCACTCCACTCGCGGACCTCGGGGTGTCGTACTTTGGGAAGGCTTGTATCGAAGAATGTTTGTAGATTTCTGGCAGTGTACGTTCGTTCGTATTCAAAGGCTGTCAAATAAATCTGAGCCTCGGGAAAGTGAAGGGGTTTAAGATTTCTTCTACCTTGAGAGGCCAGCTCAAAGCGGTCTAGGTCTGAAGGACAGGTAAGAAAAGGAAAACACATATCTAAAATTCGGTGCACCTTTGACGAATCGTGCTTCCGGTGTTTTCCCATCTTCATATTCCTGAGGACATCGATTTGGTAAACGGGAAAGCATACTAGGAGAAACCCATGAATCAAACCTTCCACAAGGCTTCTATCCTTTGGGCAGCTGGACTATTATGTAGCATTTCATGTATGAAATTATGCATTGCTTCCTGAAACACGGGGACCCGAATAAGCCCGTCTGCCTAACGATCATGAATCATCCGTACCTCTTCAAGCCGCAGTTTCTCTGCTCTGCTGATCCCTTCCCGAGGAGTGATATCGCCGACTGAGACCACAAAGTTCAGTTACAAGTGGCCGTCGTTGACGGACTACTAGGCTTACCCTGTGCCTCCGCGAGGTCATGAACGACACACATCATCACACATCTATTCCTCTCTAGTCAGTCGAGATCCGGACCTGCGACACCACGGCTGCATACTTTGGTATATCTAGTTTTTCATCCGAGGTGCACATAGCGAGAACTGCCATTCTATACATGTGGTCGGAGATGCTAGAGAAGGAGGCCAGCAAGAGATGAGCATCGGTATGACGAGGTAGATGAACTGGCGTTCTACCTTTCTGGCCTGTCAATCTATCGCAAAAATTCAGTTCACTCTTCGTCTGCAAAATAGAGAGAGAGAGTCGCACTCCGTAATCAATCCATCCCGTTCGTTTTTGCGTCTAGGTATCGGTATGGAAATCTTTTTTCTACGACATTACAGGTAGAGTCATACCTTCAGCCGTTCAAGAATATGAAAGAAAGCAAGTCTGTCCCCAGAATCGTCCCCAGATGAAGTATAAAGAGGCGGGAAGACGCGTTTTGATGAGGACATCGTCGTTGTATGGGAAGAAGGTATTGGGTTCCTAAATAGAAGAAGCTATTACAGATGTACGCATGCTTGCTTCAAGTTGATCAAGTTGATCCTTCCGTATCTTGCCCGGGTAACCAAGTACTAGTGGTTTGTTACCTGGTTCTTTGCCGCGGACTTCTTACACATACTTTGGGTACCGGGTAACACATTCGGTCCTAGCATTCCTTGTCCTACTACATGCTACATGGTCCGTATGTCGATGATAAAGAAAAGGTCTGTACCACCAATCAATGATAGTAAAAGGTATATATCAATGAGGCGCAGTCAATAGCTTAAATCCCTCCAAATCGCATTCAGAGATCGAGACCATCATCGAGTATCAGACGGTTGATGAGTCCACGGCGACCAAATCCCCTAAGGAGACGAGCTGTCATCAACAAAAATACGCAGATAAGCCAGATGGTCGACAAACCTGTTCTTCAGATCCTCGAGCAAATTTGAAATCACAGCATTAACATCACTCTCGTCCTTCTGCGTGTAGGAACAAAGTTAGAAATATATCAGACTCAATACAAGATTGCATACCGTTCCAGAAGTCTTCTTTTTTGATGAAGTAGATGTTGTAGACGTCGCAGCTGAGTTATCGGCGGCAGCTGTGGCCGTAGCATCGGCATCTACAGTAGCACTGGCGTCTGCAGTCGCACTGACAGCCGCATCAGTAGCAGCAGCCGCGGCGTCGGTAGCAGCGCTGACGTCGGTAGCATCGGCATCTGTGGCAGCAGTTGCATTTACACTGGTCGCGGCCGTCGCATCGGTGGCAGCACAGTTATTAGCAGTCACGGTCTAACAATAACGAATCAACAACTTTCCAGGAATACTTTCAACATCAGAAATGCACGAACAAGTGTGACAGTAGAAACAGCAGCAGCTGCGTCCGTAGAATTGCTGGAGGCGTCGGCCTGGTACTCATCAGACACGACAATAATAACCTGGATGTGCAAACTTACCGTTGTCACAGTCGCATTAGCGGCAGTATCGGTAGTCGCAGCCTTGAGAATGTTTACTTGAGTAACTAGAAAAGTGACAAAGAGAATGTCTTACGCTGTCTGTAGCATTAGCAGCATTATTCACGGTATGTTTCTTATGGGCCTTATCACTAATATCAGGAGTACCATCCCGAACCTGAAAGCATATTCAGCAAATGCGTCCCACTGCCTTGTAACAACACGCACGGGGTGTTTCTTATGGGCCTTTTCAATAATACCAGTGATACCATCCCGAACCTAAAAGCATATTCACCGAATGCGTCTCACTGCCTTGTAACAACACGTACGGGGTGTTTCTTATGGGCCTTTTCAATAATACCAGGAGTACCATCCCGAACCTGAAAGCATATTCAG